GGATTGAATGCTCCCATAAAAAGACACAGAGTAGCTGATTGGATAAGAAAGCATGACTCATCTATATGTTGTTTACAAGAGACCCACCTCTCAACAAAAGACTCACATAGGTTGAAAGTGAAGGGATGGAAAAAATTTTTCCAAGCAAATGGAAAGCAAAAAAAGGTTGGGGTAGCAATACACATATCTGATAAAATAGATTTCAAAATGAAGGCCATAACTAGAGACAAAGAAGGCCACTACATAATATTGAAAGGATCTATCCAACAGGAAGATACACCTTGATAAACATATATGCACCCAACATAGGAGCACCAACATATAATAAAAATCTTCTGGAGGACTTGCAAGGAGAAATTGACAGCAATACAATCAGAGCAGGGGACTTCAACACCCCAATGACATCACTGGATAGATCCTCTAGACAAAAAATTAGCAAGGAAACAGAGACTCTAAATGAAGTACTAGACCAAATGGATTTAATAGATATCTACAGAGAATTACACCCCACAACTACAGAATTCACATTCTTCTAAAGTGCACATGGGACATTCTCAAAGATAGACCACATGTTAGGGCACAAACTAAGTCTCTACAAGTTCAAGAAGATTGAAATCATATCAAGCATCTTCTCAGATCACAATGGCATGAAACTAGAAATCAATTGCAACAAGAACATGCAAAGACATTGGAACACATTGAGGCTAAATAGCATGTTATTAAACAATGAATGGGTTACCAAGGAAATCAAGGAAGAAATTAAAAACTTCCTGGAAACCAATGAAAATAAACACACAACAACACAAAATCTATAGGATGCAGCAAAAGCAGTTCTGAGAGAGAAGTTCATAGCATTACAGGCCTACCTTAAGAAACAAGAAAAATTTCTAATTGACTGTCTAACCTCACAACTTAAAGAATTAGAAAGAAAACAAAAAGAAAACCCCAGAGCAAGTAGAAGGAAGGAAATAGTAAAGATCACAGCAGAAATAAATGACATAGAGAAAAAAAAAAAAAAAAAAATTCAAAGGATCAATGAAACAAAGAGCTGGTTTTTCAAAAAGATAAACAAGATTGATGGACCCTTAGCTACACTCACCAAGAAACAAAGAGAGAGAACCCAAATAAACAAAATCAGAAATGAAAGAGGAGATGTAACAACTGACACCACAGAAATACAAAAGATTGTTAACAACTACTATGAACAACTATATAGCATCAAATTAGACAATCTAAGCAAAATGGACAAATTTCTAGAAACACAGTCTCCCAAAACTGGACCGGGAAGAGATAGAAAACTTGAACAGACCAATAACAACTAAGGAGATTAAAGAGGTAATCAAGACTCTCCCAGAAAACAAAAGCCCAGGCCCAGATGGCTTCACGCAGGAGTTTTACCGAACATTCAAAAAAGAACTAACACCCATTCTCCTCAAACTATTTCCAAAAATTCAAGAAGAAGGAAGACTTCCAAACTCATTCTATGAGGCCAGCATAATTCTAATTCCAAAACCAGAAAATGACACTACAAAGAAAGAAAACTACAGGCCAATATCCCTGATGAACATAGATGCCAAAATCCTGAACAAAATACTAGGAAATCGGATCCAGCAATACATCAAAAAAAATATTCACCATGACCAAGTGGGATTCATTCCAGGGATGCAAGGCTGGTACAATATTCACAAATCAATAAACGTGATACACCACATAAACAAACAAGAATAAAAACCACATGATCATATCAATAGACGCTGAAAAAGCATTCGACAATATCCAGCATCCATTTCTGATAAAAAGTCTCAGCAATTTGGGAATAGAGAGATCACATCTCCACATAATAAAGGCCATATATGAAAGACCTGCAGCCAACATCATACTCAATGGGCAGAAACTAAAAACATTTCCATTAAGAACAGGAACCAGACAGGGATGTCTACTTTCACCACTCTTATTTAACATAGTAGTGGAAGTCTTAGCCACAGCAATCAGACATGAGAAAAAAATAAAAGGGATCCAAATTAGAAAGGAGGAAGTGAAACTGTCATTATTTACAGATGACATGATATTATACATAGAAAACCCTAAAGACTCCATCAAAAACCTACTAGACTTAATAAATGAATTTGGCAAAGTGGCAGGATACAAAAGTAACATCAAGAAATCGACGGCATTCATATACACCAATGATGAACTCACAGAAAGAGAAACTGAAAAAACAATCCCATTTACCATTGTGGCAAAATAATTAAGATACCTAGGAATAAACTTAACCAAAGAAGTAAAGGACCTATTTGCAGAAAACTACAGGACATTGAAAAAAGAAATAGAGGAAGATATAAAAAAGTAGAAGCACATACCTTGTTCATGGATTGGAAGAATTAACATCATTAAAATGTCCGTACTACCCAAAGCAATCTATAGATTTAATGCAATCCCCATCAAAATACCAATGACATATTTCACAGAACTAGAACAAATACTTCAAAAGTTCATATGGGCCCTAGCCAGTTTGGCTCAGCGGTTAGAGCGTCGGCCTGCGGTCCGGAGAGACCCGGGTTCGGTTCCCGCTAAGGGCACGTACTTCGGTTGCAGTTTGTCCCCGGCCCTGGTTGGTCGTGCGGGTGGCAGCCACTCGATGTGTCCCTTCACGTCGATGTTTCTCACTCTCTCTCCCTTCCTCTCTCTCCCTCCCATTCTATCTGTACAAAAAATGGAAAAATATCCTCGGGTGAGAATATATAAAAAAAAAAAAAAAAGTTCATATGGAACCAAAAAAGTCCCCGAATAGCCACAGCAATTTTGAAAAAGAAAAACAAAGCAGGTGGGATCACATTAGCAGATATCAGGTTATACTACAAAGCGATTGTAATCAAAACAGCCTGGTACTGGCACAAGAACAGGCATATAAACCAGTGGAACAGAACTGAGAACCCAGAAATGGACCCAAGGCAATATGCTCAATTAATATTTGACAAAGGGGGCAAGAGTATACAGTGAAGTAAAGACAGCCTCTTTAATAAATGGTGTTGGGAAAATTGGACAGCTACATGCAAAAAAAAGAAAAGAAACTAGACCATCAACTTACACCATACACAAAAATAAACTCAAAATGGATAAAAGAATTAAATGTGACCAGTGAATCCATAAAAATCCTAGAAGAAAATGTAGGCATCAAAATTGCGGACATCATACGGAGCAGAATTTTCACTGATACATCACCTAAGGCAACAGAAACAAAGGAAAAAATGAACACATGGGACTACATTAAACTAAAAAGCTTCTGCACAGCAAAAGAAACAATCATCAAAATGGAAAGGCAACCCACTGTATGGGAGAACATCATTGCCAATGATGTATCAGACAAGGGGTTAATTTCCAATATATATAGAGTGCTCATACAACTCAACAAAAGGAAGACAAAAAATCCAATTAAAAAATGGGCAGAGGAGCTGAATAGACACCTCTCCAAACAGGACATACAAATGGCCAAGAGACATATGAAGAAATGCTCACCATCACTAATCATCAGAGAGATGCAAAGTAAAACAACAATGAGGTATCACCTCATACCTGTCAGAATGGCCGCCATCAACAAATCATCAAACAATAAGTGTTGGTGAGGGTGTGGAGAAAAGGGAACTCTAGTACACTGCTGGTGGGAATGCAGACCGGTGCAGCCACTATGGAAAACAATACAGTGTTACCTCAAAAAATTAGAAATTGAACTTCCATTTGACCCAGTGATCCCGCTTCTAGGAATATGTCCTAAGAAGCCTGAAACACCAATCAGAAAAAATATATGTAACCCCGTGTTTATAGCAGCACTATTTACAATTGCTAAGATCTGGAAATAGCCCAACTGTCCATCAATAGATGAGTGGATGAAAAAGCTGTGGTACATAGTGTATACAATGGAGTACTATGCAGCTGTAAGAAAGAAAGATCTCTTATCCTTTGAGACGACATGGAGGGACCTGGAGAGTATTAGCTAAGCGAAATAAGCCAATCAGAGAAACACAAATACCACATGATTTCACTTATTTGTGGAATATAATGAACAAAAAAAGTTGATGAACAAAATAGACCCAGAGACATAGAAAGCAGTATGGTTCAGACTGACAAACTTCAGAGGAGGGGTCAGGGGAGGGATGAGATAAACTAAAGGACTTATAAGCATGTATGTGTAACCAAAGGACATAGACAACAATGCTTGTGGGAGAAGGGGCGGTATAGGGATGATGGTGTCTGGGGGAAAAAAGGAGAAACATCTGTAACAAAAATAAGTTTAAAATAAAAAGAAAAGCTGGAATCTCCTGTGGCCACCTCAGGAGCTGTGGCTGGGAACAGGATGGGGATCCCAGGCCAGAGCCCTGGGAGGGGACTCACCATAACCAGGTTAACTCTATAAGAAAACATCTCCCATTGGCTCCACCGTAGGGGTAGTTAGATGTCAAAGACACAGGTCTTAATGCCTTCACGGCTGCATCTAAACATTGTTCTATAGAGCAACTGCATCCGAATCACCTGGGAGCTTGTAAAGATGGATTCCCTGAGGCCCACTCTCTGATGTCCTGACCCCACAGGTCTGGGTGGGGCCTGGAAGCCTGTATTTTTAACAAGCTCCCTGGGTTAGGATCCTCCTGGTCCTTCTCCCGGCTGTCCCTTTTAGGGGTTCAGTGTCAGGAGCCAACCCCTGCCTGTGGCTCGCCTCAGCCTCTTCTTTATAAGAGAGCCTCTACACAGAGATGCCTCCTCTCTGAGCACTGCTGGCCATGGACACTGCTGGACCGAGTCCAAGCCCATTCTTCAGACTTTGCAGAACTCCCAGGCCAGCCAGAAGCAGCCTGAGAAAGAGACCCCGCCCTGTCTCTCTTCTTGGAAGTCTGCCTTGTGGTAGAAGGTTCTAAAAACATCCATGCCCCCCCCTTACCTCCTCTTGCCCACCTATCCTCCCCAGCCTTATAACTCTCTGATACCCAGATGTAGCCTCCACTCACTCAGTGCCCTGCAGGGTTGGGGTGTCCGACCAGGCAACCACGGGTGTTTCAGCTGGTGACGGCACCTTGACCTCTTCAGCTTCATTGTCTTGGGAGGGCAGCCTCTTCCTGCAAGGACACAGACGTGGGGGGTCTTCAGCAAGGGCAGAGGCCCCCGGGGAAGTGAACTTACTTTGACCCTTGCAGATCACCCAGAGCCAAATGCTGGGTGGGAGGTGGGGGTGGGGGGCAAGGGATGGTGCTGCCAAAGGTCCTCACTTGCCTGCAGGGAGACAAAAAGAGAGAGAAGGGTCACAGCTACTCTCCACGCCTCAGTCTCCACATCTGTTCAATGGCTGAGCATAAAAGTAACAGCACTGACTTAGTTTCAGGCAAACCTGAGTTTGCATCCAGCCCTGCCTCTTACCAGCGAGTCACTTAAACTCTCTGAGCACCTCAGTTTCCCCTTCTGTAAAATGGAACTAAATCTACCCAATTCAATAGGGTACTTCTCTCTCAGTCAGGCCTCAGCTTAAACGTCCTTCTCCCTTCCCGTCCCAGTCTAGTCGCTGCCCTCCCCGGCTCCCCTCCACCTCATTCTCTACCACACCACCCTCTCAGCTGCCATGAAGGCCTGAGGGCTCCCATTCCACCTGGTTAAGCCCCTGGAAGCTCAGCCTCCCTCCCTTTGCAGATGTGCCCCAGCTGGAAAAGTAACACCCGTGAGCCAGGGAGTCCAGTTCTTGTTTACAGGGTGACCTGGGGCAGGCCCCTCCCGCCTGGAGCTCCAGGTTCCCTATTTGAAGAACGAAGACTAAGTTATACCCCACCATTCAGTCCAAGTTCGCCACTAGGGGCTGCATGTGAGGCCTTGTGTCTCTGCTGATGGTGTCTAGGTTTGACTCCACCTGGGACTCTTCCATCCTCAACCCAGTGACTCTGGATTCCACCAGTGGGACTTTTGGAGGGACATAGTAGGAGTGCTGGGCAGCATTCACTTTATTCCTGGAGGCTCTGAAACTGTCCTATTACCTTCTGCCACCTCGTCTAGGATGGCAAAGCTCATGATGGACCATGTTCACACTCTAATTAAAAGGATGGCCACACACATGAGAAGACTGGGACCCGAGCTCAGTCCTCCTGCTCCTACCCAGCACCCTCCCCCGAGCCCAGAGAGCACGTGCTGCCACACAGAACCCAGGTTAGAACTAAGTCGGCAGCTGGCTCCTCCGGCACCACCTCATGTGCATCTGTGCTCAGCAACACAGTAGCTGGTTGTTTTCACAATCCCGGCAGACAGATGGGGCTTTATTCTCATTTTATGATGGGAAAATAAAGGCCTACGAGGATTAAATGATGTGCTTTAAGCCTCACATCAGGTAAGTGGGAAGGTGGAATTCACTCCAAATCATGTCTTTAAGCTGTGAGAAGGGCCTTGCCCGAGTACCCCTCTGTCAGCTTCTCTGCTCCCATCAGTCGCCCCCAATGCCTTTCCATCCCTGGCCACAGGCAGCCCCATCGGCCTCTCCATCGGGCATCATAATTCTCCCCTCCCACGGCCCGGCTCAGGTAGAGGCTCCCTCAGGAGCAGTCTTGTTTGATTACTTGTTCATTGTCTATCTCGGCCCCACTAGAATGTTAGCTCCATGAGGGTAGGCCCTTGCCAGCCTTTTCCTTGAAGCATCCCCAGCACCTAGGACAGTCTGATGCATAAAGATGTTTAATAAATGTTTGCAAAAGAAATGAATAAACGAATGAATGAATGAATGAATGAATGAATGAATGAGTGAATGAATGATAGGGATAAGAGGAGCCTCACAAGCCCAGCCCATAAGCAGAAGGCAGGAGGCTTGGATTCTAGTCTCAAGTGACCTTAGTCTTCACCCTGCCCCCAAATATCTACTCCAACAAGACTGTACAATTTCCCTACCCTTAAAGGAAGGCAGATTATATATCTGCAGCCATGGTGGCACATTTCTTCTGTTATCTGTACTCTGTGTATAATTCGGTGAATTAAATATAAGGACTGATGGAATTATGAGCTGTAGTCTAAGGCTAGGTAAGATTATAGCTCTTCTCCACATTAAAATCTGAGAGCCCTCTGTTTTCCATATCCAGCCATCTCTGTTCCATCAGCTGAGAAATTACTGACCTCAGCTAAGAAATTACTCAAAGGCTCATGAATGAGAGCAAAAATTAATCAAGAAAAAAGAACCATCTTTCAATCCAGCCAGTGCAAGAGAAACACTGGCAACTCCCCTTTAACTTAACTATAGTCATTCACAAAGCACTGCACTGTACTTCACAGTTTGCTGGCAGATATATGTAGGAACTTTCTCAGTGAGCTGGCTCAGATTGTCCCAAACCAACTCTAACCACACAGCTACAAATTTATTTCAAGAGGCATAGAAATGTGTGCAACCTTAACCATAAATCCCACTCTTGGGAAAGGGGCAAAAGAACAGAGAGCAGAAGACCAGAGAGTTCCTAGAGCCATTATAGACAGTGCCCCACAAGATGGGATTGAAGTCCATTCTGGTACATGGAGCTGGAGGAATGTCACATGGCCATCATGAGCGTTAAGAAGACAGCCTATTCAACATAGTGCTGGAAGTCTTAGCCACAGTGATCAGACAAGAAGAAAAAATAAAAGGCATTCAAATTGGAAAGGAGGAAGTGAAACTGTCACTATTTGCAAATGACATATTATACAAAAAAACCTAAACACTCCACCAAAAAACTACTAGATTTTATAAATGAATTCGGCAAAGTAACAGGATACAAAATTAACATCCAGAAATTGATGGCATTTTTATACACTAATAATGAACACTCAGAAAGAGAATATTTAAAAAATCAATCCTATTTACCATTGAAACAATAAAAGTAAGATACCTGGGCATAAACTTAACCAAGGAAGTAAAACACCTGTTCTCAGAAAACTACAGAACATTGAAGAAAGAAATAGAAGAAGATATAAAACAGTGGAAGCATATACCATGTTCATGGATTGGAAGAATCAACATCATTAAAATGTCCTTACTACCCAAAGCAATCTACAGATTCAATGCAATCCCCATTAAAATACCAACGGCATATTTCACAGATCTAGAACAAATACTTCAAAAGTTTATATGGAACCAAAAAAGACCCTGAATAGCCACAACAATCTTGAAAAAGAAGAAGAAATTTGGAGGGATTACAGTTCCAGATATCAGGTTAAACTACAAAACCATTGTAATCAAAACAACTTGGTACTGGCACAAGACCAGGCATATAGATCAATGGAACAGAACAGAGAACCCAAAAATCAACCCAAGACATATGCTCACTTAATATTTGACAAAGGAGGCAAGAGCATACAATGGAGTAAAGACAGTCTTTTCAATAAATGGTGTTGGGAAAATTGGACGGGTACATGCAAAAAAAAAAAAAAAAATTAAACTAGACAACCAACTGACACCATACACAAGAATAAACTCAAAATGGATAACAGACTTAAATGTAACTCTCGAAACCATAAAAATTCTATAAGAAAACATAGGCAGCAAAATCTCAGATGTCACATGTAGCTGGATTTTCACAATACATTACCTAGGGCAAGAGAAACAAAGGAAAAAATTCATACATGGGACTATATCAAACTAAAAATTTCCTACATGACAAAAGAGACCAGCATCAGGGGATTCCAAAATGGCGGCAGAGTGAATGGAAGCTACACAGACCATCTCCAGGACCAAACTGGAATTACAACTAAAATAAAGACAAATCGTTGGGGAAAAGCAACAGAAAAGCAGTTTGAGAGGACCATATAACCAGGGACACTGACTTGATCCTGGTAGGATTGCAGAGGCACGAGAGGGGGTGCTGGGAGCCCACAGACAGCAGCAGTCTTAGCTGTGAGCAGCGCCCTCGGGGTTACACTCCCAAGCCCGCGCCACAGTGCAGGGCCAGGACAGACGCTAAAATATCCACAGCCACTCACCTTGGGCTCCGACAGAGGGAAGGTGGACTGGACTGGAACTATGTGGGAACACTCAGGATTTGGAGGGAGGGTGCTCAGAGCTTTTTTTCTTTTTCTTTTTTCATCCTCACCCAAGGACATTTTTCCATTTTTTGTTCAGATAGAGTGGGAGGGAGACAGAGGAAGAGAGAGAGAGAGAGAGAGAGAGAGAGAGAGAGAGAGAGAGAGAGAGAGAGAGAGAAACATGGATGTGAAAGGGACACATCAAGTGGCTGCCAACTGCACAACCAACCAGGACCAGGGAAAAACTGCAACCAAGGTACACGCCCTTAGCGGGAACTGAACCTGGATCTCTCTGGACCGCAGACCGATGCTCTAACCCCTGAGCCAAACCAGCCAGTGCTGCTCAGAGCTTTTGCTGAGTTGTGGCCACACAGGACTATGGCCATCTTACTTCCCAGGGCTCTGGGGAGAGGCAGTGCCCCCTCCCTCAGAGATTCAACCCCACCCTGTGGGACACTGAAATGCAAATTGAAGCTCATTAACAACCAGCATCTGCCCCACCCTCAGGAAATCCCCTTATGCTGAACACCTGAGGGAGTTTTTCATTCAATTGAGAAGCCAAGGCTCAAGTAACCTCTACTGATAGCCTCCAGGCAAAAAGCTAGAGAATAACTGTATCATTCCTGGGCTAGCAACTCTAACCAGGAAAGTAAGACTTGACAGTGGTGTTTAACATGGGTCCTCCCTCGCTCATCCAAACTCAGTAGAGGGAGCCACAAACAGCAGAACACCAACACCCACAGGGAAAATTTGGTAGGCTCCAAAATGCACTGACATAGCCAAAATGGTAAAACAAAGAAACAAATCCCAAATGAAAGAACAAGAGACCTCTACTGAAGATGAGATAAATGAAATGCAGTTAAGCAAGTTAACAAACTAGAATTCAAAGCCATGATCTTGAGGAAGCTCAACAGCATGTGTAAGGACATCAACACCATGAGTAAAGACATAGAAACATTGAAAATCAACCAATTGGAAATTTAAAACCACCAAGAAGCAATGAAGAATAACATAGCAGAAATAAAGAGCACATTCAAAGGACTAAACAACAGAGTAGAGGAAGCTGAGGACCGGATCAGTGAATTAGAAGACAGGGTAGAAAAAAATCAACCAATCAGAAAACCAAAAGGAAAAAACAATTTAAAAACAGGAAGACAGCTTAAGAGAACTGTGGGACAACTGAAAACATAATAATATTCACATCATAGGAGTCCCTGAAGAAGAAATAAATGAGCAAGGGTTAGAGAATATATTTGAAGAAATAGTGACAGAAAACTTTCCTAATTTGGTGAAGGAAGAAGGCATTCAAGTTCAAGAAGCACAGAGAGCCCCAAGTAAGAAAAACCCAAACAGGCCCACACCAAGACACATAGTAATTAAAATGCCCAAAATTAAAGACAAAGAAAGAAACCTAAAGGCAGCAAGAGATAAGCAACAGGTTACTTACACAGGAACCCCCTTAAGGCTCTCAGTTGACTTCTCAACAGAAACACTACAGGCCAGAAGGAAATGGCATGAAGTAATCAAGGTCATGAAAAACAAGGATCTGAATCCAAGACTACTCTAACCAGCAAGGCTATCATTCAAAATAGGAGATCAGCCCTGGCTGGTTTGGCTCAGCAGTTAGAGCATCGGCCTGTGGTCTAGAGAGATCCGGGTTCGGTTCCCGCTAAGGGTGCATATCTCGGTTGCAGTTTGTCCCGGGCCCTGGTTGGTCATGCGGGTGGCAGCCACTCGATGTGTCCCTTTCACATTAATGTGTCTCTCTCTCTCTCTCTCTCTCTCTCTCTCTCTCTCTCTCTCTCTCTCTCCCTCCTTCCCACTCTATCTGAACAAAAAATGGAAAAATGTCCTCAGGTGAGGATAAAAAAAAAAAAGAAGGTCAAATAAAGAGCTTCCCAGACAAAAAAAAAAAGGCTAAGGGAATACATTAGCATCAAACCAGTACTGCAAGAAATGTTAAAAGGACTGCTGTAATTAGTAGAAGAAATAGGAAGAAAAATATAACTATATTAAGCAAAAAAATGGCAATACATAAGTACATATCAATAATCACCTTAAATGTAAATGGATCGAATGCTCCCATAAAAAGACACAGAGTAGCTGATTGGATAAGAAAGCATGACTCATCTATATGTTGTTTACAAGAGACCCACCTCACAACAAAACACTCACATAGGTTGAACGTGAAGGGATGAAAAAAAATCTTTCAAGCAAACGGAAAGGAAAGAAAAGCTGGGGTAGCAATACTCATATCTGATAAAATGGATTTCAAAATGAAGGCCATAACTAGAGACAAAGAAGGCCACTACATAATATTGAAAGGATCAATCCAACAGGAAGATATAACCTTGGTAAACATATATGCACCCAATATAGGAGCACCCAAAATATATTAAAAATCTTCTGGAGGACTTCCAAGGAGAAATCGACAGCAATACAATCAGAGCAGGGTACATCAACACCCCACTGCCATCACTGGATAGATTCTCTAAACAAAAAAATTAGCAAGGAAACAGAGACTCTAAATGAAGTACTAGATCAAATGGATTTAATAGATATCTACAGAGAATTACACCCCACAACTACAGAATTCACATTCTCAAGTGCACATGGGACATTCTCAAAGATAGACCACATGTTAGGGCACAAACTAAGTCTCTACAAGTTCAAGAACATTGAAATTATATCAAGCATCTTCTCAATCACAGTGGCATGAAACTGGAAATCAATTGCAACAAGAACATGCAAAGACATTGGAACACATGGAGGCTAAATAGCATGTTATTAAACAATGAATGGGTTACCAAGGGGATCAAGGAAGAGATTTAAAACTTCCTGGAAACCAATAAAAATGAACACACAACAACACAAAATTTATGGGATGCAGCGAAAGCAGTTCTGAGAGAGAACTTCATAGCACTACAGTCCTACCTCAAGAAACAAGAAAAATTTCTAATAGACTATCTAACTTCACAACTTAAAGAACTACAAAGCAAACAAAAAGAAAACCCCAGAGCAAGTAGAAGGAAGGAAATAGTAAAGATCACAGCAGAAATAAATGACATAGAGACCAAAAAAACAATTCAAAGGATCAATGAAACAAAGAGCTGGTTTTTCAAAAAGATTAACAAGATTGATGGACCCTTAGCTACACTCACCAAGAAACAAAGAGAGAGAACCCAAATAAACAAAATCAGAAATGAAAGAGGAGAAGTAACAACTGATACCACAGAAATACAAAGGATTGTTAACAAACATTATGAACAATTATATGGCAACAAATTCGACAATCTAAGTGAAATGGACAAATTTCTAGAAACACAGTCTCCCAAAACTGGACCAGGAAGAGATAGAAAACTTGAACAGACCAATAACAACTAAGGAAATTGAAGATGTAATCAAGAATCTCCCACTGAAAACCCAGAAATGGATCCAAGGCAATATGCTCAATTAATATTTGACAAAGGTGGCAAGAGCATACAGTGGAGTAAAGACAGCCTCTTTAATAAATGGTGTTGGGAAAATTGGACAGCTACATGCAAAAAAATGAAACTAGACCATCAACTTACACCATACACAAAAATAAACTCAAAATTGATAAGACTTAAATGTGACCCGTAAATCCATAAAAATTCCAGAAGAAAACGTAGGCAACAAAATTGCGGACATCATACGGAGCAGAATTTTCACTGATACATCACCTAAGGCAAGAGAAACAAAGGAAAAAATGAACACATGGGACTACATCAAACTAAAAATCTTCTGCACAGCAAAAGAAACAATCATCAAAATGGAAAGGCAACCCACTGTATGGAAGAACATCATTGCCAATGATGTATCAGACAAGGGGTTAATTTCCAATATATATAGAGTGCTCATACAACTCCACAAAAGGAAGACAAAAAACCCAATTAAAAAATGGGCAGAGGAGTTGAATAGACACCTCTCCAAACAGGACATACAAATGGCCAAGAGACATATGAAGAAACGCTCAACATCACTAATCATCAGAGAGATGCAAAGTAAAACAACAATGAGGTATCACCTCATACCTGTCAGAATGGCCGCCATCAACAAATCATCAAACAATAAGTGTTGGTGAGGGTGTGGAGAAAAGGGGACTTTAATACACTGCTGGTGGAAATGCAGACTGGTGCAGCCACTATGGAAAACAATATAGTGTTACCTCAAAAAATTAGAAATTGAACTTCCATTTGACCCAGTGATCCCGCTTCTAGGAATATACCCTAAGAAGCCTGAAACACCCATCAGAAAGAATATATGTACCCCCAGGTTCATAGCAGCACTATTTACAATAGCTAAGATCTGGAAACAGCCCAAGTGTCCATCAGTAGACGAATGGATCAAAAAGCAGTGGTACATATACACAATGGAGTACTATGCAGCGGTAAGAAAGAAAGATCTCTTATCCTTTGAGACGACATGGAGGGACCTGGAAAGTATTATCCTAAGTGAAATAAGCCAAGCAGAAAAAGACAAATACCACATGATCTCACTTATATACGGAATATAATGAACATAACAGTTTGAGGAATACGGTAGACCAAGAAACATGGAAGTAGGGCACAGACTGACATCCCTCAGAAGAGGGGGTGAGGGGGTAGGAGGAGCTAAACCACAGAACTTATATGCATGTATGCATGACCAATGGACATGGACAACAAAGCCGGGGACGGGTGGGGGTGGGGTGGGGAGGGGGGTGCCAATGGGGTAAAAAAGGAGAAACATCTGTAATAAATAAATAAATAAATAAATAAATAAATAAATAAAAGAATCTTCCAGCAAACAAAAGTCCAGGCCTGGATGGCTTCACGGGGGAGTTTTACCGAACATTCAAAAAAGAACTAACATCCATTCTTCTCAAACTATTTCAAAAATTCAAGAAGAATGAAGACTTCCAAACTTCTTTTATGAGGCCAGCATAATTCTAATTGCAAAACCAGAAAAAGACACTACAAAGAAAGAAAACTACAGGCCAATATCCCTGATGAACATAGATGCCAAAATCCTAAACAAAATACTAGCAAATCGGATCCAGCAATACATCAAAAAAATTATTCACCATGACCAAGTGGGATTCATCCCAGGGATGCAAGGCTGGTACAATATTCGCAAATCAATAAATGTGATACACCACATAAACAAAATGCGGTTAGAGTGTCGACCTGCGGTCCAGAGACACCGGGGTTCAGTTCCCACTAAGGGCATGTGCCTCAGTTGAGGTTTGTCCCCGGCCCTGGTTGGGTCGTGCGGGAGGCAGCCACTCAATGTGTCCCTTTCATGTCGATGTTTCTCTCTCTCTCTCTTCCTCTCCCCCCCCCCACTCTATCTGAACAAAAAATGGAAAAATTTCCTCAGGAGAGGATAAAATAAATAAATAAAAACCACGCAAAGGCATAGGCCCCTAAACAAGGTATGAAAGGGAAACAGAAAAATAACACCACGACTATCTAGTGTGGTGGGGTTACACATGCTTATTATTCCAGTGCTCTTTGCTATTTTCATTGAATTATTTCATAATACAAAGGAGGGTGGAATCCAGCCTTTCCACATATTTTACCCCCTTCTAACATGCAGCTGAGGCTATTTGGGACAGGTTTTCCCTGGAGAGTTCTTTACAGAGCCCACATCAGAAACTAGGAGAACTGGGAAGAGGGGGCACAGTCCCAGTTCTAACACCAACTCGCTAAGTAACCTTGGGTCAGCTGCTGCCCCTCTCTGTCCTCAGTCTCTTCTCTGCCAGATGGACAGGTGGCACAGTGCTGTGAAAAGCCCAAGAGAAGCACAAAAGGTGACCTGTGTGTCTCTGCGGCCGATCCTGGGACTGTGAGGGTGTCGGACTTGGCAGGAGAAGGTGGCAGCAGCTCGGGGGAGGGTGGCTTATCCTCCAGGATGAGGTGGTGGCTGTCAGCATCAGTGTCTTCCACCTGCACTTCTGGGTGCTCTTCTGTAGCAGGAACTTGGGGAGAGGAAGGAGGGGCAGTCAGAGAGAGAGAGAGAGAAGCCAGGGCCCAGGGGCCTTGCTGTCCCTCAAGGAAGCCACAGAGAACACGTTTGGAGTCACCGCTGGCAGCCACCTCCCCATGGGGCCCCGGGAGCTCCACGCAGAAGATGCAAGAATGCACAGCCCAGAGGCCTCTGAGGGCCACGGGCCCCAGCCACCAGCCCAGGACCCACAGGAGCCACAGCAGCTTCTGCATATGGCCTCCAAGCTCCGCCTTGTGTCCCCGGGCCTGAGGCAGCATTAAGGACCAGGGGTTGGGGTGGTGTCAGTACTCAGAGAAGGCACGGGGAGCCTGGCGGGGGGGCAGTCCTAGGGTCTGGCCTAGCTCAGCCTGGCTCAGCTGCTTCCCTTCTCTGGCCCTCAGTTTCCCCATCCAAAGGTAGACGTGATGATGCCTTCCAGGTCTGGGGTTGGGGGAGGAGGCATATGGTCTCACCCTCTTGAAGGGCTTCCATGGAAACATTTGGAAGTTTCCTCCAGTCAAGGGTAACAGCTTGACTTTGTACTGAGTGTTACCACTGTTTGGGTACCCGTTTTGGTATTTCCTTGTTTTTAATATGCCAAGAGCCCTCCAAATTCATCAACCCAAACCCTCTCCTGACCTCTGAGAGGCCTGGTACCAAGTCCCATATCCTGAGAATCCGGTCGTCCCTGGGGAGCCTGAGTGTGACCCTGTCTCAGGCTCCATTCCCCATCCCAGGGACTGCCGTCCAGCTCTGCTCTGAGGCAGAGCTCAGAGGACGCTGAGGGGCTGAGATGGTGCCCGACTCCCCCCACGCCTGGGCAGGACCTCTCCACAGCAGCCAAGCACAGACCTGGGCACCAGCCAGGCAGGCACACATCCCTCAAATGGCGAAGGGGAACATTCGAAGTCCTTGCATATGTGACTCCTTTTGTTTGTTTGTTTTATCCTCACCCAAGGACATTTTTGCATCTATCCCATTTATCCTTGGATAGAAAGGAAGGGAGAAAGGGAAGAAGAGAGAGAGAGAAACATCGGCATGAGAGAGACACATCGAGTGGTTGCCAACCACACGACCCCAACCAGGGCCGGGGACAAACTGCAATCAAGGTACTTGCCCTTAGCAGGAACCGAACCCGAGGCTCTCTGGTCCACGGGCTGACGCTCTAACTGCTGAACCAAACCGGCCAGGGTATGTGACTCCTTTTTAATGGGCACCATGGGGAAGCAGGCACTTTGCAGAGTTCAGTGGGAAGAACCTAAACAGGTCTTAAGACTTTGGGGCATTGGTTTACTAGGTCGTAGGCTCCCAGGAAGAGAATGAGCAAGAATCAAGACTTTTATAAAATTTAAGAAGTTTTGCCAGACTAACAAGAGATGCCCAGGCTATGGAAGGCAGGAGAGCGAGCGAGGGGACGTCCCTGCTTGCTGGCAGACTGTGAGAAGTGAGCTGGAGGCGGGTGGGGAAATGGAGGCAGCCTCTCGGAAGTGCTCAGGGCCCCAGTGTCCCCTAACGTGGCTCTGAGCAGCAGAAAGCACCCTGGTCTCCCTGTCCGGGAGTCTGTCTCGGGGGGCTCTGAGGGGGCAGGTGCTCCCCACGCCCTGAGTCAGACCCTGCAACCTCCATCGCCCCAGGGAGGAGCGAAACCCCTAAGCCTGGTGTTTTACTTTGCACCAGCTTGGCACAATAGGAACTCAAATAGAAATTACATTAGTTTATAGTATATTGATTTCTAGAACAAGAAGAGTATTATTAAGAATATAAGGAATAATGTTCATCATTAACTTGGATTAGAGAATAATAATCTTTACTGTGAAGCACTTCCTATGTGCCTGTGAGGCTTCTGTTTGACTAAACTGTAAGTGCTTCGTCCATAGTCGTTCCCTTTCCCTTCGGCCACTCTGAGGAGCTCGTTATTGTGTCCCGTTGGTGGAAAGGAAAACCGAAGCTCAGAGCGTTGAGAAGCCCACAGCAGAGCCAGGATCCTGGCGCAGGCGCCCGGGACCAGCACACAGAGGCCCCGTTTGAACAAGCCCTCGCTTGATGCCAAGCAGCGGCACTGAAGTGGACCGGTGTCCTTGCGATGCGCTGTCCTTGACTTGTCTGCCCCAGCGGCAGTCACCGTGTGTCCCCACCGTGGGTTCAGTCCGCTGTCCCAGTATGTCACTGGGAACATTTCTCAAAGCGTGGGGCTCCCAGGAGCAGGGAAGACACGGTGATTTCAGATGGCACAGAGCAGGCAAATGACAGCACGGAATGAGAACATTCCTCTCATTTCAGCGCTGGCTGCAGAGAGGAAGTCTCAGGGGAGTGCTGCTATGGCCTGACCCCCTCTGCCACCCACTCGGACCCCTTTCTGTGGCTAAGAGAGCAGGTCTCTGCTGTGAGCCCTCCACTGGCCTATGGCACTAAAAACTATCAATGCCACTATGTTTTCAGTGTCTTAGTGGCTATTTCTATTTATGGCAAGCTGTGCCAGTCTTCCTTTTAATAGTAATGGCAAGTTTCCTGTTTAATTACAGTCCATTAAGCCCTGTCTGGTGTGGTTCAGTGGTTAGAGCACCAGCCCAACAGTTTGATTTCCCAGTCAAGGGCACGTACCTGGGTTGCAGGTTCAATCCCTGGCCCCAGTCAGGGCATGTGGGGGAGGCAACTGATTGATGTGTTTCTCGCATCCATGTTTCTCTCTCTGACTCTATCTCCTCCTCCCTACCTCCCTCACTCTAAACATCAATGGAAAAATATCCTCAGGTGAGGATTAACAATAAATAAATAACTATACTTCATTAAATAAAAACCCTGGCCGGTTTGGCTTAGCGAGTAGAGCATTGGTCCGTGGACCAGAGAGTCGCGGGTTCGATTCCAGTCAAGGGCACGTACCTCGGTTGCAATTTGTCCCCGGCCCTGGTTGGGTCGTAGGAGAGACAGCCACTCAATGTGTCACATTCACGTCAATGTTTCTCTCTCTCTCTTCCTCTCTCTCCCTCCCACCCTATCTCAATAAAAATGGAAAAATGTCCTCGGGTGAGAATAAAAATAAATAAATAAATAAATAATAAATAATAAATAATAAAAATAAAAAAGTTGATCTATTGAAAGAAAAATAGTAAGCAAATAAAAGTAGAGTTGGTACAGACTAGAGTAAAAGCCCAGATGTGACATGGGGGTGGAAGTCAGGACTGTTTGGAGTGAGCGGATTCAGGGCTTTCCCAAGAGACTGAAGCTGGGTGTCATCCCTGGTCACGAGGATGGCTGCGGCCCCCTCACCCACTCTCTGCTCAGAGAAGATAACAGTGGATCTCATCTCATGAGATGTTCGGTTCTACCTGCTTACTGATCTCAGAGGCAACCATGTCCAGTGTCATTCAAATCAAAAGGGGAAGCGGGCTTAAGGCAGGAAATGACAGGGGTTAGCCCAGAGGTGCCTGTATGTCCCTGAGAACTTTGTCATTAGGCAGCAAGTAGCAAGCCTGAAAGCTACTGAGGGCACCTTGTTACAATGAAACAGATCCAGGCAGTCCCGCCCTCTGCACTGGCCCCTGGGGACACTTCTCCTGCTTGGCCTGTCAGCAGTTGGGGCCTCTCCTTTCCTGAAAGGGAATCTGCAACAGTCCTCAAAAACTCCAGCTCCTACCAAACTCTCAAGATCAGAAGATTCTGTTCACAATGGACTCCCACATTCCTCTTCTGCTCCATTCCCCTCCATTCATTCTCTTCCCCCACCCAGCTCCCTGCCCCAAGCCTCCTTGCCTGGAGATCTGAGTGACTTATTTATACTAGGGTGTGAGTGACTGCTTGTACAAATAACGATGATCTGCAGAAAGCAATGTTTAACCCAAATAAATAAATTGCTAATTGTCGAATTTTAGGCACAGAAAGAAAGGGACTAATATCCCTCAAGTCACTACAAAGCACAAAGAAGGCATTGATCAGCAGAGGAAGAAGGGGTGGTTTTCCATGAGCCCAGTTAGTGGTCCCACACCCTGACCATGGCACCCTTGCTGGGAGACAGCCCAAGCCATGCAGAAGCACACATCACAGGCACAAGCATGCTGGGTGGGAGAGATCACACTACCTAGGCGACGGACGGAGCTCCTGGTCTCCTTGGCGAAGCTGGAGTTGGACAAGGTAGTCCTCCGGGAAATGAGGACAGGGATGCGGGTGATTGGAGGGCGGTAGCTGGGCACATTGGGGAGGTGCTCTACCAAGTTTGGGGGTGCAAGTCCGGGGGTCACCTGGCCAGGTGGCTGGTCCTGGACCAGGTGATTCAGCTCCATGTCCCGGCTTGGTTTAGCCATGGTGCCAGGGCTGGAGGTTCTCAGGCAGAAGTGGGACCCTGGGGACTGCAATGAGGAGCACAGAGTTGGGGGAGGCAGGGGAAGTGGGGCTCCTCCCCATCAGTGCCAGCAATGACCAGTCTGGTGCTCACCCGCACCTGCAGCAGCTACACCCAAAGTCTGGAGAGTCGCTCTTGTCCCTGGAATTCTATGTCAAATGCATCACTGTGTCATGTGGCTGGTCCGTCCAACAGCTCTGAGGGACAGCCCGGAGCCCCCAACTCCTTGCACTCTCTCCACCAACCAACCACCGGTAGCATTTCCAACCTCAGATTCAAAAACGTCAGAATCAAAGAATCTGGAACTCCCCAGACCCTTAGACTCACAGACTCGAGACTCAAACATTCTTAGCCTGGTAGAATTTTCCATCCCAAAGAACCCTGGCTCTCAATGAATTCCACTTCCAACAGAAGCAGTAACTGTTCCTGGGTCCTGGGTTCCCAATGGGGCTGCACATCGACCCATGTGGGACATTGGGAAACGTCTGATGCCCAGGCCCAGCCCAGAGATTCTGACCTCGTAGTCTGGGGTCAAGCTGGACACCAGGATTTTTAATCTCCCCAGATGGTTCCAATGAGCAGCTCAAGGCCACTGCAGGTGCATCACCAGGGCTCTTGTTACAGTGCAGATTCTGGTTCAGTGGGGCCGGGACTCTGCACTTCCAACCAGCTCCCCGGTGATGATGCCAAAGCTGTTGGTTCTAGTTCCACACTTTTGAGAAGCCGCAGACAAATGGCCGCACCTCGGTGTTTCTCAGAGTGTGGTTCCCGACCACCCGCTTCCAAATGACCGGGGAAAGTGGGAGACGCAGCCCCTGGAATCCGAGTCTGCCCCAGGACACAGGGTTAGGACGCCTGACTCCAGTCCCATCTCAGGCACTGGCTGGCTGGGACCCGAGCATACAGCACCCTCATGGCCTCCTCCCTCAGTGCTGGTGCCTTCGACACACTGTTGCCCTACTCTGCCCAGCAACCCTGTGAGGAAGGTACTGTTATTGTACCCAGTGCACATGCTGGGTCCAGCCTGGAGACCTCAGCAGTAAGAAAAAGCTCATAAGATGTGGAGTCTAGGGCGTGCCCTTAGCAAGCTCTGGTCCCAGTTTTTACTGTGATATGTTACATTTGAGCCAAACCTCTGCTGGGTGGTAGAACAGTGAGCTGTGTTCCCAGTGATGAGGGTGGCAGGTGATGGGGTGGGGGCGGGGGACTGGCTGGGAGCAGGGTTTCCCCCGGCCTGCTGGAATCCTGGGGCCTCAGTGCCATCCCCCTGGGCCCTTGAAATACATCACCCAGTTCTGATAATGTGGCCCCAAGGGGCAGAGATTGGTTTTAATTGAGGATGGGGCAGGTGGAGGGGTATAGGGATGGTGGAGATGGAGGGAGAGGAGGGGGTGCCCCTGCACATTCTCTGCAACCCTCCACCCCCACCACACACCTACCTGAGCTGGCAGCTGCGGCTTCCTCCTGCAAACAATGAAGTGGAAACGAAGCTGTGACCACCGTGCCCCCTCCCAGCCTGGTCCCTCACATCTCCTGGGGCACCCAGTAGAGGGCAGTGCAGACAGGAGCCCCAGGCACAACCTGACTTGTCACATGTAACGAGGGTCTTCTCATGCAGCCCTGTACACGCGGAGACAAAGCGACCAGAGGGGCCGCCACAGCCCGTTCCTCCCCACCCCCCCGGGCACCGCACCTCACCGGGCACACTGTGCCAGCACCCAGGGGAAGGGTTAGCCCCATTTTACAAAGGTGGCCATTGAAGCCCAGAGTGGGGTGGTGACTTGCTCAGGGTCACAGAGCCATGTGAGGACTAAGTGCAGGTCCAGCGGCCCCTCCACCTGCCATCACCTCAGGCCCCTCCTAATACCATCTGACCCCTGGTACAAGCAGGGCTTTGAGGTCCCCAGCACCCTCCTCCCCTCTGTGCGGTGGGCATCTCACAAGTTGAAATCCCCTGTAAATGAGGTGGACAAGGTTCCAGAACCTTCCACCGAAGCCAGCCCAAGCCTCAGAGGGAGCCGGGTGCCAAGCCTGGCGTTGCTCCATACCTGACATGAGGCCCTCCGGGTGACTGTCCTGGCTACTCCGTTCGAGTCCTCACTGGCCTTTGTCCCCAGACAGCTATCCAGCAAGACCCTGTGACGAGAGAGGGAAGAGGACAGGCTGGGGTTAGGCTGGGGTCAGGAGCTGAGTGGCAGCTCTGTGCCAGGAGCTGGAGCACGAAGATGCCCTAGAGCAGGTCCTCGCCCTCATGGGGCTCCCAGCAGGGAGGGCAGCACACGTGTGTCCTGCGAACCATCTCCCAAAGGGCCGTGAAAGGCACAGCCGCCATCTGCCTAGGAAAGAGGACTTCCCTGAGGAGGTAGCCTGTGACCTGGACCTTAAGGATGATGAATTGACCATGAAGAATAGGTAGAATGCCTTGGTCAGTTTGGCTCAACAGTTAGAGCATTGGTCTATGGACCAAAGGGTCATGGGTTCAACTTTGGTCAGAGGCATGTATCTGGGTTGCAGGGTCGATTCCCGCCCTGGTCAGGGTCCTGCAGGAGGCAACCAATTGATGTGTCTCTCTCACATTGATGTTTCTCTCACATTGATGTTTCTCTCTCTCTCTCTCTCTCTCTCTCTCTCTCTCTCCTCTCTCTTCTACTCTCTCTATACATGTTTGTCGGGTGAGGATTAACAACAACACAGAACAGGTGGGGAAAGATGCCCAGGAAGAAGGAACAGCATGTGCAAAGAAAAGTGCACTGGACAGTTTAAGGAACTAGCCTCTGGGGTGTGATCAAAGGACACTGTACAGTGTTCAAAATATATGCCCAGCGTGTCCCCTCTGAGCGTCTTCAGGCATCCTTGTGATGCAGGCAGGGCAGGGAGTAAGAGAAAAGTGAGGCCCAGCGAGGTGAACTGACCTGACCAAAATCACACAGCAAATTGTCACATGCGACACAAACCCTCAAACACAGGCCCTGCGTTTCTTCCCATGCACGAGATCAGAGCCACACTGCCTGCTGAAGCCCTCAGGGCTCCCTGGCCCCGGCAGCAGGCATGCATGAGGGACAGGGACCAGGAACACAGAGGACTATGGCAAATCAGTAAACCCGTGCCCACCTGAGTTGGCAACCCCACTCCACTTAGAAAGGGGTCCCAGTGACCAGATCTTCTGATTTTCAAGAGGAGCCTAAACTACATATTTTAAAGTGGAATCTCCCGATGCTGATAATTAATCCAAATTAATATATCTATATTAATATGTAGATATTGAAAAGACCCTGTCTCTGGGCTAAACTGCGCCTTCATTGCCCATGTGTGACCTCTGTGTTAAAATGGGACTCAGGACAGGGCTAATGTGATTTTTTTTTTTCCCCTTTATTAATTTTATTTTTTTAATTTCTTTTTTTTTTTTTTTTTAGGAAGAGACAGGGGAAGAGAGAGAGAGACATTGATATGAGAGACACATGGACTGGTTGCCACCCACACGACCCCAACCGGGGCGGGGACTGAACCCGGGACTCTGGTCCACAGGCTGACGCTCTAAATGCTGAACCAAACCGGCCAGAGCTAATGTGCTTTTGTAGTGAGAATTAGATCCTGCTTCCTAATGGCCCACTCACCCTGCAGACCCCTGTCGGCAAGGGTCTCACAGAGGATGATTGGCAGTGTCTGCCGCCCAGAAAACCTGCGTCACCACTCTCGGCCCAGAAGGCCCAGTCTCGACACGTCCAAGGTTGGAGGGTTGGTGGAGGCAGATTGTAGCCTGTCGGTTTGGAGCCAGTCATCTGGGAACAGGCTCCACGGCGGTCATATTGTCACAGTGGCTCCACGGGCTGCATGCCAGACGCTGGGCCCGGACTTTGCAGGCAGAGTCTCCCCGAGCCCTTCCCCGTCTAATCCTGAGAGATCAGGGCTGCGACCGACCCCCACTCCAGCTTGGACATCAGAGGCTCAGGAGGTCACGCAGCCTGTCCAAGGCAGGTCTGGATAAACATGGGGTCCCTGACCCAGGCCATGTCTGAGCACTCCACTGCCTGCCTCTGAGCATCTGCACCCCCACGTGGGGTGGAGGGGGGTCGAGTGTCTGGAGGGTCCGAGGACCCAACTCACTTCATTTCTCTTCATCATACGGGCATTTCCATCGCGAGGGACCTGACTGATCGGTGTCATACCCCCCACTCGGCCCAGGAAGAAACAGATCTCCTTAAAGAGATTCGAGTCACAAAGCAGCGCTATGCCGGTCATGGGCCTGGGCCCTTGAGCCTTCGTGGGCCACTTCCTCCACACAAATACATTAAAATTGTATTTTGTGACCGCATTTATATGGAGATTCATATGTTAATCTTATATATTAAAACATTCTCTTCCATCTCACAGTTCATTTTTGGTCTGATTGTAAAAGAAATTAAAACATTCTTGTGGGTCCCTAAGAGTATCGTGGGAACTATGCCCTCCTTGGTTCTCAGAGCACAAAGGCCCAGGAAATGAGCTTCCCACAGTCCAGTCAGAGGCTGCCCATGGTCTTGACCATTCCAGAATCAGGCCAGGAGGTCAATGTATGGCAGTGGGCAAGTTCCTGGAGAGCCCTCAGGCTGCCTCTGTTTGCTCATCTGTCAAATGGGTAGGACTTGCCCAGCCTGGGTGAGGTCAGAGGGCCACCGAGAGTCTCATGGAAAAGTCAAAAAGACTCCCCACGTCAGAGGTCATTCTCAAGTCTTCATCTCTAACGACAGGCCAGCAGCTTCCCTTGGCTGTGGTACCGAGGGTCTGCCTTGGAACCAGTCTGACCTGGGACAGAAGACCGGCTCTGCACCCGCTGGCAGACACCTGTCTCGGAGTCTCAGGTCTCTCATCTGCGAAATGGGATTGATAACAGATGCCCTAGCACAGTGTCTGGCACAGAAAAAAGTGCTAATCCAATGACAGCTGTTGTTACGATTGTTCTTGTCATTGACTGTTTATCCCAGAGGAGATGGCGTTCTTCAGGGTTATGAATCACCCATGTGGATTGGGGAAGGTTTTGCACAAACATCTCCAGCTGTTGAGACACCTAATCAGCCCTACCGCAGCCCTGTCAGCACCTCAGGGGGCTGCTTTGGGACCCATGTACTAAAGTCATGTTTGCCTCTGATCGACAATGTGCCTAGTGCCAGCCAAGCCCCTTATTGCCTGGCCCAGAAGAAGCAGGCCATCAACTTCTGGAAGGTTCCCAAATCCCATGGAATTTGTAGTGAAGCATCAGACAGACTGGCTGAGGTGGGCATCCCAGAGGAACCCCCACACCAAGTAAAAGGGCTAAAGGAGCAGCAGCAGCCAGTTTGCCAGGAGTTGCCAGCTCACTCCTCCTCCCCCAAGTCACCCAGCAGGATGTGCCCCCAAATTAAGATCCTCACAGTCGCCTTCAGCAGACTCTTCACCGGCCACCCCAAACCCAAAAGAAGGAAGGAGGGGAGCCCTTAGGGAGAAGCAGCCACCTACTTGGGTCTCACTGTCTTTGCCGACAAGGACAACCGCGGTGCAGGAGCTCAGCTGGGGCGATGGCGTTCATCCCAGGGCCCTAGGCGGCGCACACAAGTGGAGAATGTGGGCAACCTAGCCAGCTCCGAGTCTGCGAGGCTGGCTCTGGAGCCAGTGTGACTCGGGTGGCGGATGAGCCACCAATTCCTCTTGCTTCTAATCAGATTGAGGGGATGTGCGGGGAACTCTGCAGAAACGCCCCCAGGGAGGCCAGGTGCAGACCAAAAGGCTGCGGTTGCTAGGAAAAGCTGAGCTGTTGCCGACAGAGACCTGGTCGCTAGGCGACCATCTGCCAGCATCATCAGTAACCCCTGTGCCTCCACAAAGCTGGCCAAGAGCATCCTTCCCCAGCCAGTGACAGCTCCGCCCCTTGCCCACGCCTGTCCCCTCTGGCTCTGGCTCTGGGATCACTCACTCTCTCACCACAGAGCCCCCATCCCTGCCTGGAGCCCCAGGCCCAAAACTTCCCTGAGTTTGAAACTCTGGGTATGTATTTGTGTGAGCCTCTGTGTGCCTGCAGCGTTTGTGGGTAACTGTATGCATGAACATAATTGCAAGGGTATAATGTGGGTATCTGCAAGTGTGTGCCTCTGTGAGTACACATGTGTGTATATTGTGTGTGCTTGTGTATGTCTGCAGACTGTGTGTGGGTATGTGTGCATAACCCGGCATGTGTGCCTGTGCCTATGTGCTGGTGTGTGTGATAGTACAGAAGTGTGTCTGTGTGTACCCGTGTGCACTGTGCCCTGAGAACACATGTAGTTAGTGCATGTGCATGTGTATGAGCACATTGGATCAGTGGCCTCCAAGGGCTGTTTCAGCTCAGGAGCAATGGCATAGAAAGGGGTTTTCAGGTCTATGTGTTGGGTACCCAGGTTTGATGGAGGAACAACTCCCCCAGTGCGCACTGCACACAGAGGCGGGGGAAGCAAAGGGTGAACCAGGCTGCACAGGGAAGCTAGGCAGCATCGAGCGCCCTCACCAGGGGAAGAGCACTCACCTGTTGGTAAGAGCAGCCTGGCTCCGGGGGCCCAGAGGGCAGAAATCATAAGGAAACACACTTAGTTTTGGGGGAAGAAATACTTTCATAAGTCAGATGTGCATATGGATGGAATGGACAGCCTTTGAGAGATTGTGAGCTCCCCATCACTGGAGGGAAGCAAACAGCTGCACGGCCTCTTGCCAAAGATGGAAAGATTATGTGACCTGGGCAAGGGTACACTAAATGTGGAGGACCTTGAGCAGGCTTCCAGCCCTGAAATCCTGTGTTGGTCTCATGGTTTAACTCTTTCCTGGCAGGGAGTTAAAAAAAACCCTCAGTGGGGACTCAAACATCAGGGACCTTCAGTGGACACACCCATTCTCATGGCTGGGCTCATGGCCACTCTGCAGGGGGCTATTGTTCCCCACTGTACAGGTGTGGAGGTGGAAGGAAGCTCTGTGCAGGTATGTGTTTGCCCAGGCCTCTCCGCTAAGAGCAGCAGAGCCTGTGCTCCTACCCTGCCCCAGGCTATAGCCACAGGGGCAGGTCAGGGAGGAAGGGTGTGGTCCAGGGGGTGCCACGGGGGTGGAGACAGAGTGACAGGGGATAATGTAAGGGCGTGGGGGATCCATTCAATCTGTCTGGCCTGATGGTGATAACAACCCTGCTCTCCCTGCTTCAATCTCTCCACAATGCAGCTGCCAAACCGTGCCACTCCCCTGCTCACAAATCTTCAATGGCTCCCCATTGCCCTCAAGAAATCAACTTCAAGGCCTTTACAATGTGGCCCCACTGTTTCCACAGCTACATTGTCACTGTTCCCCCAACACGTGGGCTGTTCTTGAGGCAACGGTTCACTCCCTTCTTCCTTGAAACTTCCCCAGCCCCAGGCCCAGCTTTCTTCCTTCTCTCCCCTCACTGAGCCTCCTCCTCAGCCCTTCCTGGTTCCTCCTCATCTCCCAGGCTCCAATCTGGCCTTTAAGCCTCTCCCCTGTCTACGCCCACATGCTTTCAAGTCCATCCCCACCCAGACTCCTGACCTTCAGTCTCCAGTCCAACCTGTCGCTCCCCTAACTCCAGACTCAGGCATCCAGCTGCCTGCTCTTCCCTCCCACCTGCGGCGTCTCCTCCTCGACATCCGTCCTTCGTCCATCCCGCGTGCCTAAAAGTCTCCTCCCTCTTGAAGCTTTTTTAAAAGTGAAATCCATTTGCCATGTAACATTGTATGGATGTAAGGTTGGTCTGTTAATGTTAATATAAACGTCAACTTAACATTTCTATATCGTGGTTGCCATTGCAGCAATCATCAGCACCTCTGTCACGTCACCTAATCATTATTTCTTTATCGTGGTTGGAATAATTAAGATATAATTTCTTAGCAAGTTTAATAATTCTAACTTTTAGTGGTTTCTGATCTCCATTTCTTAACCTTTCTTTTAAGTGAACTCTGCTGTGCCTGTTAAGGTCTTTGTGGACGCGGATGGAGAATCAGCAGGGGAGCCGAGTCCACAGCAGCCTCACTGGGCGGCCGAGGCACCTGGGGACCGACTGCTGGGCGCTGAGGGAGGGAGGCAGCTCTGTGCCTTGGCTTTGGTAATCACGGAGGAGAACTGGGCGCCCGCTGCTTGTGTCCATGCGTTCGTGCTCTCAACATTTCTCTGGTGCCTACTGGACCAGGCCCTGCGCTAGGCCCTGAGGACGTGGCAGTGAACACAACAGACAAAAATCCTCACCCTCATGGAGGCTGCATTCTCATGTTTGTTTGCATGAATGTGCAGGGTGGGGTTGGGGGCTTGGTGGGTGGTGGGTACTATGAGTCCCAGGTCATTATGAACGCAGAGGGGGACCCCAGCTTTCCCCAGTCTCTCTGGTCTGTGACCAGCAGCACACAGCACAGAAGAAAGAAAGGCAGCCCTGTGAGCAGCAGGGAACACCCCGCCCCAGAAGCCTAGTGCCCTTCCCTGTAAGCCCACCTCCCTGGGCCACTCCTTAGCCAAGGGCTTAAGTGCCTTACTCAGGCTCCTTCTCCTCCTTGTCCTCCTCCTCCTCCTCCTCCTCCTCATCCTCCTCCTCTTCGTTCTCCTCTTGAATCCAGGGAAGCTCCCTAAAATGAGGTCAGAGGCAAGAAGTGAGCCCCCCTGCAAGTGCACCCCGAGTCCACCTCCTGCCCCCATTTTCAGTAAGATGTCCTATGACCCCTTGAGACCAGACCTGAACCCCTCAACCAAGAATCAACCTGGGGACCCCCACCTGAGTAGCCCCAGGCCCTCTCTGTCAACAAGGTCTCTTCATGGCATGGGGTCCTGTCTCAGCCCCCACTTTCCTGATGGTGATCTGAGGTCAGCCCCTGATTCTGTCTTGGCCTCAGTTTCCCCATCTGTGCAATGTAGGTCATGGGCCTGAGGACCTGAGACCTCCTGTGGATGCACTCATAGGCATGTGCAAGAGTGTTTGTGGCAGAGTTATTTATAATAACAGATTTTGAAATCAACCTAAATGTCCATCAATAGTAGACAGGTTAAATCAATTCTGCACATCCATATGATGGAATATGATGCAGTTGTAAAAACAAAGTGTGAACAATCTCTACATACTGAAGATGGAAAGATCTCAAGATATATCGCCGAATGCATGCAGCAAGGTACAGATAGGTAGGTGCACGCGATATGCTATATTTGGGGGGGGGGGGTAAAAAGGGGAGTCCAAGCTTGTGTGGGCTCAGATGGCCCCTGGAATGGCACAGAAGAACTGGCAGCCTCTGTGCCCGTGGGAAAAGAATGGGTGTATGGGGGGGGGGGGCTTGGTTCACTCTCTGTGCCCTTTTACACCTTCCACGTCCTGCACTACGTGCCTGTTACCCTCCCAGTCACTTGTTCAGGGCCTTCTCTGGCTCCCACCTGGGCATCGCCTCCACGGCCTCATTCTCTTCGTCAGCTGAAGCCACGGCCTCTGAGCCCTGTGGGCTGGTGCTGCCCTCCCGCTGCTCATCCTCCTCCCAGTGAGGGTCAACCTCTTCTAGGATGAGATCGGGCTCCTCTTGCTCTTCAGGGAGGATGCTGACTGCAGGGAACACAGGGTGCGGGGAGAGTGGGCTTGGGGCTCTGAGTCCCAGGGACCACACAGGGAGCCTGGGCCAACACCAGCCATGCACCAGTCCTCAGCCAAGCAGTGGCCATGCACCATTATCAGAGAGACCATTAGCAACCACATCAGTATAAAGTGATGGGCTGAAGCCCATGGTCATTCACCCTGTCTCCTTCCAGTAGTTTCCCTCGAGACCGCGTTTCCATGGCAGGCAGTCTTTGCCTCCCTTGGGGCCTCCTTGGAGCTCGTGCAGAAGCAGAAACAATGCTGCTAACCACAGTACTGCAGTGATGCCAACGACCCAGACTCGAGGTCCACCTGCCACATCGAGGTGCAGGGTGGCCTGGACTGTCCTGAGGGACACAGAGAGAGCTTACCCACTGCCCGCTCTCTAGATGCCACCCCCTGGTGACAGCATACTACATGTCCATAATCTCAGCGCCTGCTTCTGGAAGTCTTTTTCTCCTTCCTGGACCTAGAGGCTCCACCCTCCAAAGGGTCAACTTTCTCATGCAGGTGGTCCCACCTTCAGAGAGGAATCTGAGATTCCTAACCATCCCCATGTGCCTGGTCCCTGGCAAGGAAAACACTGTGGGACTGTGAGCTCGGCAGAGTGGGTGCAGGGGGCACTCAGGAGCCTGAGCCCACCCCGGCAGGAGAAGGGAAGAAAGGGGAGATTGGATGCATACCAGGGATTTCCAAAAAGCTCCAGGGGTCTAGGCAGCCATCAGGACAAGTGCGAATTACTAGTGGTGACTTTGAAAGGAAGCTGGCCTCAAGTCCCATCCTGTGACTTTGGGAGTTATTGTTCATGGTGTAGAATAATAATCATGACAATAGTTCCTAGTGCCAGGCCCTGTGCTAAGTGAATTACATGGATTAATTAAATTAGTCCTTCATCAACCTTTTTTTTTAAAATTGTCACTAGAGGACATTTTTTCAAATATCTTCAGATAGAGTGGAAGGGGGAGCGAGAGAGAAACATCGATGCAAGAGAGAGACACATCGACTGGCTGCCTCCTGCATGACCCCAACCAGGGCCGAGGACGAACTGCAACCAAGGTATGTGCCATTGGCCGGAATAGAACCCGCAACTCTTTGGTCCATGGGCCAACGCTCTAACTGCTGAGCCAACCTGACCGAGGCTCCTTCATCTACCTTTTGATATGGAAACAATTCTTATCCCTCCAGAGAAACCTCCTGCATGCCTCCTGCACTGGCCTTTCCCGTGGCTGGTCCTGGCTCTGCAAGCAGCCCTGGGGTTTGCCCAGGGAGGCTCTTCCATGTGCGGCCCTGAACCCATCGATGGGGTATATCATCTGTGTCATTCAAGGCTCCCATCCAGCAATGGTGTGGTGTCTCCACCTCAAACAGCCACTGGGTGCAAGTCCCCGCCTGACATAGCAGGGGACAACCGGGGGACAGAACCTCCCCTGGCCTGTGAGCTCATTAGCTTTTATGGCAGCCCTGCAGAGTGAGAACAGTATTCTCCTGTCGCAAAGACCAGAGAGCCGGCACAGAGAGGCTGAGTGACTTGTCCAAGGCCACACAGGATGTCAGAGGCCGTGCCAGGTCTCCTGACTCCTGTTTCCCTGGCCTACTATCCCAGGTGATAAAGTGCCGTGAGGGCCTCCCTGGCACTGGCATCACTCTGTAACGGGCACTGGATGAGTCCAGTGTTTGGCGTCCTGGAGAGCTGATGCGCCCTTGCTTGCGTCCTTGCTTTCCTTTATTAACCATTTGTGTTGTTTTAAGGTATCATTTACTGAGTAAGCCTTTTATAGGCACTTTCTCCTTTCAGCTCTGTGCCAGGCCTGCGGGGCATGCCCTAAGCTGTCCCCGTTTTACAACCAAAGATTCTACAGCTGGGAAGAGGAAGGTACCAGCCAGGAAGGGCAGCCATGGGTCACTGCCACAGCAATCCTGGGCCTAGACCTCGAGCAGGCCTGGCGAAGGAGCCACTGTCCCACCACTGGAGCTCTGAGCCCCTCTGCAGGGAAACGACTCACCCTGTCCCAGCTTTTCCAGGGCCCCCCAGGTGCCCATGTCACAGGTGGGTCACTGTGGGTACTCAAGCTCACATGGAAACTGCTGCTTTGTCTGGGGCTTCCACTTCACTCCAGGAGTCCCTGGTGGCCAGGCCACCTCTTGGCCAGCATCCTGCCTGCCAGCCTAGGACGTCGCTCAGGGCCCCCTCTGGGGAAGGAGCTCCTGTTTCCGGGACCAGCGGACAGGGAGCAGGGGCATGAATTCCAGACCAAGCCCCCCCCCTTGGACCCTGGGCTGCTGGCACAGCCCAAACCCTGCCTCAAAGCCTCCATCTCCTCTGGCAGAGGCTTTGAATGGGGCCCAAAGTTCAAGAACCCCTACTTTGGTCACTTTTCCTGCCTCCAGTGCTTGCTCAGCCTCAGAGTCTTTTTTTTTTCTCTATTGATTTTAGAGAGAGAGGAAGGGAGAGGGAGAGAGAAATAGAAACATCGATGAGAGAGAACATCGACTGGCTGCCTCATGCATGCCCCCCACTGAGGATTTGGCCCACAACCTGGGCATGTGCCCTGACCGGGAATTGAACCGGCGACCTCTTGGTGCAGGGTCAACGCTCAACCACTGAGCCATACTGGCCAGGAGAGTATTCTTTTTGAAGTTACTCCCCTGCTCAACCACTTTCAGTGGCTCCCCACTGCCACAGTCTAGTCCCCTAAAAATAGTCTCTAACTTTTCTAGTTTTACCTTCTGCCTCAAGAACTTGGGATTAGCTCTCCCTCTCCTTCCTCCACGCATCTGCTCACTTTATTTTCTCTACCAGGATTGCTGCCCCCTCACCACGGGTTGGAGACCTCAGGGGTCTCATACTCAAAGGCCCACCCAGCCAAGCAGATGGTGTATATGGGTGAAGTGATGTATATAGTGTGGGCCTGTTACAGCTGGATCGTCCCAGTTTTCAAGAGAAGCCAGACTTCTATGTAAAGCCACCTACCTGCTTTTTAAATGTTGGCAACTAATTCTCATTTTAAAAAATCACTCTTTGCCCCAAACACAGACATCTATGGGCCAGCTGGGACCCAGGACAACCAGCTCAGGATTCTTGGCTAACTCCTCTTGCCTGCAACCCCCATACCACAGGCCGCATTTAATTCACGCAATTTTCTTTTCCTTCCTTCCTTCCTTCCTTCCTTCCTTCCTTCCTTCCTTCCTTCCTTCCTTCCTTCCTTTCCCTTCCTTCCTTCCTCTCTCCCTCCCTCCCTCCCTTCCTTTCCCTCCCTTCCTTCCTTCCTTCCTTCCTTCCTTCCTTCCTTCCTTCCTTCCTTCCTTCCTTCCTCTCTCCCTCCCTCCCTCCCTCCCTTCTTTCCTTCCTTTCTTCCTTCCTTTCCCTTCCTTCCTTTCCCTTCCTTCCTTCCTCTCTCCCTCCCTTCCTTTCCCTTCGTTCTTTTTCCTTCCTTCCTTCCTTCCTTCCTTCCTTCCTTCCTTCCTTCCTTCCTTCCTTCCTTCCTTCCCCTCACCTGAGAATATTTTTTCCATTATCTTCAGATAGAGTGGAACAGAGGAAGAGAGAGAGAGAGAAACATCGATGTGAAAGAGACACATCAACTGACTGCCTCCCGCATGAGCAGGGCTGGGGACAAACCACAACCAAGGTACATGCCCTTGATCAGAATTGAACCCGAGACTCATTGGGCTGCAGGCCAACGCTCTCACCGCTGAGCCAAACCGGCCAGGGCTCATCCACATACTTCTCAACCTAAGTGTTGTTTCAGCCTTATCTGAAGCCATAACATGATGCGACCACGGGTTCCAGGTGCTCCTTACGCACTTTAATGCCAATGGAAGTGTCTGTTGCTGTCACAGGTGGTCCCCCACCCTCTGAGGGAGAGAATGAAGCCAACCTAAGAAGAACATCTTTTGGGAAAAACTATGTCCCATGGGGACACCCGCCAGCCATGTGGCGGGCACCATGCTGAGGGCTGTGAGGTGTGTCCTCTCAAAGTCCTTCGTGGGCTTTGCCAGCCTTCTGGGGGGCAGTCCTCCTGGTGTCCAGCCTCAATGCCCCAGGCTGCCCCAGGGGACCTTCCCCTTGCTCTGGTGGACAGGGGCTGGCTTTGGTCCCCGAGAGGCAGCTCTGGGATGGCAGAAGGGACTCTGATTCCCCCTCGCCCTGCCTGGGAGTGTGAGGAGGGACAGGGGTCACTGTTCAAGGGGGGGGGGGTGTCAACAGCCCCCTCCCCTGCAGGTCTTCTCTTCAGGACACCCTTCCTTCCTTCCATCTGTCCGTTTGCCCATCTGTGCTCTCCCAGGCTCCCTTCTCCCTTGTTTCAGAGGTCCCCAGCTGCTGCCGCCCCTGGAACAGAGGAGGAGACAGAGGGTGGGTGGCGAGGTGGGCAGGCGGAGGGCTGAGTGAGTGAGTGTCTGAGCCAGTGAAGGCTGGGGAGGCTGGGGGGATGGGGTGGGGGGCGGGGGCACTCATCCCCCAGTCCCCCAGGATCACCCTGTGTATTGGATTAAATAGTGTCCCCCCAAAACATACTCAAGTCCTAACTCCTGTTACCTGTGAATGTGACCTTGTTTGGAAATAGGGTCTTTACAGATGTCATTAGTTAAGAATCTCAAGATGAAATCATCCTGGACTTAGGGTGAGCCCTACATCCTATGACCAGTAAGTATCTTTACAAGAGAAAAAGAGGGAGATGTGAGAGACGGAGGAAATGGCAGAGGGGCAGAGGCGGGAGGCGGCTGGAAGCCCAGCTTGCAGGGGCAGGGGGGAGAACTGCCGAAGCCGCCAGAAGCGGGGGGAAGCATGAGGGCATCTCCCGCAGAGCCCAGGGGGAACCAGCTCCTCCAGCACTTTGACCTTGGCCTCCTGGCTGACTGTGGGCGAACACACCTCTGCTGTTTGAAGGCACCCAGTCTGTGGGCCTGGGTTATGCAGCCCGGGAAGCTAGCGCCTGGATCCTGGAAGGGGTGTGGAGTTGCCCCCTTGCTTCCTCAGTGCCCATCGCTGACCCCTGACCCCCACGCTCCAGCACCCAGGGAGGCCCTGTCCACAGCTGGCCAAGAATCCTGCCTCCCTCCAGAGGAGCAGAGAGAAGGTTAAGAGGGGCCAGGGGCTCCATCCTCAAATCTCTCAGCAACCCCTGGAGAGGTCTCTGACCCAAGGAACGTTTGCCATTCCCTTAACTTCAGCCTGACTGAGAAACCGCTGCCATGTCAAGTGGACTCTAGTCTCCACTCCATGAGAACTGCCCTGTGACCTTGGGTATGGCAATGCCTGCCCCAACCGCCATGAGGACCCATGTTCTGTGTCCCTTAGGGTGGCCAGATGAGCCCCACTCTGAAGCCATCCTCTCCCAGTGTCGTCACAATCACACAGACCCCATTGCCTCCCAAGCCTCTGTCAGACCCAAGCTCCAGTCAGCTGGCCTGTGTGTGCCCCAGGACACAGTGGCCGTCCCCAGCCTCCGAATTCTCGTAAAGGTCACCACCGGCCTAATGGGACTGGGGTTGGCCGCAGCCTCACAGACACAGTGAGAAGCAGCCATGTCCAGGGTGGAATAGGGCCACCACCCTCAGGGCCTGAACTCAGCTTTGCCCACTTCTAGTGCTCATCACAGGCCTGGCACTCAGCAGGCCCTCCATGTTTGGGAGGGAGGGAGGGAATGAATGAATGAATGAATGAATGAATGAATGAATGCCCTGTCCACCACATGCCTTTCCCGAGGCCATGAAATGAAAGAAGAGCAGATGTGGGACCCTAGCCCGCCCCTTCTGGCCTCCGTCTGTCCCCCAGTCCTGAGGCAGGTTTGGGATAAACAGCAACACACTCACCTGCCCAGCCTGGCCACAGGTGAGGGGGTGCCCTCCCAGCCCCAGGAGTCTACAGGATCCAGTTCCCTGTTCATCTCCCCTCACCCTCAACCAGCCACTCTGCCAAACCCTTTGGCCCAGCTGGCAGGGGCATGGGGAGCTCTCCCTGAGTGTTCCACCAGGAGAGGGGCTCCACCGACTTGGCCTTGAAACTGCCTTTGAATGGAAGCCAAAAGGCAGGCCAAGTCCTCTGCCCAGCCTCCAGCATGGGCCTCCGCCACCATCGGCTCTAGGCCGCTCTGGTTACCTGACCAGGCCGACCTGAGAGGGGTTCCCTCAGCTCCTGGTTAAAAGACCCTGACTGTGCCCCCTGGCAGGGGACAGCCCACTGCCCATGTTTGCTCAGACGCACACGAGGACCCACCGAAGTGTCACTTACTGGTCTGCACGTCACACAGCACAGGCGGGTTAGGCTCCTGAGCGGAGAGAAAGGGGAAAACTGCTGCGGCCTCCTTCCCGGTTTCAACGGGCTCCCCCAGCACATGGGGCAAGAGGCTCACCCTCCCCCCTGCTAGGACCCCCACATGGTCCCCTGGCATTGGGCTCCACCTGCCCTGCTTCTCCCTCTCCTGCCTCTGAGGTCACACTCTGCTCCAGTCACCCTCCCTCCAGGATGGCTCGCTGCTCTGACCCCCTCCGCGCCTTTGCTGGGGCTGCCCGCCCCGCGCCCTCTCTTCGGTGCTCTGTGTGTGAAAGACCCTGGAGGGCTGTCAAAGCTCCCTCTGCACAAAGGCCCTGCCCACCGCACCTTCCCTGCCCCTACCTCCTCCTGGGGGGGGGGGGTGCTCTCTGTAAGGGCATCTTTTTTGTTGTTGTTGTTAATTCTCACCCGAGGATATTTTCCCATTGATTTTTAGATAGAGTGGAAGGGAGGGAGGGAGACAGCGAGAGAGAGACAGAAACATCAATGTGAGAGACACATCGATTGGTTGCCTCCCACCCGACCCCAACTGGAGTCAGGAATCAAACCTGCAACCCAGGTAAGTGCCCTTGACTGAGAATTGAACCCAAGACCCTTTGGTTCACGGGCCAATGCTCTAACCACTGAACAAAACTGGCCAGGCTGTAAGGGCATCTTCACTGACTAATCATTTCGGCCACCAGGCCCCCTTTCCTTTTCTCAGAAAACTCCAAAGCTACGCTCCCTGCCACCCCAGAGGCCTTATGAACACGGAGCCCGGAGCCCGAGGGCTCACCTGCAGGGCGGGCCCTGCCCACCCCCCACTGCAGCAGGACTGGAATCCAGGCCTCCCACCCCCAGTTCCAGGTGCTTCTATGAAGATGTCCAATTGTCCAAGAGAGAAGGGCCAGTGGCCAGGTTCTTGGAGAGGAAGAGGTGACAGAGGACGTGCTCCCCACACCCACCTACGCTGGAGTGCTAGGTTGTCAGGAAGGCACACAGAGCCACTGGCTCCTTAGAGCCCTACTTCTTCCCAGGACATTCCAGTCCTCTATCTCTGGGACTTTGCACATGCTGGTCCTCTGCCTGGAGGGCCCTGTCCTAACCACCTGCATCACTGTCACCCACCCACTCCCTGCTCCTCCCACAGGTCTCGGCTTGCTGGCCACTTCCACTGGAAAGCCTTCCTCAGGCCCCCAGGAGGCTCTCCTCTGCGCCCACACCCTCTCCCCCACCCACGGTAGCACCTCCCCCACGGTAGCACCTCCCCCACGGACTGCGACCTCCTGGCAGGCAGGCAGCCCTGGGGCACGGTGCTTCAGCCCTGAGATAGGCTGGCTGGGTGGGCTGGGATCCCACTGCAGGCTCCTTTCTTCCTTCTGTATGACTGTCCCCCTGAGACACAGGTCAACCATCCCACTTTTACCTGTGCTCCTAAGACCCCTCCTACCCCCTCATCCAGGGCCCTCACTCCCATAGTCCAACACCCACCGGCTCTCCAGCCTTCCCCCGGAGCACTGGCTGCGGCAGGGCCATCTCCAGTCTATGTAGGAGCCACACCACCAACCTGTGGATGGGAGAGAATGGCCATGTCCAGGTGGGAAAGTGACACCAGAGTCTGATCCCCCACCCACTCAAGGCAGACAGCAACCCACCAGAAGGCAGACCAGAACCCAGGTCCTCAACCCCAAAGACCATTGTCCCCCTTCCTGGCCTCCTTAGGCATATCTCTGGCTACTGCTCAGACCCCAGCAGATAGCTCAGGCTCCTGCCACCCTCCACTCTACCCCTGGAGGTGCGTTTCAGGCCCCTCTCCCACTGCCAGGGTGGGAACTTTTCAGTACCTATCCCAATTTTAAACGCATGTATCCTTTAGCCCAGCAACGTTGTTTCCTACAGATTTACCCTACACATTTACTTGCATGTGGCGAAATGATGCCTGTACAAGGCTATTGCTTGCAGCTAAAGAGTGAAAACAAACCTAACTCTACCACATGGTTAAATAAAATCTGGTACGTCCATATAACAAAGTACTATGCAGCCATAGAAAGAATGAAGCAGACCTAGATGTATAAAACCACCTCAAAGAGACATTTTTGGGTGGAAAAAGCAAGGTACAGAACAGTACATACAGTTTGCTATTGTCAGGTGGATGTATTTAAAAATGAAACGTACTCACAAATTTGTGCCTAGAAAAATCTTGGGAAGGCTGAGAAGCTGCTGGTGGGGTTGCCCTGGGAAGGGGCTCTGGAAACCCCTTTGGATATTCTCCTAGGGGCATGTTTTACTTTTATAATTTAAAAAAGAGTTCGATGAAGGTTGGGTGTTGGGCTGTGCCCCCATGAGAGGTGTGGCGTTCAGTTTGGGGGGCTTACCTGGCAGGACCCCTAGGCGGGGTCAGGGAGGAAGCCTGGAAGCCAGGCTGGGGCTCTGCAGTCAGCTCCTCCTCAGGCTCGGGGGGGCTGGGAGTGGGCAGGGGCTGACTTTCTGGGGCCTGCAGCATGGGCTCCATTTCCAAGGGGCGTCCCGGGGGTTCTAAGCAGCAGGGAGAGTAGGAGACTAAGATGACATGGCAAAGTTCCATTGACCCCTTAAGGGCACAGGGGACCAAATTTAAAGGGCAAACATGAGTGGGAAGCCCCCTGGGATCACCCAGCCACCCCTATCATCAGACAGACATGGGAGTGAGGCCCAGGGAGCAGAAGGAACTTGTCCAAGACCTCACAAAGCTGTCCCAGGCCACTTGGCTTCCCAGCCTGGACTGGGGAGAGGGTTCTAGTGCTCCCCCACAATAGACCACTCCCAGCAAGCCCTTAACCCCTTCCTAGCCTGGGTTAGGGCTAAGGTCCTCCCCTGGCATCCCTCATGCCCCAATTGTACCCCAGCCCAGCCTGTGACCATCTCAAGCAGCCCTTTCCCAGGTCCTCTCCCTGTACCTGGGCCCAAGGCAGCATCTGCAGGCTCGTCTCTGCAGCCCTGGGTCATAGCAGGAAGAGAGGTCAGGAAGCAACGCAAGCCCGGAGCACTCCCGCCCCTGGCCAGCCGTGTGCTGGCCCGTCCTTCCCATGAGTCCCCTGTGCCTCCGGCAGTCACTCCCCCCATCAAGGACCCTCCAGGGAGCGCACCCCCTCCGTGGGTCTCAGAGAGGGGTGTGGGGACAGACTGCTAGAGTAGGCACCCCTTCCTGAGACCCCCAGAAACCCTCCCAGGTGGTCAGCTTCCTGCTTCCCCTTTTTGTCCACTTACCTCTGAAGTTTTTGGAGGCTGAGGCAGCACTTTCTCCAGGTTCTGCTCAAACCACCTGAGCAGCCAGGGCCCAGGCCTGCAGAGGGGCCGGTGGTCAGCCGGGCGGCCTGAGGAGTGGCCAGCCATACTGTCCTGACCACCGGCTGGGGTCTCAGGCCTGGCCTAGCCCCCCCTGCCCTCGGCTCTCATTCTGGGGGCCTTGTATTGGATACTCTCCATGGACCTCAAGTGGTGGGGGAAACCTGCCAACCTCAAATTCTGATCCAGGGCTGACCAGGCTCCGGAACCACGGGCCCAGCCTCGGCCTCCTGGGCAGCAGGTGAGGAGCAGAGGCTGCTCGGGGCAGTGGGCTCCCTGTGACCGGGACAGGCAGGTCTGTGATCAAAGCAGTCACACAGGGCCCTACACCTAGAAGGCCTGTTTTTACTGAATGCTCTGTTAGCATAGTCTTAAATTCTTAACACTTTTTAAAAGGAGTCCTGAGTTTTCGTTTTGCACTGGGCCCCGCAAAGCACAGAGCTGCCCCAGGGCAAGTGCTTGACCCCAGACAGCCCTCCAAGCAGACCCTCTCCTTAGGGAAGCTCCATGCTCCCAGGGGAACCCAGCCCCCCCCCCCACCACCACCACCACCACCAGGTATGGCCCGTGAGAAAGCTGGCAAGTCATCTGGGTGCCTTCACCCTAAATCACTTTCCAATCCCATGAGTCAGCTGAGTGGCCCTGAGGACCCCTGACCTAGCTTCCAGGGGACCAAAAAAAAAAGAGAGAGAGAGCGAACTGGAGTAATAAATGACTAAATGTACTTAATCTCTTCATTTTATTTTTTCAATAAATCCCCCAATCTCCTCCCCTCTGACAACCTTCAGTGTATTCTCTGTATCTATGTGTCTGTTTCTGTTTTGTTTATTCACTTATTTTGTTCTTTAGATTTTACATATAAATGAAATCTCATGGTATTTATATTTTCTAGCTTCTCTTGAAAAGTGGAGAATTTGGCAATCCTGGGCCCACACTCTAACCCTACAGAGCAGGGCCACTCCCTGGAGAAGGACACATGCTCCACCCTTTGTCATAGTCCTCACCCAGCCTGCCACCCTGAATGACAAGGCAGCCACCCGCCTCAATCACCTCTGTTTAAAGCTGTTGACAACTATGAGGCCAACCCGAATGTCCCCCATGGTGGCCCAGGCTCTGCCTCTGGGCTCCACACAGCATCCACCTACACAGAGCCCCTCTGTGAGGAGATCATCCATACCTCCTCCCATCCTCAGAACGTGGCCCCCACCTGGGGAGATCCCAGTAGTCAACACCAAACCATGGGCAGCACAAGACCCATAGCCCCATTTTCTGGATGAGAAAAGTGAGGTCCGGAAGAGATAAAAGGCATGTCCAAGGTCACACTGAGGTGGTAGCGGACTCTGCTCTTAAATACAGCACCCGAGGCTCTGTGTACACTGCTCCCCCCACCACACACACTACAGATGAGGCTCAGAGGCTCCCAAAGCAGCGCTCAGGGACGGGGACTCACCCAGTGTCCTTTGCCCTGGAGGCCTCACTGGATCCATCTGCAGAGAAAGTATGGTGGTCAGTAGCAAGAGGCCTGCCCAGACCCCTACTCAGCCCAGTTTGAAACCATGTTTGAATCTGGGGCCAGTCCAATAAAACTCAGCCCTGTGGACTCTCCCCAGGAGCAAGACCCATGCCCATCTCCCCTCAGCCCCACCCCTGTAAAGCCATCCTACCCTATGGCCTTACCTGAGACCCCAGTGCTGCAGTGCCCAAGGATCTGTGCTCTTGCCTATGGGGACAGACAGACAGACAGGCACAGGCAGAGAGCCCAGGTGCACCAGCCTCCCACAGCCCCTTCTGCACCCAACCCTCTGCAGCTCCCAGCCCCAGCAGTACCTGATCCGGGCCCTCCAAGCTGATCGCAGTGCTCTGGGCTGGACGGCCACTGTGGACAGGCTGTGGGACAACCTTCTCCATGCCCCTCCTGAGCCAGGTCAGCACCCAGGCCCTGGGACTGCAGAGGGACAGATGGTGCCCACCCTCAACCTCCCCAGCCCCAGCGCAGTCAGAGTGGCCGGCCACAACTCAAGATCTTGGTTTTTTCAACCTGAAGCAACTAGTTGGAATTGCACACCTCTGTCTCCCCACTGTGAGACTTCAGACACATCATCTCCCCCAAGCCTGTGTCCCTCTCTGGAAAGTGGAGACACCAACTCTTTGTGAGGCAAGAATGCCCCGTGCCATCCTGAGCCCACCTCTATCAGATGCTTGAGAGCAACCAAGTTCTCTCCATCATCCTGGCTGCCCCTTAGCCTGGCTCCAGGGGTCCCCATCCTGCACTTGGCACATGCCTTGTGCTGCAGAAGGGTTGAGGGTTTCCTGGAGGGTGTCTCCTCGTGGCTGAGACTGGTCCTTCTAAAGATGCGGGTCACAGGCTCACTGCCTGGGCCAGCCCCAGCCACAGATGTGCTCACTTGGGTAATATCTGAGCCAACCAGGAGATTTTACGTAAAAGTCTGGATTTCTGGTATCCTGGGGACGTCGGAACCTCTGCCACTTTGGACCTGACTCCATCCAGGCACTGAGAACCCTCTGGCCCCACCTTTCACTGCTCCTGGTCACATTGGCCCAGGAGATCCCCACCCACTGCCTGAGGCTTTCTTCATTCAGCCAGTTCCCAAAATGGCCCAAACTTGGCCTGGGAGTGATGGTGGGCCTGACAGCAGTGTGGGCCCCCCTGCTAATGGCGCCCCAGTTTGGGTGGGCCCGGCCCTCAGGAGAGGGGATGTGGTACCGTACCTGTTCACTCCAGGGACCACAGCAAGCTGGGCCTGGGGGGACGTGGGCGGAGGAGAGGCGGCCTTCTGGGTCTCTGGAAAAGAGTCCCTCACGCTTTAGATCTGGACACTCGGAGAGTCCGTTTCTACCATGTAGGGTGGTCAAGTCAGGCAGGGAGTGGGGAGAACCCCAAAGGGGTCAGGAGGCTGGGATTCCAGCTCAGCGCAGCTGAAAGTTCCCCAGGAGCCCGCCCTTAGCTTCTCTGAGCCTCCCTGTGAATGGGCCTCCCCGTTCCTCTATCAGGCCCGAGGGGAGAACACAGCCCTTCCCACCGCTGGCCCTTCGAGCCTGGGCTTCTAGCACTCACCCTCAGGGCTCGGGTCAGCCACAGCTCCTTCCTCCCCTTCGAATGACTCCTCTGGTGGCTGGAGGGTTCAAAAAGGACCATGTGAGCCCTCAGAGAGCTCACTCTGGTTCAGACCCACCCATAAGGGACCCTTCCACCCCCCACAGGACCAAACAATTCTATTCTCATAACCGTCTCTGTAAATCCTGGTGGCCTCACCTTCCACCTGGGACCCTCCCTTCCTCCCAGCCCCACAGACCTCTCATCCAGATCTGGGCCCTCACAGCCCCCCGCAAGGTGGTCCCCAGGCCTATCACATCACCCAGGAAGCTTCCCCAAGTCAGTGGCCTGGGAAGAGTGGGGGGAGTTATAGAAAGTTACGAAGCCTTGCAGCAAGCTGAGGGGCAGAGGGAGGTGAGAGGATCCCACTGCCCACCCAGCCCCAGTCAGGGCTTTTCCTCTCCTTTAGGGCCAAACCTTCCATGTCCCTCCAGCAGGCGGTGCAGTTCAGCCGCTGCCGCCTGCCTCTCATCTGCTTCTGCAGTAGCACCTTCTACTGCTACATGCACATATGTGCATGTACAACAAAGGCAGACCTAGACATGAGCTGTGCACACTCACTCTCACATATACTTACAGGCACAGACATACATGACCACACTTGTATACAAATGGAGACACAAACATTTGTATATGTGTGTGTTTATACACATGTACATGCAATGTATATATACATGTATATGCACATGTGCCCAAACATGTGTGTGCACATACAAGACACAAAACGGATGTACATATATAGTTGTGTTACGTACCCTGACACATTTCATATGTGCATCAACACAAAATCAAATACTTGAGCATACTGCACAGACACACAAACATGCATACATGCATAAACACGTAAATACATTCACAGATTCAGAAACATTTGCATGTACACATGCATATGCACTAGCGTCCACCATGCACACAGAACTATAGACACACTGGTGTGTACACCCATATTTATGTATGCACATGTGTGTACACACATATACATGTAAGTGCATGCATGTAGTCAGGTACACCTGATTTGAAAACACGCCTGCATGTACAAACATTCCACTAAGGACACACAGAGTACACCTCTATGTACATACACATGTGTGCACATGCAAACACTTAGACACACAAGTCCTGTACCTGGGCAACTTACTGTTTCCTAAACACAGCCTGCACTACTCCAGTAATAGCCTTTCTGTCCTGGGAGTGCTCCACCTCTTCATCTCCGCCAGGTGCAATTCAGCCCGGCCACAGTGTCCAGGAAGTACTCACTTGCCTGCTTCCAATCTCCAAAGAGAAGATGACTCTCCCTATTCTGCGCTCCCATTGTCCTCAGTCTGATGCACCTATTTGGCCCTCCCAGAGGGTGAGCTGAGGCCAGTGTTGGAGCTCACCACTTTTCCTCATCACTCTGTCTCCTTGCAGAATGCCTGGACAGGTGCTTGTCTGCTGACCTCCAGGGCAATGCCATATTCATCATTATGCTCCCAGCACTGCACAGGGGGCCTGAAGTCCATCAGAAGCAAAATCAAATCTGTTTAATTTAGCTTCTGAATTAGTTCCCGTCAGGCTCCTGGATGAATGAGACGCAGACTGGAAAGTTTTGATGTGTTCAAAGGTAAGTTCTAGAGTAGGGCTGCTCCAAGTGTGGTCCATGAACCAGTGTCAGTCTGCAAACTGCTACTGGTCCACACTGAATAGGTAGTTTGCACCATAATGTTTATCAACACACTTCCTTCACTGAGAAAGTCTTACTGCAAAACAAATTCTGATAAACTAAGCAGTATGCTTAGTTACATAGTAGATTTACATTCTAGCAAGCTTCTAATCTCATCATGGACTGGTAACAAACAGTCCATGCACTGTTCTAAAGCACAGAGGTTGGCAAACAATGGCCCATGGGCCAAATTCAGCCTGCTGCTCATTTTGTAAATAAAGTTTTATTAGAACACAGCTATGCTCATTTATTGTCTGTGGCTATTTTCACATGCCAGTGACAGAGTTAAGTGATTAACAGAGATAGCATGACCCACAAAGCCTAAAATATTTACTCCCCAGCATGTAAAATATTTACTCCCTCACCCTCACTTCTTACCAGGCACTCCTCTTCTAGCTTGGCCTCCTGGGGGGCTGTGTCAGGCTCCGGCGCTGGTTCCAGCTCTGCCTCCAGGCCAAGCTCTGGCTCCGGTTCTGCCCCCTCCTCCTCCTCCATCTTGGTCTTCTGAGGGGTCCCTGGGGGCTGAGGCAGCACCCTCTGGACCCAGCCCAACATCCTGACACCTGTAGGGCAGAGTCCTTAGGCCTCCCCAGAGTGCTCACAGTTGTTCCCACCATTTGGGGGCCACTTGTGTGGATTACACATTTCCCTTTTCTCTCATATTTTAAAATATTTCTGCAATTGTATCTCCAAGTAAAAATACTCAAATCTACATGTGTATAAAGAGGCTGATCACAACAGTCTTATAGCAAAAGATGAAAAACATTCAAACATCTGTCAGTAGGAGACTGGCTATTGGAAAGTACCTAACTGTTCCCCTGTAAGAGGGACACATTAAATACATTTCACTGCATTCAATAATGGAATATTATGGCTCTATCTGAACTAACATGGGAACGTGCACATGCTCTGGACTCCAGTTGTGAGCAAATCAGTTAAACTCTTTGTTCCTCAGTTTGTTTGTCTGTAAAATGGGATAGTAAAAGTACCTACTTTGTAGGGGTGATTTAAGGATGAGATAAACTGGTAAGAACAGTGACTAGCACACACTGGAAGCTTAGTTAGTGTTGGCTGTGACTATTATTTGGAATCAAGTAAAAATGCTTGTGAAATATTATGTTCGGTATAATCCCCCTTGCAAACTTTTATGAATACATTATAAGTAATATGTAAATGGAAAATCTGTTTTTCTTTTTGTTTTTTTGTTTTGTTTTGTTTTATCCTCGCCTGAGAATATTTTTCTACTTATCTTCAGAGTGGGGGGGGGGGAGAGAGAGAGAGAGAGAGAGAGAGAGAGAGAGAGAGAGAGAGACATCGATGTGAGAGTGAGACATCGAGTGGCTGCCTTCCTCATGACCCCGGCCAGGGCTGGGGACGAACTGCAACTGAGGTATGTGCCCTTGGCTGGAATCGAACCCGTGACTCATTGGTCTGCAGGCCAATGCTCTAACCACTGAGCCAAACCGGCCAGGGCAGAAAATCTGTTTTAATATAGACAAAATTAACCTATTTTCATGATTTAATATTTTAAGGTAAAATGACAGTTAAGCCCCCTTTTCAGGGTTTACTGTGATATTTCAGCCCTACCTTACTTATATGGGTTCAGTTTCTGGCATGATTTGTTTTTGGGGAATGGGGAGCCCTTGCCCTCATGATTAGATTCCTACAGGATGGCCTGGCCCAGCGGGCACCACACAGGTCAGTGTGCGCCAACTGTTGGCCCAGAAAGGTCCCTTTTGGGGCAATGCTCGACATGGTGTGCTCCGCCCCCAGCCTTGGGCAGCCCAGGTGTTGTTAGAGGGCTCCTCTGCCCCTTCCCCAGCAGGACCCTGGCCCTAGGCTGAGAGAGCAAGCACAGGGCCCAGCTCCCTGCAGCCTGTGGCCACGCTGCCTTCCCTTCTTCTCACAGCTCTGACTTCTGTCCCCACTCCGGCCTCAGCAGCCCAGCTTCCCCTGTGAGAGGCTGTGGGGGGTGACAGAGCCTCAACTCTGTCTCCAAAAAGGTGAACTTGGGCCAGACATGACCCCTCTGGTCATCCATCTTCCTGTTGGGATGGAGACACAGTGATTACCAAGGTCAGAAGAACCCCAGGTCACATGCTAGGATGGTGGATTCCCCCGACCCCAGCCAGCCATAAGCAGCCTCACAAGGGAGAGTGTTCACACTCACCCTCGTTCTCACCACCTCCCGCCAGGCCCTGTAAAAATAAGTGTTGTCATCACCACTTTATAGCAAAGGAAATGGAAGCACAGAGAGGTCAGTAGCCTGGCCCAAAGTAACACAGCCAGTGAGTGGCAATGCTGAGTTCGCACTTAGGTCTGCCTGGCTCCAGGTGTCCCACGTGTCCCCCAGTGGTACCGACATCTGCTTCTTCTGCAGGCCAGTCCTGCAGACCCTGTCTCCGCAGTCAGCTACTGCGACTTAAGTTTCTGAACCTTCTGGAAATGACAAGGAAGCCTTCACACTCCCAGTTTTTCTTCTTCCCTAGACTCAGCCATTCCCTCCTACATGGAAACGTTTGCAGGTCCCTCCTATACTTCAGCCATGTCCCTGCCAACTCCATTTGATGAAAGTGGCTCAGGTAGGAAGGGGGACCTGAGAGAGGCAGCCCAGGACAACAGCCTTTCAGATCTCCTGGGGAGCTGGTAAAAATACAAACCCTCTGCGGGGCCTGACCTCTGCATTTCACATGCTGCCGCATAGATCGGAGTACACACTAAGGTTTGCGCAGCACCGGGAGGGAGGGGGGAGGGAGCCTGCGGTTGTCAGCCTGGCCCCATTCTCCATGTCTAGACGCCTTGCTAGCAGGAGAGCATGGGAGTCCATCAGCAGTCCCACCGCCACCGAGCCGCCACCTCATCCCGAGTTACCTGCTCAGATACGGACCACCAGCCGGGAATTGCCTTCTCCCTGCCAGTCACAGCTGGCCTCTCAAATACAGGGGGATTAATTGGCCTTGTGCAAAGGATTAGCAGGTGCCAAACAGGGGTGGGGAGATGGTGGTGGATGAGAGGAGGGTGATGCCCAGGGAGCCAACAGCAACGCCCTAGAAACCAGTAGGCATCTGGGGCCCAGGGAAGGAGCGCCAGGTGGCCCAGGTTTGGGCACCATGAGTTGCCGGAGGATCTGCCGAGGTACCACGGGCCAGGCTCCCCACATACCTTGGCCAAGCTACAGAATGTCTGATGGAAGGATGACAGCTTGGAGTCCCTGTGTCATTCTGGGAGACTCCTCGAGCAGCAGGGGCTTGTAACTCTCAGTCAGCAATAGCAGTACACGCCAGCTACCCAGCCCCAAGGCGGACTCAGGCGGATTCTCTCTGGTCTGGAGTCCTCAGCAGTGTGGCCGGGGCCTCAGCAGCCCCTGCCTTGGGCTCTGCCAGAATGGCTGTGGTCCCAGGGCTGGGTCTTTAGGAAGAATCCAAGGACTCGTGGGTGACTGACTACATGTGAGCTGACTCCCTGAACTGAGGTCAGACCCTAGAGGGGAAACAGAGATCTAGAGGAAGAGGCCAAGAGCGACAGAGGCCCAGTGAGGGGCTCAGTGAGGTGGCAGGACCTGGGTGGGAGGTGGCGTAGAGGGATGTTCAGCAAAGGGGCAGGAACTTGACTTGATTATCCACAACATTTCTTGAGTTCTTCCTGTGTTCAACAGAGTGCCAACCTTGGCACATTAACAAGATAGGCATGGGCCCTGACCTTATGAAGCTACTATTCAATGGAGGTAGAAGTAAAACAGATTGAGGATGAATAAAGAAATATTGCAAATTATGCTGATTCCATGAAAGAAACGAAAGGGCAGAAATGTGTGTGGTAGGGCTGGAGTAGGGCTGGCGGGTCTCTGTGAAGAGGTAGGGCTTTGAGCTGAGATGAAAAGCGGGATCTGAGTGAATGGTGTTCCAGGCAGAGCACATTGCAAAGGTCAATGTCCTGAGGCTGGAAGGAGCTTAGTACAGCTATACCACAGTCTGTTTATCTGTTCACCGCTCAATGGACACTTGGGTTCTTTCCACTTTTGGCCACTATATAGAATCCTGCCAGAACATTTGCATCCAAGCCTGTGTGGACATATCGTTTCTCTTGGGAAAATTCCTAGAGGTAAAATTGTTGGTTCATATGGTCAATTTATGTTTCACTTTTTAACATAGTGCTAAACTGTTTTGCAAAGTATTACCCCATGTCTTGACTTGAGTGGTAGTTATGTACATGGGATCTTACTTTATAAAATATTAGTTATATTATTGATGCACTTTCTGTATTTTGTTATATTTTACAGCTTTAAGAGAGTTAAAAAATAAATGGGAAGGGTAAATTGAGTCAACTCTGAGAGAGTTTTCTGTGAGCTGCTGGACTTGGGGATGCTGCCCTGGGGCTGTATGGTGCAGGAAGGGCAACCAGGGAGCCAAATCCTATGTGATCTCACAGGCTCAGCACCTGGGCAGATTTATGCAAAGCACGTGCCAATATATGCAAATAGGTTAGGCTCTTCCAGGGTTCCCTCGCCTGAGCGTTTCTCTCCAATAGTTGTGACATTGGTGGTGGGCAGGCCCCAGGGCTTCAGGGTGCTGGGCTTAGACACTCATGACCTTGCTTTCTGAGGAGGAAGGGAGGCTGCAGGCCTGCAAGGGGCTGGGGATGATGTATCACCTGCTAATCCCTGTCCTGCTGAGGCCACCACTCTCCCTGATCCTCTTACGCTGACCCTGGATACTGGCCACCACTAATCTCCACCCCTGGAACCCCATGGGCGGGCAGGCAGAACAGTGCCCTCTTCCCTGAGGTCTGCAGTGGGGGGAGGGCCCTCCCAGATCACAGACACCCCTCATGGCAGGGCCTAGGGCCCTTGCTTAACACAGATGGGAGCTTTGAGTTCCAGAGAGAGACAGTAACTAGTCCAAGGTCACACAACCTGCCCTGGCCAGGAGCCTGGCCCAGGAGACAGCAGCCTTCAGGAAGGCTGAAATGGATGGGGGGTGTACAGGACTCCGGGCAGCGGGCTCTTCTCCCCAGAGCCTGTGGTTGGTTGCCAGGGTTGCCGAGGAGTGGATGCCTCACAATCAGGCTGCAAAGGGCATTGTCCCTGCAGAACATTCTTTATTCTCCTACTGTCTCACAAGGCCTGGGGCTTGGCACATCTCCCTGCCTCTTCTCCCCACAGAGCAGCTGGAAGAACAGAACATCTTTATAAGCCTGTGCACCTAAGGTATGTGCCTTGCAGATCAGGTAGCCGCTGTCAGTGGGTCAGGAGCAGGGAGTCCTCCTTTCTCTCCTCTCCCTGCTCCACTCCCTGTCCCTCCCCCTGCAGGCCCATCCTCTGTGCCCTCTTCCTTCTCCTTCATGGCCCTAGGTCCCATGGCCCCAGGTCCTTACCTCCTGCCCACCTACCACCCACTTCCATTTCTCCCTTTCAAACAAGCTGAGTCAACAAATTCTCACTAAAGTTGAAATGGCTGAATGGCTCCTAGGAATACCTGCTTTTTTTTTTTTAGAGTGGGAAGGAGAGAGTGGAAGAGAGAGAGAGAGAGAAACATCGACGTGAAAGGGACACATCGAGTGGCTGCCTCCCACACGACTCAACCAGGGCCGGGGACAAACTGCAACCGAGGTACGCGCCCTTAGCGGGAACCGAACCCGGGTCTCTCTGGACCGCAGGCAGACGCTCTAACCACTGAGCAAAACTGGCCAGGGCAATACCTGCCCTTTATTATTTTATTTTTAATATGTTTTTATTGATTTTTTAGAGAGAGAGGAAGGGAAAGAGAGAGAGAGATAGAAACATCTATATGAGAAAAACATCAATCAACTGCCTCCTCCACTCCCCCTACTGGGGATTGAACCTGGACTGCTCAATCCACAGGATGACACTCAATCCACTGAGCCACACAGGCTGGGTGGGCATACCTGCTTTATAGAAGGAGACACTGCCTGGCCAGCGATGTCTTTCTAGTTTGTATCTATCGTGTCTCTCTCTTTCTTTAAAACATTTTTGTCTCCCGGTAGGATTTTGACTAAATGCCAGAGACCTTAGCCAAGACCAAAAGTCCATACTTAGTTACCATTTTGAGCTAAATCTGAACCCACCTGCTGCTGCTGCTGTTTCCTGCTCATTATTTAAGAATAGACTCAAATGTCACCTCTTTTAGGCCAATCCCAGCCTCCCCAGATATACGCACCCTGTCCTGACCTCGGTCAAAGCCCTTAGCACATCCTCTGTGTGTCATGTCATCTGAATGTCCCTGAAAAAGCAGGATCTGGCACACAGTAGGTGCTCAATAAATGTCGGACCAGTAGATCAATCAGCACTGGCCAAGGTCGTGTTCCCACATAGAGGGGCATCTGGCTGGCCTAAGCCCAGGGTGAACCCCTTTGTACTCTTGGCTCCCCAGCCATGGCCCGCATCATCGACCTGGTGCCCTGGGAGGATGGCTCCGCCCACGTGTACGCGTCCCCAGCCATCCTGTTCCCGATGGAGCGGCAGAGAAACCAGTTGGCTGGAGTGAAGCAGCAGCTCTACCACCCCGCCCTGCCCAGCCTGCGCCGCATGGACATGGACTCCGTCAGGGCCTGCCTGCCTGATGAGCACTGCCAGTCCACCACCTACTGCCGCAAAGGTCAGGCCACATCCCCTGCTGCCCCAGGGGCCCAGGGGCCCAGGGCCTTGGGGAAGGGATGGATGGTTCGGAGCACACAGATCCGGGAGTGAAGCCCATCAGTGGCAGGTGAAAGCATTCGAGGGGCTAGTCCCAGCTCTGCTACTTCCTACGCAGGAAACCTTGCAAGGTCTGAGCCCGTTTCCTCATCAGTAAAATGGGGATGATCATGGGGCCTGCCTCACAAGGTGAGTGTGAGGTTAAAGTGAGATAAAGCAGGAAAAGTACTTAGAGTAGTGTCTGGCACCTAAATAATGTTGGCGATGTTATTATTATTATTAATGGAGAGAGAACTGTGCAGAGGTCAGTAGCTGCAGCAGAAGGAGTAATAATAAAGGCAATAATAACAACTTCTGTCCAATCATCTCTCCATGTGGAAAAGGAAGAGAGAAACCTCCTCACGCCTCCCATGAGTGAGAGGAGGACCTGGCCCAGGGATAACTCTTCATGAATCAGAAGCTTTGCTGTGGAGATGGGGTTGCCACATGAACACACACGTTCATTTATTAAGCACCTCTTTCATGCCTGACACTTTGCTGGGTCCACGGGGAAACTAAGCGTCTTGCAGCTACAGGAAACAGCGTGTGTGGAGGCCTGGAAGGAAAAAACTACACAAGATTTTGGGGTGTGGTAGCTCTGGAGGAAAAGGTTTGTGGGAGCAGGAGAAGCAGATGCTGGGGATAAGGGCACAGCTCAGAAAAGGCCCTGATGCTGAGCTCAGGGGCCTAAACTTTCTCAGGAGGGAAATAAGAACCTCTGAAAACTAAACAGAAAAGAGGTCTGAGGACTGTGGGGGAGGAGGTGGAGCAGTGGTTCTCAACCTGTGGGTCGCGACCCCTTTGGGGTTGAACGACCTTTTCACAGGGGTCGCCTAGGATCATCGGAAAACACATATTTCCGATGGTCTTAGGAACCGAGACACCGCTCCTCTATCCGTCTCCAGGCGGGTCCGCCCACATGCAGATACGCCCACATACAACATGAGGAGCTGGATTAAAGGGTCCCGGCATTATGAAGGTTGAGAACCACTGGGTGGAGAATGGCCCAGGGAAACTAGAGGTGGATAATGGGGGAAGGGCTAGTTGGGATACTGGGAGAGATCACAGTCTTTTTTTTTTTTAATCCTCACCCGAGGACATTTTTCCAATTTTTGTACAGATAGAGTGGGAGGGAGAGAGAGAGGGAGAGAGAGAGAGAAACATCGAATGGCTGCCACCCGCACGACCAACCAGGGCCGGGGACAAACTGCAACTGAAGTACGTGCCCTTAGCGGGAACCGAACCCTGGTCTCTCCGGACCGCAGGCTGACCCTCTAACCGCTGAGCCAAACCGGCCAGGGCTGAGATCACAGTCTTTAGGAGTGATAGTGTCGGTTTGGGGAAGTATTTAGGAGATAAAATAACAGGATTTGGTATCAGAGTGGTTAGAGGGACAAGAGGGGACAGTGAGTCCAGGACAATACCCTGGTCCCACTCATGGTCAGAGACTGTATGGAGATCTCCCGAGGTCCCACAAAGATCTCTGCAGGGCCAAGATGGGAAATGGAAAAGGTGAAGTGAAGCCCTCCACCTGCCCCTCCACAGGGGAGCAGATGCTGGGCTCTCCCCACCCCCATTTTTGTGTGGAGGGGTCCACACAGCTGTCAGACCATATAATTTCCTGGCTTCTCTTAGAACCTAGGTTTTTAGGAAAAGCTCACTCTTGGTTTAGATATGTATTTTATTGTCAGTATATGCTTCAATAAAAGTAATAGAATCACAGGTTTAAAATTCAAAATACTGCAGTAATGTGCATTTTAACAAGTCTGACTTCTCCCCCTCCTCCCACGCCCACTTGCAGGTACCCACCCTTGGTTTTTAATGTAGCCTTTCATTGTTTACTATTGAAAATACAAAAATGTATTATTTTGCTCATCAACTTTTTATTATGAACATATTCAAACATAGAGAAAATTTGAAAGAATAATATTATGAACACCCATTACCTTCCACCTGCTTCAATTAATGTTTTGTTGTTCTCTCTCTCTCTCTCTCTCACACACACACACACATTTTAATAAGCAGCCAAAGTTCTCAATCTTTTCTTTAAGGCTCCTGGATTTTGAATTAGAGCTGGTACGTCCTTTCCCACCCCAAGGTTAGGAAGGAATTTACCCATGTTTTCCTCTTGTACTTCTATGGTTTCTTTTTTATTTAAATATATGTATATTGAAATATTTGACCTATTTTTAGTTTATTCTATTATAAGACATTAAGTATAAATATACTTTATCTTAGATTTTTAAAGTTATCATACACACACACATACACACACACTTTTTTTTTTTTTTTTTCATTTTAAAGCAACGTAATCCGAACCTCTTCTGCGTGGGCCTGTGACTGCTGGTGCGGGAGTCACATCTTCTCCCTTTCTCTTCCTTCTTCAGATGACTTTGACAACGCCTACTTCACACTCCTAGGGGTCCCCAATAAACCCCTGCAGTGCTTGGTGAGTGTCCTTTGCCACTGGCCCTGAGTTTGCTCCGGGAAAGGGACCAAGGCCCTGCTTGCACCCAGCCCCAAGCACCTCTAGTCTTGGGCTCTACTCCGTGTACCTCCTCAGCTGCCGCCTTGGGAGCCCCGACCGTCCCCATCTCCAACAGGGGCTTCAGGCGCCCCTTGGTCAAATAAGCCAAATGTCAGCGCCGCCGTCCTCCGTGGCTTGGGTTGGCCTCCCAGGCTTCTGCACCGACCTCTCAGGCCCTGACTCCCATCGCGCTGGCAGGACATCACCGCGACCGGCCAGAGGCTCCGTGACAGGTGCCGCGAGGGAAAGCTGGTGCCCATCGCTCCGGGCGTCCACCGGGTCGACTGGCCCTGCTTCACGCGCGCCATCGAGGACTGGTCCCATTTCGTGTCCTCTGCCGGCGAGTTCAAGCTGCCCTGTCCGAGCAAGAGGGGTCAGTCTATCCCGCGCGGAGAATGCCCAGGGGCGGGAGAGGTAGCTGAGCCGCCAGGACTGGAGTCTGGACCTGGAGCGCTGACTGCCGACGGAGGCCATCACCGGTGGGCTCCAGCAAGGACAGAGCGGGGAAGCTGGGGTGCAGTGGGGAGCACTCAGAGAGGGAAGGGCTGAGACGATTGAGGGACATGGAGGCGGCGCTCGTCTTGGGGACAAGGTGGGAGCCAGGTCAGGGCCCGGAGCCACTGGGGCTGAGGCTGAGCCCAGGGTGCGTCCTGAGACCCGTGAAGCAGGGTCTGGAGGCGGGGCTTGCTCTAGCTGGGCAGATGCTAGGAGCAGGTGTGGGCGGGGCCTAGTCCAGGGACAGGGCTCAGGTAAGAGTGGGGCGGGGCTCGTTCAGGGTGTGCTTGGGCGGAAGATGCGCCCTCTCTCCGCAGTCGAGAGCTTCAGCGGCTACGCGGTGCGGCACTTGAAGCCGGAGGTCACCCAGAACTGGCGGGTAGGGAGCGCTGCGCGCTGACCTGTCCTTGGGGTCCGGCAGGGTGAGGGGAGGAGCAGCTAACCCGGGAAGGGGTGTAGGGAGAGAGAGAAGAGGCCGAGAGCAGGGTCTCCCAGTCCCCATAGCCAGGATCTCGCGCAGAGAGCGCTGTGTGGGGAGTGAGTGGGGTTGGGGGGCGTGTTCCCCCTGGTTCACGGACCACCCCTATCCCTCTGGCCCGCCCCAGTACTGTCTCAACCAGAACCCCAGCCTGGATCGCTACGGACAGAAGCCCCTGCCTTTCGATTCCCTGTGAGTGAGGCACAGGCCCCGGACCCCTGTGAGAACTGGGAAAAATTGGTTGGCTCCAATACACCACAAGAAAATCACAGTTTCAAAATTAATAAATGTTTAATTCCTACCAAATGGAGCACCTGTCCTCCAGTCCCTGGCAAGTTAACCCTTTCGGGGTGGAGACGAAGGTGCAGTGTAATCCTGGCGGCATGGAGCCTCCCGGGGTGGGAGTGAGGTTTCGAGAGAGTGAGGTTCCCCAAGAAGGGAATGCGCCTCCCCACCTCGGGTTCACCTTCCTCCTTCTTTCGCAGAAATGCTTTCCGACGCTTTGGCTCCCAGTACAGGTAGGGAACTGACCCCGCCCCCGCCCCCGCCCCGCCCCTGGCCTTTCCCCGCTCCGGCTGCCTCCGCCTCCGGCTCCACCCCTGCTCCGCCTTGGGGACTTGGCAAGGAAGGCTCGGGGAATGGATAGCCCCCAAGATGTCAGAGAGAGAGAGAGCGAGCTCCTTCCCTCCAGAGAGATCCTCCCAGGCCAAAGAGCAGCCCACCTGGAGGTGGAGGGAGCGGAGAGCTTGTCCCACCCAATGTGTCCCTGACCCTGCCAAAGGGGCGGGGGTGAGGGTGGGTGGGGGGAGGGGTGGAGTTTACCTGGGAGAAGAGCAGGGACCAGAAGAGCAAACAGATAATAAAACATGATGGAAAGAGCCAAGACCCCGCCTTGCAGGATGCAGAGGGATGGTAAGAGCTGGGGCTAGTGTTCTCAGCTGGAGTGTGTACGATATTCAGGCATCTTCATAATCTGGCCGACTCCCGCCTCTCCAGTTCCATTCCCTACACTTCAGCGGTCTCCTGGTGTGACCCAAACCACCAGCACAACCAAGCACTTCACATCTTCGATTGTGCTATTTCCGCACCTAGATGATCCTTCTGTGCCTGAAAGACTCCTCTTCAGTCTTTAAAGCCCAACCCACAAGTCCCATCTTTGAAGTCTTCCCTGACCCTCTGCCTCTCCTCTCCAGCTCAAACCGCCCCCCCCATTTGGTCACTGGATGTGTACCCCTATCTGATGGCACAGACTGTTGCGTTATAATTCTTGATGGAAAGCTTGCCTTCTCTCACCCACCCTGCGCATACCCACGGGAACACTTGCCATGTTTCTCTGCTACCTAATGCCTGCCAGAGTAGGTTCATAAAGGGTTGAAAATGAGTAATGCAGTGCATGGTTTGGGATCAGAGGAAGATAAAGATGAGGCAAACTGGAAGGAAGGGGCTTGGACATCAAACAGAGAAACAAAATATATCAAAGGAAATAGGGGACCACTGAAGAAGGTTCTTGAGCCACAGAGGACCAGGGTGGAAGCTGTGTTTTCAGAGCTTTGAGGGCAGGAAGGTGGGTTTTGGGGAGTGGCCCAGGGGAGGACAGCCTGATTTTTCCCCAGGATACCCTGGAGGGCCCTACCTCACCCCTGTTTCTCTCCACAGTCGTGTCAACTACCTAACCCCCTGGCGTTAATCTATGAAAAGCAGGCCGGTCCCCAGGCTGCTGGACCACACCACCTCAGGTTTCCCAGCTAGACAGAGGGTGTGTGGTGGCATCCCCCATCTCCCTAAGAGTTCAGCCTTACTGGAAATAAATCTAATGCTCCCACAGGGAGGTACCAGTCCTGTGTCGTGTGTGTGTGTGTGTGTGTGTGTGTGTGTGTGTGGTGTTTTGCAGGGGCTTGGAGAGGGTCAGGACCTGTGGATGACAATATCTTACCCTTTCCTATGCCCTACCAACTCCTGGGGGACTGGTGGGGGCTGGAGAAAATGTCTGGTGACCCCAGGTGGAGAATCAGGTACTAAGCTCCAAGGCCCAGTGGGGGGTGAGGCACAGAAGCAGGTCTGAGAATTGGGTTTTGCTTGTGCCCCTGTCCCCTGCTTGTAGCCTCACAAGCAAACCCCCTCCACCTCAGATTATGAACTTGAGCCCTAGAGAGAAAAGAGGGGTTTCAAAGGAGATTTTCGACATCTCTGTCCGATGTCCTCACCATACCAGTATACCGGGGGTGGGGGTGGGAGTCGAAGAGGTGTAGGCAGGCTCTATGGGGCTGGCCAGGCCTAAGGACTCTTCCCTGTACCACAGTGGAGTGTAGAAGTAAGATGAGGTGCCCCAGGCCACTCAGAGAAGAAAGTTTTCTGCTCCACAAGTCACCAACAATAAACATATCAAGTAAGCAAAAAGTTGTCTGATCTATGCACACAGCTTCAGGATTAGCCCTTTTCTGCCCCCCAACCTACAGAAAGAAAGGCATGATATCCTGGGGTCAGCCATGGGCTGGCCAGGTCCAAAATAAGCCCCTCAAAGAGTCTAAGGAAGAATGTCTGTCTCCGGCATGGTTAGCAGTTAGAGCAGCAGCATCCAGACTTAGCTCCTGGGCCTTCCAGATACCCACTGCCACCCCACCCGCGGGCAGTCTGCAAGGACAGACCCAGATCAGGGAAATAGCTACCAAGCTGAAGAACTGTTTAAACAAGACTTCTGGTGCTAGGACCTGGAGCTTCAGGGATTCATGAACCTTCTGAAACCATGTGCAAAACCGTGTGTCCACCCACGAGTGTTTTTCATGGAGAGGCTCCTTGTTTTCTGATTCTCAGGAGAGTCAGTGCCCTGAAAGATTGGACAGCCCTGACTTATACAAGGTGTGTTGTGTTGTCTAATACTCAGACAGTCTACCTTAGAGACTCAAGGCTAATTTTTGTTTCTCTTAGGGGTAGAGGTGACAATCATTACCCTTATAACAAGGGGAGGGACCATGGTGTCCATCTCTGTCCTGAATATGGGGCTCTGATGAAAACGGCAGGAGACAGGACCGTTGGGAGGAGCAGACAGGAAGTGGTAAGCAGGGCCCAGAACCCCTTCCTCCAGGGCCCTGTGAGAAGGCAGCCAGCCTCCTCCCGTGTCATGCAGGAAGAAGCCCTTTCCTCCAAGTCCAGCAGACTGTCAGCCTGGCTTGAACCTTGGGAAGCCATTGATAGAGCCCCTTGGGATATCAAGGCCACATGCTGCGGCCCTGAGTGCCCCCTCCAACATGCCAGCTCAGAGAAGAGACTTGCCTAAGACTCACAGCAGGGATGCTGGTGTCCTGGCCTACATGAAATTGGGGACATCCAGAGAGCATGTTGAAGCATGCCAGACGGAATCAAGTGCCTGGAGCTTTTCCTAGCCCTGCTTCCTTGACACTCTCTCTAAAGGAAAAGTGGAGAAAATGTCCTCGGGTGAGGATTAACAAAACCAAAAAAGTCCCACCCAGAGGCCAGGAAATGGAAAGCCATACCTCTGTCCAGCTTGGCCACTCTCTTCTGGCCTAGAAGTCCCCTCAGCCTTAGGGGGCTCTTTGCTCATCATAAATAGGTTACATAAGAAATCTTCCCTGCAGCAACTGCCTTGGGGACAGCCTGGCCTCCATGGCCTCAACTCCATGCCTTCCTGGCCTGACCCCAGTCCACTACCCTGGCCCTGGGCCTGAACATACTACCCCGGCACAAACCCCACCAGCAGCCTCCTTGCCATTCCAAACACCCCAGGCTCTTATCTGCTTCCTAAACTTTGCTCAAAGCCTTCTTTCCCCTGAGATTCTTTCCCCATCTCTTTCTGCCCAAATTCCACCCTTTCTTCCAGGTAGGCCTCTCTCAAGTCCTCCCTTCTCCCCCCAAGTCTACAAGGACAGGGACCATAGCTGATTCAGAGAGACTAACTCGTAGCCTCTAGCTATTAGGAAACACCGAACTTGCTAGCTTCTCTTAATCTCTCCAAGTGAACCAAGTCACAGATCTGAACTAAAGGAAACCACTACTTCAAAGTAATTGTGTTTATTACAAAGCATCACACGAAGCATTCATCCTCACTGGCCGGGAGGATCAAGGTCCAGCTTGGGGGAGGGGTGGGGGGAGGGCACAGAGGACTCTCCCAGGTAATATTTTGTACTAAATGTCAGCAGCTTTGCCATTGTTGACCCTACCTTTTGATACATGAAAACTTCAAAACTCTCTCCTCTGAAGTTCTTGCTTCACGCTGCAGGCCCGCCTCAGTGCCTGGCAAACAGTCATGCTGCTGGGTGAGCGAAGGCAGGGATGCACACTGGGTGGGGATGGACACACACAGTGATAGGGAGACCCCACAGGCCCTCTCCCACCCAGCCCTCCCTTTGACCTTCTTTCTGGGCCCTGAAGAGGACTGGCCATTCCAGCCAGAACCTGAGTCTGTGAAAGGTCAGTAGCACCCAAGGCTTTTCCTGGAGGCGTGACCTTCAAGGAACAAAGAAACCCGCCAGCTTGAGGATGAGATGCGGAGCCTGCTTATCCCAGGGAGCCTGGCCCAGGCTGGGAGGCCCTGGGCAAAGCTCCAAGGCCTGGGCAGTCCCTGGTCCTGTCTGAGGCCTGCTCTGAAGGTGGGTATGGGGCAGGGGTGGGCGAATGAGGGCTGAGAGGTCAGGATGGAGGACTGGAGACGAGAGAAGGCCCTCGACAAGGTGCCTGCAGAGGCCTAGGCTCTTCATAAAGCTGCCTCTGCCCAGATGGGAAGACAGAGCACAGAGACTTCAACCTCTCAAGGAAGCAGGGGGCTGGCCACCCCTCTGGCTGCTGGGAAAGAGCTTTCCTGCTCCCCTGGTCAGATTCAGTGCCAGCACCAGTCCCGGCCATTGTTCTGTCTTCCTGGTCAGCGAAGAGTGGGTTGGAGCCAGAGTCCCAGGCTTCAGTGGCTGTTACTGGAGGCCTGGAGGTTCAGAGCCCAGGAATGTCCCGGCCCCACTGCCTGTCCCCCACCTGGCCCTCCTGACCAGCCCCCACAGTTCTAGGCTACTTTTATTACTAACCATATGGCTTTGAGAGCCCCTGGATATCTCAATGGCCAGCACAGAGGGAATACTCAGGTCTGCCCTTCCATCTCATAGAGATGGCATGAGGCTCAGGCCAGCTGGTGGGTGGGCAAGGTCTTGGGAACGGTGTTGGAGGGGAATAGGGACATCCCTGACACTCACATGGCAGAGCTAGGCTGGCTCCCTCTCACCTCTGCCCTCCCAGTGCTCTGCTTTCCTGAGTGCCCACTGTGTGCCAAACACTGCACTCAGGTCATCTCACTGTGCCCTTACCCCAAGCCCAGAAGAGAACATTACAGGTTCCACTTCACAGATGAGGAAAATGAGGTTCAGCAAGCCCAAAGCCTTGTCATTGATGAGTGGCAGAGGCAGGACACTAGCCAGCACTGACTGTGGTGGTCTTAATCACAATACCACGCCACTGTCTGGTTCATGAGCACAGGCTTCACTCCTGGAGAACAGGGTCCTTTTCCACTGTCCCCTGCAGGGCTGAGCACAGCCAGCCGCACAGTGAGAGTTTCACAAAGCTGCCAGCATGAGGGGCTCCCTAGGGAAGTTGTCTGTGGTGGCCCGGCCCGCCCTGGCAATGACTTGTGGAACATGGGAGAATGTCTCTGCATCCCCCTAACAGTGCAGTGCCTCTTCCCACAGCCAGCAGGAATTACTAACCCCAAAATGTAGTTTATGTCGGCCTCTCCCTCTCGCTCCTCCCAGCTCTGGATCTCATCCAGATGCCACTCCCTCACCCTGTCAGTGTTTGGGGCAAAAGGAATGATTATCCAGGGACTAAAGAAGATAGCACTAGTTTGCAACCCTAGTCACAGTGTCTGAAGTTCACCTGTGAAAAGGCTATGCTCTAAGAGGAGAGTCACATCAGATATGGGACAGGTGAGAGAGCTACCTGTGTGTGTGGCCCAGTGCTTTGCACAGCTGTTTAAGCCAGTTTGTTTTGTTCCTGTCACTTACAACCAAGAGAGATGAGACTGAGACAGGAGGGCAGCAGGCTGGAGGCCAGGAGAAACAAGGAGAGCAGGAGATGAGGCTTGATCCTGTCACCTTCCCAGAATGAGAGCCTCGGGTCTCTAAGGACCCTCAGAGATCAGGGGTCAAGAGCTCTGCTTCAGATGGGGAATTGGGCCCCGAGAGGGGCAGAGACATGCCTACACTTGTTATCAAAGAGCTAGGACTGGGAACAGGATCCAGGCTCCCATGCCAGGGCTCCATTCACTGCCCTGGTTTGGGCTCAGGCTGAACACAGAGTCTGGGGGCCAGGTGGGAGCTATAGGGGCATCAGTGTTTTGTAAGGGAAAGTAAGGGTGGTGACAAAGGAAGAAGTCACAGCAGGCTCCATGTGAGCTCAGCCATACCCAGCCAGGGCTCCTCCTACCTCTGGCCCATGCAGGCCATCATCCATTCAGGAAGGGCAACTGAAGCTATAATGCATCAAGCACATGCCAGTGCTTACCAGCCTCTCTATGAGGTGGGTGGGTTTTGCCTAAGGTCACTCAGCTGGAAAGGAAGTCAGGGTTCAAGCTTGGCACAAAGGGTCCTGGGCATCCTCCTGCTGAGTGGTGGCTGCCCACAGGAAGGAACCATATGGTTTCTCAAGGGTGTGGTCCTCCTGTGGCCACACACACAGGAAATAAGTATGGGGTTCAGGTCATATCTGGGGTCCCCCCAGCCTTTCCACTGGGTCCTCTATACCCATTTTTGAGTCCCTGCATTGTGGACAGCTCCCTTTCTTCTTGACTTTCTACCCTCAATCCCCACCTCCACCCCTACCCCCACCCTCAGGACAGGATGTCCCTGCTGACCACCCTCCACTGGCTCTCAGATGCCCAGACCTGGGGAGGTTGCTTCTCCCTCTGTCCCCACCTCCACCCTTGTCTGTGAGGAGTGAAAGAAACATGGTTGAAGTCAGCCCACTGGGAGACAGGGAAGGGGTACAGAAGAGTGTAGGAGGGCTGAGATGGGAGGCAGCTGCACTGGGCATGCAGACAGATCACTGCAGTAGGGAGAGGGGGTGGGAGAGAGCAGGGCCTCTTAGGCTGAGCAAGCCCTCATGCCTACCAGGACGTTCCGGCTGCTGACCATCCATGAGCTGCTGGTCCCCCACGGCCCAGCTCCCTTTGCAGGGGCTGCAGTGAAACCCGAAGGAGGTCAAGAGGCTGCAGGGCCATTTCTAAGGGTCCCAGGTGTCCTGCAGTTGGTACTGTAGCATCTTCACAGCTTCCCCACCAGGGCCTCCATACACAATTCCATTTAATTCCCACATCAGCCAAGCAAGGGAAGGGTTAACCTCCCCAATTTACAGATGAGGTGACTGAGTCCCAAGGAGGGAGTTCCCACAGTAACTAGCTCAAAGTTACACAACCAGAATGTTCAAATCTCAGGATCCAAAGCGAGCCTATGTCCCAGTCTCAAGCCTGCCACCCTGGCCTGCACATCTCTCTCCCTCTCCATGTCCCATCATGCCCCCGTGGAAGAATGACCACAACACACAGTGCTTTGGTTTGTGATGGTCAATGTCTTTACTTCTAAAGCATACATTGGACTCACTATATATTAACATCAAAAGGAGCTATCTAAAATGGAGTCATTCTTTTTAAAAATCCAAATTCTCACATTTTTATATAATATCCAAAATGGCATGAAATTAAACTATACAATGGTATGAATAGTATAACAACTGCTTTTAGAAAGCAAAAGAAAAAGAAAAAATTAGCAGTTGGGACTGTTGTCAGCCTCGGTTCAATGTCTTCGAGGCACTGAAAATCCAGCCCCACATGAAGGGAACCCGGTCAGATGGAGGAGGTGGATGTGCTCTTTTCAGACTCTTAAGGGGAGAGTGGGAGACGGTGGGACTCCCTGCTCCTCTGGGTCCTTGGTGCACTGATTAAAGTCTTTTAAGTTCTATGACCAGGGAAGGGGACTGGAAGAGGGCAGGGACAGAGCTAGGGTCAAAATAATCACTTTGATAATAAAGGTCCTCTGGACTTCCCAAGGGCCTGGGACATCCAGTGATATCAGTGGACTCTATCTACCTACTGAGTTCCTTAACAACCCTCTTCCCTGACCCGTTCCCCATGCCATCACCTCAGGTCGACCAGCCCTGTGGACAGCCAGAGACAAGAAGGATGCTAGGAGGACCCAAGGGAAAACTCTCTGGCCTTGGAAGTAGCTGGATGTTGTCCAGGGCATCTGGGCAGTGCAAGATGGCTGGGTCCAGGCCAGCAGTGAGCCTGACGGGGGAGGGCTCCCATGGGCTAGCAGGGCTCTGTGCCATCAAAGGCCAATCACATAGTCCTTTCACCTGCTCTACCCTGGATACATGAGCCTGGTCATGGCCCTGAAGCAGGATTGGGAGCCGACTGAGGCCACACCCTTGACACTTTGGTTCACACAATTCAAGAGGGAGAACATTTGTTCACAACCACTGGGAAGATCATGGGCTTGGCCCTGCTTCCTCCTGGGCACCAGGAGGTCTAACAATCCCCTCTTCACATCAGCAGTTCTGTATGGCTGACAGCACATTCCCCACCAGAGCTTGGAACCACACTGCAAAGGTGGGAGGGGTGCTTTCAAAATATCAGGATTAGACCTCCATGCAAAGGCTGCCTTTCTGCCTTTCCCTTGGATGGCACTGGCCTGGGCACTGTCCCTGGCTGAGTGTTCTCTCTGGATTACTTCTCAGCCTCCTCCCTTCTGGCTAGGCCAATTGCTTACTGGGCAGACCCAGCCCACAGATGTGCAGCCCTCTTATAGTCACACCTGTCAGAAACCTGGAACAGACAGAGAGACATGTGGCTCATGGTGTGCCCTCCTGGTCCCCAAGACTACATCACGAAGCTGGCCTTCTCCCTCAAACAGCAACTTGAAGGGGGATGCCCTACACCTAGCCCACCTCTGGAGTCCAGCCCTTCCCCCAGGCCCTACCATGACAGTCCTCTTTCCTAACCATCTGGTTTCTAATTAGACTAAAATGTTTGGTTGGGAAGGTTGGGCTGGCACCAACCCCTCCTTGGGGTAGAGAGAGGCCACCTGACTTCTAGTCTGGTTCCATGCCCCCAAAGACAAGGGAGGCTGATGGCTCTCAAGAAAAATGAATCTTATAATGGGAAAGAGGTTTGTGGAATCAGGACCAGCCACAGCAAACTGGCTCCCCCAACTCCAGGCAGGTACCAGAAGAGCCAGGCCCCTCCACCTGCCCAGTGTTCTTCTGTCCTCATGCCTAGAGCCTTTGAACATGGAACTGGGAGGGGGGACCTCCGTTCAAGGAGGCTAGGACTGGCCTGGTGGGGGCCACTCAGGGACTCAGGGCAGGCAGGCTGCTACCTGATAGGCGCCCTCCGCAGCGGCAGCAGCGGCACTATGCTGCGCGCTATGCTCCTGCAGGAGGGCAACATCCAGGAACCGCTCTCCACACCATACACACTTGAACTGCTGCTCACGAGCGTGCACACCCTGGTGCTTATTGAGATGCTCACGCTGCTTGAAGGCCTTGTCACAACTGGGGCACTTGTAGGGCTTCTCGCCGGTGTGCACGCGCCGGTGCCGCTGCAGGTCTGATGCATACTTGAAGCGCTTTTCGCAGTCTGGACATTTGAGCGGCTTGTCGCGGGCTGGGTCGCAGTGGTGCTGCACGAACTCCGAGGATGAGAAGAAGCGGCGCTCACACAGGGTGCAGCGCAGGGGCTTCTCGGCTGGAGAGCAGTGGGCCAGCTGGTGCTTCTGCAGGGCCGATGCCCGCTTGTAGGCCTTGTTGCACACTGGGCACTTAAAGGGTCGCTCAGTTGCGCCCGGCAGGCACTTGTGCCTCAGCAGCTCAGCAGACTGGTCGAAGCCCTTTTGGCACACGGGGCACTTGAAGAGGGTCTCGAGGGTGTGCACGTGCTGGTGGTAGAGCAGGTGGCTGGGCTGACCGAAGCCCTTCTCGCACAGGCCGCACTTGAAGGGCTCCTCGGTCTTGTGCGTGCGCCGGTGCCGCATCAGCGCGTACTGCTGCTTGAAGCCCATAGGACACAGGTCACACTTGAAGGGCCGCTCGGCGCTGTGTGTGCGCTCGTGCTGTCGCAGGTCCGAGGGTCGCTTGAAGGCCTTCTGGCACTCACCACAGCGGAATGGCCGCTCACCGCTGGGCGTGCACGGGTGCTGCAGCAGCTCCGACGACTCCTTGAAATGTAGCTCGCACACGTTGCAGCGGAACAGGTGGTGCTCACCTGAGTGCGCGTACATGTGGCGCACCAGGTGCGAGCGGTGCTTGAAGGTCTTCTCGCAGACCGCACACTTGTAGGGCCGCTCTGAGCTGTGTGTGCGCTTGTGGTGCACCAGGTGTGACGACTGGCTGAAACTCTTGTCACACAGCGTGCACTTATAGGGCTTCTCACCCGTGTGGATTCGCTCATGCCGTGACAGCTCCGACAAGTGCTTGAAGGGCTTCTGGCAGACCGGGCAGCTGTAGGGCTTGTCGACCTGCTCAGCAGGGGCAACAGCGGGTGGTGGGGCCGCTGGGGGCAGCGAGGGGGCAGCAGTGGCTGCTGGCTCAGTGGCCTCTGCAGGCTTGTAGGTCTTCTCGCATATGGAACATTTCACGAGGCCGCTGGTGCCACTGTGCGCACTGTGGTGCTGAGCCAGCGAGGTGAGCAGTGAGAAACCCATCTTGCAGACGCCACAGACAAAAGGCTTCTGCTCGACCTGCACACACTGGTGCTCCAGCAGGTCAGTAGCCTGGTGGAATATCTTGAGACACTGTGTGCACTGGAAGGAGCGGTCATGGCCCGCCAGGCACTGGTGCTCGTGTGGGCTGGACAGGTGTGCCAGGTCATGACCGCACACACCACACTTGGGTCCTGGCTCACCTGCTGCCTGCAGGGGCTCATGCTGTGGGGGCTGCAGGCCAGGGTCAGGCTGCAGGAGGATGCCATAGACGGCACAGCCCAGGGGGTTCTCGGCCGTGCCTGGGGGCAGCGTGTGCTCAGCAAGGGCTGGTGGTGGTTCTGCATGGTGCTGAGGCTGCGGTGGCTGTGGCTGCTGCGGTTGTGTCTGTGGCGGCTGCTGCCAGCTTTCCGACATACTTGGGAAGATGAAACAGGGCTTGGAGAGTAATGGCTTCAGTTTCCCCGATTAAGATGACCCAACCCAGAGAGAGAAGCTGCCTGGAATCAGGGATGGACAAGGACCTCAGACAAGGCACAGAAGAGGGAGTGGTCAGATGGCCCAAGTCGTTAACCAAGACAGGCTACAAAGCTCTGCCTCCAGGACAGGGGACTCTTTGAGGCAGGGTGCCAACAATGCCAGGGAGCCTCTGCCTTCCCCGATGACTGGTTCTGTAGAAAAGAGAAATCATGAGATTAAGGCAGGGACACGCAGCTGGGCCCTCTCCCTGTTCTGCTTGCACTTGCCACATTGACATAAACCACACCATGGAAGGATGAGAGGCTCAGGGCTGGGAGGTCTGCTCCCTTCACACACTACCAAAGAAGTCTGCTGACAGCTCAGGTCCTCTAGCAAAGGGGACAGTGGCTGTCTCCACCCCACCTGGGCCAGGGAGTCCCAGCCTCCCAAGTACTACCAACCCTCTTTAATCAGCTGCCTCACAGGTAATCTGTTCACAATACAAAGAAGTCACAAATTCTGTTCATGTCCTAAGGAAAGACTGACCAGTTTAGGCCATAGTATCCAAAACAATAATTTTAGCAGCATAACTTTTTTTGCAAATAAATTCTTACTTGGAAGCCCAATATGTAAGATGAATGAAAGCAGAGAGGTTTTGGCTGAGCCCTAAGGCCTGCCAGCTCCTCTCCATTGCTGCTCTGAATCGCAACTCAGGACACCACTGTACAGGAGAACAGCCTGCTGGGATGAAGAGGCCTGGCCTTCCAGTTTCGAGGGCCTAATAGCAAACAACCTCTGTCAGTCAATCTTTCAAGCAACTACATGGAACAAAGGACCATCTCAAAAACCTTCTCTTGTGAAGAGCTGGTTCACATTCCTCTCAACTATTTCCCAGGACCTCCACCTTGACTATGTACCTGTTCTCTCTCCACACAGAGGTTGGATGGTCTTGCAGGGACCCGAGCCAATGCATGATGGGGTTAAATGACAGGTCTATAGACCCACCCAGCTTCAGTGTCCACAGCAGAATTTCCCCACTCTACTAATTTCCCAGGACACACACAAAAAAAGTGCTAAATCTTCTGATCTGACTGTCAAGGCCTGCAGAAAGATATAAACAATTACGAGTTTGCCTCTGCAACATGGGAAGTAACATGTTAACCAATGAGCATTTTTCTCATCACCACTCAGGAGACAATCCTGTTTCCATGCTCCAAGTCTATAACTTTCTGGGTAGTCAGTGAAAGGTAAAGACCACCCCACCCAGGCAAATCTCTAACTTACCACTTTGTGGCAGCATAAGGTAATGACAGGGAGAGGGAGGAACTTTTAGAATCAGATGTAACCCCCTTACAGGTTTCCAGTTCTTCTGACTCTAACATTGAAAAGTTTCTACATTTTCTCCTGAGGGAAAAAGGAAAGAAGTAGATGCCTTCCCAGGCCAGCCTGGCCTCTAACTGTTCTGCCACAGAAACATAAGAGTCAGGCTAAAAGCTGTCATCCTCCGCATCTTCCGGGAAGGGAAGAAGGAAAGGAGCCGTTGCTTCGGGTGAAGGCAGCAGGTTGCATGAGCAAGCAGGTGCCAAAGCCTTCCCAGAAAAGAGGGAAGTGGGGCTACTCCAAGGGCGGTGTAGGTTAGGTTGCACCAACACAACTGTTTTTTCCTTCACGATGGCTGCCAAACATAAGGTCCCAGGCGCAGGGCCCCCAGCTCCACTGCCCACCCACTCCAGGAAGGTGCAGCCATGAGGCCTCTCTGATCACTCTGCAAAAAGAGAGACTAGGGTAGGTAAGGAGGCACACACCAGCCCTTCCTCCTTCCTGGGACACCGAATGAAAGCCCATCATCTCCCAGCCTGCACTGCCCGTCCGCCCGCCCAGCTCAGCTGCCTCCTGTCAGCCCTCCCCGGGTATGGCCAGGCCGCGCTGCAGCCCGAGCGCTGGTCCCGCGGGCGAATGGGCCCGAGGAAGGCCCCGGGGCCGCAGGTCGGGCCCAGGAAGCCGCTGAGCCTCGAGGCCGGCCAGGGCCGCCCAGGAGCTCAGAGGCCTCTGGGTTGGGCTGGATGGTTGGGGGGAGGGAGGCGGGCCAGCTAGGGGTGCGGCGGGCGCGAGAGTGGCCCCCAGACTTGGCCCCGGACGCCTCGCCGCTCACCTGCTCCAGGCTGCCTTTGGCGTCAGGGCGGGGCGACCTGCTGCTCTCTCCGCCGCCCCTTTATTCCGGCTCGATCGGCCGCGGCGCGGCCTACGCGCCCTGCCAATCCCCGGCCTCGCGTAGCGACGGCGGCCGGCCCGGGGGCGGGGGACAAGCTAGCGGTGGCCGGAACGGAGGAAGCGATGATGCGGCCGGGATAGCGGTTCGGGGTGGAGGAGTGCCGGGAGGACGGGCGGACGGACCGATGGCCTTGCAGAGACCGGAGGACAGGCGGGCACGCGGGGGCCAGGGAGGCGGGGCCGGAGGAGGAGCGGCAGCCGGGGCGGCGGCGGCTGCCGGAGAAGCGGACCGCGCGGAGCGAGGCCGCCCCCTGCCGGGGACCCCGAGGCCCGGCCGGGCCGGGTCAGACAGCAGGGCGCGCGGGGCGGCTTTGCAGTCGCCCGGCCGGCACGCCTCAGCTGACTCAGGGAGGGTACTCCGCTTCCGACGACGCTGCTCGGCCTCAGGGGAGGGGGCTCCCCGGCCCCCGCCGACCCCTGCACCTGAGAGGAGGGGCCTCCTAGACCCTCCGGTCTTCTGGAACTGACCCGCCTCTGACTGCTCAGCTTGCTCTTAGGGGAGGGGCCCCGGATCTCCGACTGGGGGCCGGCTGGAGTAGGGGCTCCGGGTCGCAAGGGCAAGGATCTCCGCTGTGTCTCGAGCGCTGCCGGCCGAGGTCGGGAGCGTCAGCAGCTGGGAGGTCTAGTCCGGGTGGCTGCAGACAGAGTCCCAGAGCGGCCTGTGAACGGGCGTCCGGCGGCTGGAGGTCCCGGGAGGCTCCTGGCTGGCTGCTCGCGAAGAGCAGCGAGCGGCAGGCAGTGTGGTCCGGGTGGGCAGAGTCTCTGCCGGGCGCCGCCGGCCCCGCCCCCGCCCCGCCCCGCCCCGAGGCGGTGCTCACCCGGGCCCGCCCCCGGAGGGCACTTCCGGCACAGCGGAATTCCGGGCGCCGACGGGGCTGCGGGCTGCTCGCCCCGCTGTCGCAGGCGAGGCCCCATGAGTGCGGCTCCTCTGGTGGTCTACAGCAGCAGCGGTTCTGAGGATGAGGCCGAGGCCGGGGCTCAGGCCCTGCCCGGGGCTGGACGCCGCCCTCCGTGAGGAGAGAGTCTTTCTGGGGAGGGTGCGGGTTCACGCGAGGCGCCGAGGGACCAGTGTCGGGGGGAGGTTGGGAGCGTGCGGAGCGGCTCCGCAGGGAGGAAGGGACACGGTTTGGGGGAGGAGAGTCCAGAGGATACCCCTGGACAGGGCCCCAGAGTGCCCCCACCCTCTGGTTAGGCCAAAGTTAGGAGGCGAGACACCTGGGTTCGGCAGCCCCTGGCCCTGGCCGACTGTCTCCTGGCGCCTCTCGCTGCACCACCAGGTCTGCCTCCTCGTTTGACACAGTTGCAGTAGTAAGCCAAAGATTGAAGAGTATTCTCCGGTTCTAGAAATACTCATTAGCCCCCACTCTGCACGGGCTGGGGACTGGGGACCGAGCGCGAACGAAACCATCAGTCTCGTTCTCCAGCGAGCCTCGCCCCCGAGTGCCTGCCGGGCCTGTGCTTGCCGCGCTCCTCGAGCGCCTCGGCTGGGCTCACAGGAGCGCCGTCGGGTAGACGCATCGGGGGCGCCGGACTGGCCCGAGACCACAGGAGGTGCTGCCCCAGCTCAGGCTGCCCCTTTAAAGAAGGTGTTTCCCACAAGGGCCATGTTCCCTGCCAAGGTCCGCCCCTCAGAGCCGGTGGGGACTCCAGTGAGGCAAACTGGGCAAAGCTTTGTAGTTATGTAGGAGCCGCTTGCAGCACCCGGTGGGAGACAGAGGCAGAGAGCGCTCAGAAGATACACGTGCTCATTTTCTTTTTCCTCTCAGTGGCCGGAGCCCCCCTCCCAGCCAGAGGTTGCCAGTGCCGGACAGTGTGCTGCACATGTTCCCAGGCGCCGAAGAGAAGCCTGAAGAAGACAGTGCAAAACATGGGGGCCGGGTGCGCACCTTTCCCCATGAGCGGGGCAACTGGGCCACCCACGTCTACGTACCATGTGAGTGATGTGTGACAGGCAGTGCCTGAGACCCTCCAGGTGCCTCTTGAGAGCAAGCTGACTCCAGCCAGGAGGAAGAAGCCAGGAGCCTGGGACATGGGAAGATCCACTCGACAGAGAGGACAAGGTTCAGGAATTGGGGAATTTTTCTGTCAACTTAGTTTCAGTTTTCAAATCATTATCTAAAATAGTTTTATTATTTAAAAAACTGTTTAAATAATAAAATAGTTTTGAGGAGGTGACCAAGGGAGGGTGAGGTCAGAATGTCAAGGCAGTCCGGGAGTGCAGCTGGCACTTGATTTCTAAGAGGGCCTTAGGTGTGCTGGGTTCTAGTGCCACCTCCACCCTAAGAAGTGAGTGGCAGGTAGAAAATAGAAAACGCCCTGTCTTCAGAATCAGTCCTCGCTCCACAACCCACTACTCTGGGTGCCCTTCAGTAAGTTACTGGACTTCTCAGAGCCTCAGTTTCCTCGTCTCTAAAATGGAGATGATAGTAATATCTCTCTCCGAGGACTTTTGTGAAGATTAAATCAGATAATCTACGGCAAGTTTCTAGCACAATACACTGAGTGAGTAAGTAGTGGCTCTTATTTGTTTGTTGTTGTTAATCCTCACACAAGGATATTTTCCTACTGATCTTTAGATAGAGTGAAAGGGAGAAGGGAGGGACAGAGAGAGACAGAAACATCAATGTGAGAGAGACATGGGGATCATTTGCCCCCCGCACGACCCCAACAGGGGTCAAGGAATAAACCTGCAACCCAGGCACATGCCCTTGACCAGGAATCAAACCTGAGACCCTTTGGTCCACTGGCTGGCACTCTAACCACTAGCCAAACCAGCCAGGGTAGTAGTGGCTCTTACTGTTTTATGTCAGGTCACATAAACTCCGGATTTCCCCATCCACAGAATTGTCTATGCTGCCTATTCACCAGGGCATTTGAGTAACACACTGGGTATGAGCAAGAAGACTATTAACTATGCAGCTCTAGTCACATGTTTGATAAAAATAAATAATATGTAAACATAGATGTTGGTCACTGTAGTGTTCTTTGTCTTTGTGAAAAATTGGGAGCATGCTAAATATCTATCAAGAGATTCTAAATGTCTAAAAAGAGAATGATTAAAGAAATGCAGTGTGTCTGATTATGGATACTATAGAGCTGTAAGCGTAAGTTTGACCTCTGTACTGAGGAAGGATGACCAACATGTAGTGTTCTATGAAAAGCCCAGCAAAAGAACAGTTTGAATGATATGCGCTCATCTTTTTTAACAAGTAAAATATATACATTAGTATATGCACTGAGAAAAGGCTGGGGACATAGGCATCCAAATTTTACAGTCTTTATCTCTGGGGTAGTGTTTATTAAAGTGGGGTATATGTACCCTAGAGGAGAGGTCAAGATGATCCATTAGGATGTGGGAAGAAAAGTATTAAAATGCTTTTATGTATTTCTTTTTATCTCATCTTTTTAAATTCTGTTCTTGAGAGTGTACATTTTTATTTTTTTAAGTTTTGTCTTTATCCTCACCTGAGGACATTTTTACATTTATCTTCAAATAGAGTGGGAGGGAGAAAGGGAGGAAAAGAGAGAGAGAAAAACATCGATGTGAAAGAGACACATCAAGTGGTTGCCACCCACACAACAACCAGGGCCAAGGACAAACTGCAACTGAGGTACATGCCCTTAGCGGGAACCGAACCTGGGTCTCTCTGGTCCGCGGGCCAATGCTCTAACCGCCGAGCCAAACCGGCCAGGGCGATAGTGTACATTTTATAACACATAATTTTGCCCAGTAGCACGTGTTTGTAATTTATGAATAAATACACATTTATTGTAGGTATCTGTGCAAGGTTGTTTTACTAATGGCCTGTGTGATCGCAGTAGTTTGGAGACTACTGCTTTTTCCTTTGCATGGGTCTTTTTTACTTGAATTATTTACAGTGAGCATAATGTGTTACTTCTATAACCAGAAACACATATTAAATTCCCCCCTGCCCCCCCGCTGCTGCCACCTGCCACAGGGCCCAGCGCCTCCCGTCCTGGAGGCCCTTAAAATACATAGACATAGGCTGCTGTCAAGGTGTTTTTCTCCTAAAACCTGGAGTGAAAAAGGCCTTTGCCTTCCTGGGCTTCTTCACTCAGTCATGCCACCCTGGCTAACAGAGTGGCCCTCCCTCTTCACTGTCCCCCTCCAGATGAAGCCAGGGAGGAGTTCCTGGACCTGCTTGACGAGTTGCTGCCCCACGCCCAGACATACGTCCCCCAGCTGGTAAGGATGGAGACCTTTCACCTCAGTCTGTCCCAGAGTGTGGTTCTGCGTCATCACTGGATCCTTCCCTTCATTCAGGCTCTGAAAGACCGCATGGCCTCCCGCCAGAGGTGAGTACTGAGTGCTCCCCTCCGCCTCTCTTCTCCCTCGCTTCCAAGGCTCCTCTTCCTGTCCTGACCTAGCTTCGGCATGTAGGTGTGGGACATGTCACCCAGCAAGCAGGCCAAACTCCAAGGTTAGAGCACCAAACATCTCCTGGAGCTTCCTGTCCTCCACCTCATCCCGTGTGACCGAGGCCTGCCACGTAAGCTCTGGACGCCCTCAAGTCCTTATCTGTGTGCAGGTCATAGGAGAGATGGTGGCTGCCTCAGAGGGGACTTGGGAGAGTGACTTGAGATCATGGGTGCCCTCATCATGGCACTTGGTGAAGATCTGAACCAGACCCCACTTCTAGTTTGATCTGCTAGCCTAAGGCTTTTCTTTCTTAACTGTTTCACACATCTTCCTACCAGTAATGCCTTTCCTCCTAGACTTGGCCAGATCAAAGCCCTGCTCCTTCATTGCTCTTCCAGTTGGCATTTTCCCCAGAATCCCTCAGCCCCAGGGATCATCCATCCCATGGCTCTTTATGCCCTAGAGCTCATTTCACTCATCCTCATATCCAGCCATTCCCATGTCCCTTCGGAGCTAAAGTTCCCATAGGCCCAGGAGCCCTGGCCAGTTTGGCTTAACCGATAGAGCGTCGGACCAGGAACCAAAGATTCGTAGGTTTGATTCCGGTCAGGACACATCCCTCAGCTGAGGTTCAGTCCTGGGCCCTGGTTGGGGTCATGTGGGAGGCAACCAATCAATGTGTCTCTCTCACATTGATGTTTCTCTGTCTCTGTCTCTCTTTCTCTCTCTCTCTTTCCCTCCCCTCTCTTCCCTCCTTCCTTCCCACCACTCTATCTGAAGATCAATGGGAAAATTGATCTCGGGTGAGGATTAAAAAAAAAGACCCATAGGCCCAGGAATGTGGCTTCTTGCTGAATTACCCCACATCTTTTTTCCAGGTCCTTTGCTCGCTGTAGGCATCAATTGCATATATATTGAATAATTGAACAGCCGGAGAGAGCCCAGAAATCATCCTCTGGATCCTCTGGTGTTGGTTCTAGAAGAAGCCTAAGGAGCCAGCCAGGTGGTGTTTTTATCTAAAGAGCCCTTTCTTCAAGTGAAGTGTTGCACAAAAGCCCAGATGTGAAGATGTGTGAGAGAGAGAAAAACAGTCTTCTAGTCAGAGCCCCACCCCTACAGTTTAGGAAGCCTTAGGCCAGAAGTCCATAGAACTACTCTGCCCCACCGGAGAACTGCCCATTTAGTTTAACCCCTTCTGAGGGCCAGGGGAGGAAAGACTTGCTCCAGTTCATTCAGCCAGAGAATCAGGACTAAAACTCATCTCCACTTAATCCAGCTCCTGCCACCTCTTGTTTTTAATTGTTACTACCAAATTTATTGAGACATATGTGTATTAGTCAGGACTCTCTTTATCTCAGGTGCCAAAAATCCACACCAACGTGGCTTAAACTAAGAAATGTATGTAGGCTGGGGTAACTAAAAAGCTCAGAGGTAGCCCGGCCAGTGTGGCTCAGTGGTTGAGCACTGTCCCATGCACCAAGAGGTCGCTGGTTTGATTCCTGATCAGGGCACAAGCCCAGGTTGTGGGACCAATCCCCAGTGGGGGTCATGCAGGAGGTGTCCAATCAGTGTTCTCTCTCATTGATGTTTCTGTCCCTCCCTCTCCCTTCCTCTCTCTCTAAAAATCAATGAAGAGCCCTGGCCGGTTTGGCTCAGCGGTTAGAGCGTCAACCTGCGGTCCAGAAAGACCCGGGTTCGGTTCCCGCTGAGGGCACGTACCTCGGTTGCAGTTTGTCCCCGGCCCTGGTTGGGTTGTGTGGGTGGCAACCACTCGATGTGTCCCTTCCACGTCAATGTTTCTCTCTCTCTCACTCTCACTCTATCTGAACCAAAAAAAAAAAAAAAAATGTCCTCGGGTGAGGATAAAATAAATAAATAAAAATCAATGAAGAAAAAAATAATAATTTTTTTTAAAAAAGCTCAGAGGTAGCACTGGCCCCATGCACTAGTGGATTAGGGTGATCAGAAAACATCAGGCACCTGGCTCTCCCCATCTCAGCTCTGTCCCTGCCTGTGTTGGCTTCATTCTCACAACGGAAAAGGAGGCCATCAGCATCTCCAGGCTGCCCGTCCACAAACCTGGAATGACAGCTCTCTTTTCTAATAGCTTCAGCAAATGTCTGACTTGACTGATAGGTTCTCCAGAATTCCAGAAACCCCAGAACCAATTCAGAAAACTCATCCTTAAAATTCTGCTCCTCTAAACACTCTCATACTGCCCTGGCTAGGTGGCTCAGTTGTTTGGTGCATCATCCCATACACCGAAAGGTTGCGGGTTCAGTTCTCAGTCAGGGCACGTACCCAGGTGTCAGGTTCGTTCCCCATTTGTGGTGCGCATAAGAGGCAACCGATTGATGTTTCTCTATCATATCAATGTTTTTCTCTCCCTTCTTCTCTCTCTAAAATCAATAAATATTTCCTTGGAGGATTAAAAACTTATTTTAAACACTCTCATACCAAAATCTGCATTAGGGTTCTCTAGAGAAACAGAGCCCACAGGATATAGATACAGATATAGATATAAATATGAGAATATTTATTATAGAATTGCCCCCCCTCCCCCCCAGTTATGAAAGCCAAGAAGTCCCACAATCTGCCCTCTGCAAACTGGAGAACCAGGAAAGCCAGGGGTATAATTCAGTCAAATTTCAAAGGCCTCAGAATTAGGGGCGGAGTGTGGGGTGGGGAAACTGATGGAGTAAGTCCCAATAAGCCTGGCAGCCTAAGAACCAAACACTGGATTCTGAGGGCAGGAGAAGATGGATGTCTCAGCTCAAGCAGAGAGGGAATTTGCCCTTCCTCTGCCTTTTTGTTGTTTTAGCCCATGATGCCAACCACTTTGGGGAGGGCTGTCTGCTTTACTCAGTCTAGAAATCCAAATGCTATGCTCTTGCAGAAACACCCTCCCAGACACACCAAGAGATAATGTTTCACCAGCTCTCTGGGCATCCCTTAGCCAGGTCAAGTTGACACATAAAATTAACCATTATAGTTGGGCACAAACATTCAGCATCTACTCCAGGATGTTTGTTGGGCCCCCTGCAGAACAGTTCTTAAACTCTACCTTTAACCAAGCTCCTGCTGGTTCTGTTGTGCCTGACTTTCTCCAGAAGGGATGTATTGGGTGAATGGAGGCTGATGGGGAAGCCAAAAGGCCACCAGATTCTACACAGACGCTGGGGTGTTGTGTTCCCTCAGGTGGGGTGAGACCTTGGCCTGGAGGCTGCAAAATGATCGTTTCCTGTAATGGGATTTGCCAAGTTGGTCCATGAAGGGCAGCAAGCCAGTATGTCCTTCTGAGATCTCCCAGGGTCCCGGAGAACACAGCGGAACCAGTCAGAGTCAGAGCACTTACCTGGCTGAAGCTGGCGGTCCCTGTGTAACTGATCTGTGTTATGGTGGGTGTTTCTGTCCCAATTTCATACCAACAGAGACCACTAAGGCATCACGGATGAGAGCAAGCACTTTAGAATCAGGCAGATTGAGGTTCAAATTGTGGCTCACCAAATTCAACCTCACCAAGTTTCCATTTTCTTGTCTGTAAAATGGGCATAATTATAGTGCCTGGCACACAGGGAACGTTCTTGGCATTGCTTAGGCTAGATCAGAATTGTCTTTTTTAAAACTGTAAAGAACAAATTGTCTCTTAAATGATCTATTGTCACCTACTTGATGAATAAGACTTTCTTATTTCCTGTCTCAAATTGTTTAATGGAATGACTGGCTATTAATAAAGTAAAATTTTGCCCTGGCCAGTTTGGCTCAGCGGTTAGAGCGTCAGCCCACAGACCAAAGAGTCATGGGTTCAGTTCCGGTTGTGATTCATCCATGGCCCTGGGTCATGAGGGGAATGGGGGGGGACAACCAGTCAATGTGTCTCTCTCACATCGGTGTTTCTCCCTCCCTCCCTCCCACTCTATCTGAAGATAAATAGAAAAATATCCTCAGGAGAGGATTAAAAAAGTAAATAAATAAAGTAAAATTTTTGCTAGCCTCTGGATGAAACTGTGTTACTTGAACTGGGTGATTATTTAGGTCTTGTCCATCTCTAATAGTTTAGGGTTTAATTTGCCAACTGTATAATAGGGTGATAATACTACATGTGAAATGAATTAACTATATTTTCAAAGTACTGTTTTTACTAGAAACTATTCTGATAGTTTCTTTTTTCTTTTTCTTCTTCCTGAAATGTGGTCTTTTCTTCTAAATTTCAGATTCTGCTTTACTGCTGACCGGGTAAAGATTTATACCAATGAAGAGAAAACCAGGTGTGCCTTTCCCCTTGGCCCTGTCATTTCCAGACAGTTCTTTAGAGTAAAGGTTGAGGGGGGTGCCTTGCTTCTAGTGTTGTCTCTCATAGTTTTCCATTTGTTTGTGTTTTAACCAACTGTAAGACTACAAAGGCAGTTGTTCTCAAATCTGAACCTTTCATCAAGAGATGTAATAGGGGCTTGGCCTGTGCGGCTCAGTGGCTTGAGCGTCGCCTCATGGACTGAAAGGTCCCAGTTTGATTGCCGGTCAGGGCACATGCCCGGGTTGCAGGCTCGATCCCCCCTGGGAGGCTTGCAGTGGCAGCCAATCGATGTTTCTCTCTCACATCGATGTTTCTCTCTCTCTCTCCCCCTTCCTCTCTAAAAAATCAATAAAAACATATTTTCAAAAAATAAAATAAAAGAAATTTTACTGGGAATGGGGTGGAGGCTGACTAAAGGTCTGGGTTCCAGGGAGGGTTGTTAAAGATGAGAGAGCGTGTCTGAGTGCTAATGGAAAGGCAGCTGGTGCCACCGAGCCAAGTGCTTGCGAAAGGGGCCAGACTCTGAAGGGATGATGGAGAGATGGGTGCAGGGGCTTTGAGGTTTGTAGACTTGGCAGTGGCAGATGAAAGTACTCCTGAAAGTGTTATTAGACTCTGGGGAGGAAGGGGAGGTATGTGGTTAGAATCAGGGAAGGAAGGTTTCCAGACAGAGGAGGGAGGAGGAACAGGAAAGCAAACTGCCCAGGAGCCAGCTAGGAAAGCAGTCATGGTTCCGCCTGTCACATCCTCTGCCCCATCCCAATGTTCATGTTCTCAGAGGCTGCAGCTCATGCCCCTGGGGTCTCCACTTCTGTTTCTCCCAGGACCTTTGTGGGGCTCGAGGTCACCTCCAGGCACGCCCAGTTCCTGGACCTGGTTTCAGAGGTAGACAGAGTCATGGAGGAATTTGACCTCACCACTTTCTACCAGGTAACACACCAGGCCCTCTCTTCTCCAGCGGCCCATCTATAACGTGAATAAAACCAGCCTTCAGTTTGTTAGAGGCAAACTGAAGAGCGTGCAGAACTGTCCCGTGCGAGGTGTCCCGAGGGCCAGCCTTCCAAGGACACACCCCCGGAGAGCTGAGGGTCTGACATTCGGTCAGATGCAGCGTGTCCGAAGGCCAGCACTTCTCAGACTTTCTCAGAATATGTTTCATGTGTCTTAAGTGTACATGAGATCTATGCCTTCTATTCTACTTCATATTGTTTTCATATTTATCTTTATAGTTTTTAAGGGGCAGTTTTCCTCAGTATTTTTTGGTGAAATTGACACCCTAAAGGGTATAGCTTCATGTACCTTCCTGCACTTTGCCCCATGCCCTCCAGGGGTACAAGAACTTCAAGCTGAGTACCAGGGTTTTTAAGAGCCGTTGGTTTTGTTTAGTATGTGCATTTTAAACCATGTTCTCTATCTTTCTCTCTCTCTCCGTGACAACTGTGAATTTGAATGGAGACAATGGTTGTTTCTTCATATTTTTGGACATTTTGGGTTTTATTCATTTCATCTTAACAAGTATGTCATCTGGCCCGGCTGGTGTGGCTCAGTGGATTGAGTGTCACCCCATGGACTGAGAGGTTCCCGTTCGATTCCCGATCAGGGCATGTGCCTGGGTTGTGGGCTCGATCCCCAAGTGCAGGAGGCAGCTGATCAGTGTTTCTCTCTCAAATCAATGTTTCTATCTCTTTCTCCCTTCCTCTCTTTCTTAAAAAAATCAATAAAAACATATATATATTTAAATATATTTTAATTGATTTTTTAGAGAGAGGGGGAGAGAGAGAGAAACATCAATGAGAGAGAAACATTGATCAGCTGCCTCTTGCATGCCCCTCACTGGGGATCGAGCCTGCAACCTGGGCATATGCCCTGACCGGGAATCAAACTGGCAGCCTCTCAGTGGATGGGATGACGCCCAATCCACTAAGCCACACTGGCCGGGCAATATAAACACTTTTTTTTTAAAGTATGTCATCTGTTGAAATGTTGTAGATCAGGAAATAGACTCAGAGCCTGTGTTCTCTTTTGCATCCCAGATTTTTGTTGTTGTTGTTGTTAATCTTCACCTGAGGATATTTTTCCATTGATTTTTAGATAGAGTGGAAGGGAAGGAGGGAGGGAGAGAGAGAAAAACATCAATGTGAGATAGACACATCAGTGGGTTGCCTCCTGCACGATCCAAACCAGGGCCAGAGATTGAACCTGCAACCCAGGTACATGCCCTTGACTGAGAATCAAATCCAGATCCTTCGGTTCCTAGGCCATTGTTCTAACCATTGAGCCAAACTAGCCAGGGCCCGCGTCCCAGATTTCACAACTTGCCCGCTATGTAAAGGAAAGCCTTTGAGAACAGGACCGTCGTAGCTCGGGCTGCCATAACAAAATACTATAGACTGTGTGACTTAACACAATTTATTTTCTTACAATTCTGGAGTCTAGAAGTCCAAGATCAAGGTGTCAGCATGGTCAGTTTTGGGTGAGGACTCTTTCTGTTTGTAAACAATCATCTTCTCACTGTGTCCACACGTGGTGGAGAGAGAAGCAAGCTCTCTGATGTCTCTTCTTATATAGGCACGAATCCCATCCTGAGGGCTCCACCCTCATGACTTCCTCTAAACCTAATTATCTTTCTGAGGCCCTACCTCCAAATACCATCCTATTGGAGATTAGGGCTTCAACATATGAATTTGGGGGGATACAGCTCCATCCATGGTAAGGACCAATCCATAGCTATTTGTAGAGGGTGCTTGGGATCCATACTGAGGGTCTAGTCTCCCATGGAGCAGTTCAGGGTCCAGCAGGGATGCTGTCACAGATCTGCTGTGATGCTGGGCCTGCCATGGCACCTGGGTGACCACCCACCTCCCTGCCGTTCCTCTGCAGGACCCCTCATTCCACATCAGCCTGGCCTGGTGTGTGGGTGATGCACGTCACCAGCTGGAAGGGCAGTGCCTGAGGGAGCTACAGGTGAGTTCCCAGTGCAGGAGCACAGCCGGTGCTGAACTCAGGTGAGGGGTGTGGGGAAGTGAGAGGGGAGCTGATTGGTCCTGGGGGTTAGGGGATTTCTGACATGATAGGAGACCCCACCACCTTACCTTGCTCCTGGAACTGCAGCCCTGGAGGAGCAGCAGCAGCATCACCTGGGAGCTTATTAGCACTGCAGACTCTGAGGCCCCAACCCAGACCTAAGAAATCAGAACTGCATTTTAACAAGATCCTTAGGGATTTGTATGCACGATAAAATTTGAGAAGCATTGCCCTAGAACACTGATCTGAGGAAGCTGCGGGCCTTCCCTGAAATCCTAGCCCCTTGCCTGGAGGTCAAAGGCTGGGATGCCCACAGGTGCCTGGCTGGTGTTAGAAATGAGTGAAAAGGGCCTGGTGTAAGAAACATCCACCTTCGTAGCCTTTTCCATACTGTGATAAGTGGGTGAAGTATTTCAGTTTCCCATCAGTCCACAGAGATGCTGCTGTTCCCTTTCGGGCAGGGAGTCGGTGGGGAGTGCTGCCGTGCGGGGTGTAGGCCTAGTGTTGCTACCACTTGTTTCTCCAGAGAAGCCAGAAGTCGAGGTTTTTCTGTATAATCTTATTTTCTAATGTTGGCAACCAGTTTCGGTTTTTGTTTCTTTTTTAATTTCCAAACCAAACAAACGTGCATGCTAGATCTAGCCCAATGGGCCGTCATCAACAGCCACCTCTGCTCTTGGCCCGATCATGCTGGGGGTAGCAAAGAGCTCTGGTTTGGGGAGTCCAGCAGATCCGGGTCCCAGTCCTGGTTTTATTGGATTCTGTAATCCAGGGCTCTGAGCAGCCATTTCCTCTGCAAAGTTGGGGTGGTAGGAGCTACCTCACAAGATTGCAGAGCTGATAATAGGGCCTGGAGCCTGCGTGGCCTTCCGTCTCCCTTCAGCTGTGCCCAACCTCTGAAGGATTTCAGTAGGCTGGATTTGTTTGCAGCGCTTTCTGGGTCCCTGAGTTTCTTAAAATGACTGTCCTTTTCTGTCTCCTGGTTTAAGGAAATTGTGGACGAGTTTGAAGACTCTGAGAGGCTGCTACGCATGCATGCTGAGCAGGTCCGCTGCAAGTCTGGGAACAAGTTCTTCTCGATGCCTTTGAAGTGAGCGCCAGAGGCCCTCCTTGTCCCAGGCCCCACTGCAGGCCAGGCAGAGATGGAGGAGCCTGCTCAAACCGTCCTGGGGGCCTGGTGGTCCCTGGGAGCTGGGTCTCTCCTGGCTCTTTTGGGTTGCTGGTCCAGTGCCGCCGTGTCATGGTCATTCCCAAAAATCACCAATAGAGGGCAGACTGGGCTCCCTAGTTCTAGGTCTGTGGTTCTTATGCAAAAAAATAAATAAATAAAAATGGGGTCACCCAGTGAGCCCACCCATATTCAGCCAGAATTCCCACTGTAGTCCCGCCAACAAACAGTCCCTCGTGGCACTCTCCCCACGCCTCCTTCAGCTGTTTGCACTGTGATGCCATTGGCCTCAGACCAGCATTTCCAAACCTGGCTCATCCCTGCTCAGGCCAGGACATAGGGTCCTTCAATGGGTCTGTCACTCTCCCTTTTCACACTTGTTGCTTTTATTTATTTCTAGTCTCACCCCTTCCTATGCCAGCAGAGGCCATTTTAGGGCCAAGGATCAGGGTGCTAATTTGAGGTTCAGCATCAGTTTTTTCCATTCCTTTCTCCCACTCGTCCCCAGCCAGGTGCCTGGGGAGACTTGAGCAGATGTTTCATTTTGGCCTCACTGGTGGATTTCAGCCAGGCCTCCAATGCTCTGTAACCTCCGGTTTCCCATCAACTTTCCCAAAGAGGCAGAGAGGTGCCTTCCCCCAGCCAGGGTTCACTCTGCGGCCTCCAGCTGCCTGATGCGGCCTGCAGCCTGCCAAGGGGATGCGGGCGGAGCCCAGAGCTTGCACAGGGTTTTTCTTCTTCGGCCCTCACAGGAGCAAAGGACCAGTCCTTTCCACTTGCCATCTGGATTTCTGGTGATGGATGAAGAGAGAGTTTTATGTTACAGTTTTAAATTATGTTCAACAAATTAAAATTACAGTTTTATTTTGGATTTTGTTTTGGACTGCTTCTGTACAACTAGGTGAAAAGGTGATTCTATAGCTCACCTCCTTCAGGTGCTTCACAATTTGGGGGGATCCTGGGAGTCTCTGTTATGACTTCTAATGTGGCCATGAGAGACAGTAATGTCGGAGTGGGGTCACCCAATTTGCTAGGCCTGCACACCCGTGAGGTTGCACATACCACATCTAGCCCAGGGCTTGGCATGTGGTTGGGGGCCACCACTCCCATTCCTTATCAGTGTAAACATAGGCATTTAGACCTGATATTATGACAATCTCAAAGCCCTTTCTAGGACCTTCTCATCTGTTCCTCTCAATGAACCCCCTGAAAGGTGGACTGGGTAGGAATGATTATTCCACTCAGACAGAAGAGCAGCTTCAATGACTAGCCTGAGATCACATGAGAAATCAGAGGTAAGAGGTAAGGCCCCACATCTGCCCTGACCTCAATCCTGCCCTGTTAAGGCCTGTGGGAAAGGTGGGGAATGGGGACCTGGCTCCCACTCCACCTCCTGCACCTGTTTTCCTGAGCCAAAGCTCCCAATTGCTGCTCTGAAGGTCCCAGGAAGTCAAATTCTGTGCCTTGTTCCCCAACCCCACCGCACTGATCTGATTCAACTCCAACTGGTCAGTTGGTTTTCTGGCTCTTGAGTCACCCTGGAGATGGAGAAGAAGCTAAGCATCCTTCCTGGCATGCAATCCACTGGGCAGTTGGGTGAATCAGACTCATCCAGACCTCTGGATGCTCACAATTTGTGTGTGTGTGTGGGGGGGGGCACAGGCAGGGTGCACCGAGGAGAAGCCCCATCCCCAACTTTGTACCACTCAGCCACCCAATCTCCTGCAGGTTCCCATTTCAAGGTGGAAGCCAGCCTCCCACAAGCAAGTTCTATGGGCACAGACCACCTGACTTGCCTCATTTGAGGCACTAGCCTTCATCTTGGGTCTTGCTCGTCCTGGGAGGGGGCTGGGTGTGATATAACACCACCATCCACATGCCAGGAGGACTGACCTGTGGTGCCCGGGGAGGATGTGGATACGGCAACTTTGAGAAATGGGCCAAGATCAATAACCGGCTGGTCAATGGAGAATGGAAGGTGGTGATAGAGGAAGGAAGTAGGAGATTCACCAGAGCAGGGTGGAGGCTGGGCTGGGCAGCAGGGGGTTGGCAGGCCCCCAGACATTGAGTGAGGCGCTGACTGTGCAGAAGCAGCTGGGGCTCTTCCTTAAGAGGCAACGTGCTCTCCAGAGACAGAGGCACCGCCAGGGCAGGCGGAGTCCACCCCGGCAGGCTGGCGGGAGAAAAGACATGCTCGTGATAGGGATGTTATCGCACCAGGGAGGGTGCAAAATCAACACATCTGGCCTCTGCGTCCTCAGATGTTCCCTGCAGGGCAGGGAAGTGATCATCCCTGGCCCGTTTGGCCCATTTCCACCTGGCTCTCCACACGGCTCTCCAGACCACCCGAGCTTTGTTTCCAAGGAAGAGGGAAATTACCTCGGCTTGTTTGTTTATTCCTTGTCTTGTGCTACCAGGAGCTTGAGCGGCTTGTGGGGGTGGGGAGGTCAGCCAGAGGTGGGGGTGGGGGTCTTGGGCCTGGCTCTCATCCACAGTGCCTTTGCTCAACCAAACAAGGGGGGGCTTGGCCACTACCTGAACCAGAACCTTCCTTTTACAAATGAGGAGACAAACCCAAAGAGGAGGAAAAACTTGCTCAAGAGTGCACAGTAAAGTAGCTCGGGCAGGAACCCCGCGGCCTGGCTCCTAATCCACAGCTCTTTGCACAGCCCCTCCCACCACATCAGGGGCTCAGAAGGAAAGTGTGCTGTGAAATGACGTGTCTGGGCTTTAATTCAAAAGACTCCAAGGGAAAAAGGGTGGGGAGGTTAGGATCTAGATGAAATGGTATTGGCAAAATGTGGTTAATGTTTAGAGCTGGCTGCCTGAAAGGCGAGGTTCACACATCTCAGTCCATCTGGTCCCCTCTGGCTGTGGGTGCTGGCCAGGCCTGGTGGGCCATAGACCCCTGTGGTAGATGGATGTACAGACCCCTTGTGTCCTGAGCTGCCAGAGGAGCCAGACCCAGTCACTGGGAGGTTCACGGTCTGGTCACAGGGAGGCCACTCCTTAGAACAGGATTTATCCCAAGAGAGGAAGCTCCTACCAAAAGTAAAACAGTGACAAACTGGTCCTACCATAGGCCTCTGAGGGTTCCCAGGCACCTCTCTTTACTAGGTAGCACCCTAAATTCAAACTTTTTTAAAAATTGGCTGATTGGGAATAAATAATGTGAAAGATGGCAAAGCGCTCAGTTAAACTGAGACAACCCTGCATCTACTGTACATATCCCCCCAAAAAATTTCAAAGCAAAAAAATTTAGAAATCCATTTCCCAAAGGAGGGACCCCACAGAGTTTGTTAGTGGAAATGTATGAAATTGCCCAACTTTTCTCCAAACCCCGACTTCCTTTCCCTGAGGAACCTCTGTCAAATACCAGGTAATTTCAGGCATTGTTGGTGCTGACAAAGGTTCTTTGTTTGACCAAACTTTAGTCTGGCTCCCCTGAACCCTCCACCCAACATGGCCCATCCATGTACTTCCTTCTAGAATCCAGTTAAATCAGGTTACAACGCCCCACCCCCACCCCCATTTGCTCCTGAGCAATAAATCCCTACTTGTTCTGGTTGTATTTAGAGAAATCCCATTTTATACTGGAGTCTCTCTCTCCCCCTCTCTCTCCCTCTCCCTCTCTCTCTCCCTATTGCAATAGTAGTCTCTCTCTCTCCTTCTCCTTCTCTCTATCCCTATTGCAATAGTGGTCTCTACACCCCCCCCCCTCTTGCAATAGTAGTCTCTCTCTCCCCCCCCCTTGTCCCTCTCTCTCCCTATTGCAATAGTAGTCTCTCTCTCCCCCCCCTCTCTCTCCTTGTCCCTCTCTCTATCCCTAGTGCAATAGTGGTCTCTCCCCCCGCCTCTCCATATTGCAATAGCTCCCCCCCCCCTTATTTTTGTTTTCTGCAGTAGTTTCTTGAATAAAATCCATCTTTACCACTTTAACTTCTGTCCAACGCTGGTTCTCTTTAACAGTTTTTAGTGCTGTTACTCGGATCAGGATCACCACCACCATGGGACTCTCAGATGAGGCAACCAGTGTGACCTAGACCTTTGTCTCAGTCCGCCTGACCCTCCTCATGATTCCCCAATGTCATTCAAAGCCAGAAGGACTTGAGGAACTCTGCCCAATAATCCAAGTTTTGTTAGACAAAACATTTCTTATCCCCACTTCTAGTCCATGCAATACCCCCCTTTTGGCTGTTCAAAAACCTAATAGATAAGGATATGGGTTAATCCAAGATCTGATATCTAGTACTAATTGTCAAACCCAGATTTCCCTTGGTGCCTAATCCTAACACTTTCCTGCCTGCTAGCAATTCCTTCCAACACCCAACATTTCGCAATCCTTGATTTGTGTTCCACCTGCTTTAGGATCCCCCTTCGTAAGGAATCCCAATGCTTGTTTGTCTTCACCTGGCATAACCAACAGTACACCTGGGCTATTATGCCCCAAAGCTTCACCAAGGCTCCTCTTGCTTCCTTCTTACACACCTAATTGCCCATTGGAGGGACTTAAAATTCCCAGGACGCTCCACTTTAATCCAATACGTAGATGACCTCCCTCTATATTCTGACAGTTGTGGCAACTCCTCTGGACACTGAGCACCTTCATAAGCCATTAGTGAGAAAGGGCCACAAGGTGGCTAAAGACAAAATTCAACTGTTCTCACTGTGTCTGATATCTGGGTCATGACATTTCAGCTGCAGGTAAACCTGTCTCCACAATTCAACATTTTCTTCTCCTGACAGAAAATGACAACTGAGAAGTTTTTGAGGTCTTGTGGGGAATAATGCAGATGCCTGATTTCTCTATGATTGCCTCACTCCTCAGTGCCATGACTGGGGGAGCATCCCCAGACCCAGGAGTCTGGGACCCCCATCCAATGATGCTTTTAAGAAAGAAAATTAAGGGTTCTCCACTTCCTCTCCCAGCCTTGGACCTCCCAATTACTCTGTCTTTTTCCTTGTTTGTGCATGGACCAGAGGGTCATGCCCTTGGAATGTTATCCCAGAAGCATAATGGACACCAAAGACCTCTGGGATATTATAGTTCAGCCTTCAACCCAGTAGCCAAGGCATAGCCTCCTGTGAGCCATGGCTGCAACCACCAGACTTGTCCAAGCTACCTCTGATTAAGTATTAGGTCATCTGCTTGACATTCATGTTCCTCAGGCTATGCAGGCCCCATTGCTTAATAAAATATACAGCACTTTTCTACATCTCAACTTACCTCCTATGAAATCTTCTCTCTCCCTCTCCCATCACCATACATCACTGTCATGATCTTAACCCTGCCTTCCTTTACCCCCCGATGGGATACCTCATGATTGTATCGTTAACCCAGATCATTATTCTGTCCTAGGCTAGCTTTATCAGAAAATCCCTTCTCTCAAGTTGACCCTACTCTTCATGTCAATGACTCCTACCTCCCAAAGGAGCCTGGGGCTCTCCAGGCTACATATGCAATTATAGATCAACATAAACTTCTAGAATACTGAGCCCTGCCAAATGTCAAATCAGCTCACATAACTGAATTCGTTGCTCTTACTCAGGCTTGCATAGGAGCAGAGGAAAGGCTAACATTTAGGACATTTGCTATGCCTTTGGCGGTGGTACATGATTTGGGTATGCTATAGAAACACAGAGGATTTGTGACAGCAGCTGTCACAAATGGACACCCCAGTCAAAAATGGACCCCCGGCCCTGGTCGGTTTGGCTCAGCTGTTGGAGCATCGGCCTGCGGACCAGAGAGTCCTGGGTTCGGTTCCCGCTAAGGGCACATACCACAGAAAAAAAAAAGGATCCCCAGCCTTGGCTGGTTTGGCTCAGCAGTTAGAGCGTCGGCCTGCGGTCCAGAGACCCAGGTTCGGTCCCCGCTAAGGGCACGTACCTTAGTTGCCGTTTGTCCCCGGCCCCAAATGAGGTCGTGTGGGTGGCAACCACTCGATGTGTCTCTCTCACATCGATGTTTCACTCTCTCTCTTCCTCCCTCTCTCCCTCCTGCTCTATCTGAAGATAAATGCAAAAATGTCCTTGGGTGAGAATAAAAAAATTAAAATGGACCCCCAGCCCTGGCCGGTTTGGCTCAGTGGTTGGAGCATTGGCCCATGGACCAAAGAGTCTCAGGTTCGATTCCAGTCAAGAGCACGTACCTCGGTTACGGTTTGTCCCTGGCCCTGGTCAGGGTTGTTTGGGAGACAGCCAGTTGATGTGTCTCTTTCACATTGATGTTTCTCTCTCTCTCTCCCACTCTATTGAACATAGATGGAAAAATATCCTTGGGTGAGGATTTAAAAAAAAGGACCCCAAACAGAAAAAAAAGACCCCAAACAGCAGAACTTCTAGAGGCATTGTTATTACCCCCAGCAGATCACTACAGTTAAAACTGAGGGACAGGTGGTGTAGCTCAGTTTGTTGAGTGTCGTCCCATGCACCAAAAGATTGCTGGTTCAATTCTTTATCAAGGCACATGCCGGGGGTGGGGGTGCGGGGGTGGGTTGCAAGCTCAATCCCCAGTAGGGGGCTCTATTCCCAATAGGGGGCCTGCAGGAGGCAGCCCATCAATGTAGCGCTCTCACATTGATGTTTCTATTTCTCCCTTCCTCTCTCTCTAAAAAAAAAAAAAAAAAATCAATAAAAACATATTAAAATAACAACAACTAAGGGACATAGCACCCAAAAAATGAGATGACACCTAAGGAAATAGATGGGCTGATAAATATGCTAAACTAGCAGCCTCTTCACCAACCACCCAAGAAATCCAAGTGGTTTCCAAGCCTTTGGACTGTGCCTCCTGCATCCTGCTTCGAGACCCTAGAAAGAGCACTTATTTAGGATGACTCCCAAGGAAATCAGAACAGAGATCTACATGGCCCAGTAACAGTTTCGGACTCAGAAAGAAGTGGATGGGAAAAGCTGGATGTTCGAGGCTTTCAGAGGGACTTTGGAAACAGCAAGATGGCCGCTTGGTAGCTCCCACGTCTCTTTCTCAACTCACTGTGTCCAGTTTGCACAACACGTGGAAAGGACAAAATGTGAGATTATATTAGACAAACAGTAGTTTGGGCCCTTTGGCTTTTAATTGGACCAAATAGTTGCTACTTACCTCAACTGCCAGAAACACACTCCTGGAAAAACTGTAAAGATTGGCAAGGAAGGAAAGACCCTCTCTTCACTGGCAAATAGATTTTATCCAGTTACCAAAAGCACAAAGCTACCAATATGTCCACACTCTCGTCTGCATGTTTTCTAAATGGCCAGAGGCTTTCCCCTGCCAAATGCCTCAGCAACATCAGCCGCCCGAGTGTTCCTGGAGCAAACCTTCCCCACTTGGGGTATCCTTTCTCTACCATCTCGAGAGACAGAGGATCATGTTTCATTGGGGAAATTATACAGGAAATTGAAAAGGCAACACATTAGTCAAAGTCGCCACTGTCTTACTGCCCTCAGTCATCAAATGCCATAGAAAGCCAACAGCATCCTCAAGACTGAACTGGCTAAACCACCAGGAGAACTGGACTTACTATTGCTTCCCATTGCTCTTAGGGCTCTCAGACGTTCACTCTTATCTTCATGTGAGGGACCACTTTTTAAAATTGTCATGGGAAGACCCAGGAGGACACCTTATTCACCTTGTCAAGTGGAAGATTCTGAGTGATTAATGGTCAGGTAGCATGTATGATGTGATGACGCTGGACAAAGGGATGATTCACGTCCTGGGCAAGATGGAGCAAGACAGCATGAGATTTCATCACAGATACTCAGAATGACAGCAATTTAAAACTTATACATTGTTTATTTCCGAGATTTCCATTTAATGTTTTCAGACCATAATTGACCTTGGGTAACTGAAACCATGGAAAGCAAAATCACAGATAAGGGAGGACTACTGTACTCATTGCTTTAGTAATTCACCACTGGTTAACATCACCACTGGCTTGAAGGCATCACCCTTCCTGTGACCTGGCTGCAGAAGGGGGAACTTGCACAGTGATCAGAACTGTTGCACCTTTGTCCCCTGCAATCTACCTGATATCCTTGCTGTAACTAGGATGGTTCCAGAGTTGAATGGAGAAATGTGTGCATTACTGCCATCGTACTCACACCACCAAAGAAGGACAACAGGTCATAGACTTCTTCTAGTCTGTCCTCGAAGGTCTACAAAGTCGGGTACACAGGCAGATTTAGCCTTTAATCTTTGTCTTTCCATTTATCTTCAAAGTATCCCTCTCATTAAATGTTTTGTGGGTCGTATAGTACAGCAATTATCCACTGTCACCAAGTCTCAACAGATGGTTCAGCTGATTCTAAAGGAATAAAGGCAACCAAGTGAGAAATGGACTTAGATTGTTCAGAGCAAAAAGGAAGCTTCTTCTTCCCTCAAACAAGAGAGGGTACTGACAAAGATGCTTTGCTTGATCAGACTTTAGTCTGGCTCCCCTGAACCCTCTCCCCAACAAAGTCCATGCCTGTACTTCCGTTGAGCCATTGATTTTTTTTTTTTTTTCCATTTTTTGTACAGATAGAGAGGGAGGGAGAGAGAGGAAGGGAGAGAGAGAAACATCGACGTGAAGGGACACATCGAGTGGCTGCCACCCGCACGACCAACCAGGGCCGGGGACAAACTGCAACCGAGGTACGTGCCCTTAGCGGGAACCGAACCCGGGTCTCTCCGGACCGCAGGCCGACGCTCTAACCGCTGAGCCAAACCGGCTAGGGCCCATGCCTGTACTTCCTATAGGATCCAGTTCTAGAAAGAAATCTGCTAAGTCAGTTTAATGAGAATTCCCCACTCCTGATAGATATCTGATCACCCTGGCCTGCCTTCAGCCAGACTCCCCCAGACTAGATGACTTCTCTTAGTCATTTTCCATCCACCAATGCCCTACCCCCTTGCTCTTCAGCTGTAAATCCCCACTTGTTACTGGTTGTATTGGGAGTCAGGCCCAGTTCTATAATGAGTCTTTCTTCCCCTATTGCAATAGGTGTTTTTTAATTTTTTTGTTTTTAATAAATCTATCTTCTCCACTTAAACTTCTGTCTGTTCTCTTTAACAATACCCCCCCCTTTTTTTTTCACCTGGCAGGTCAGTAAACAGGTCAATTTCTGAAGCTCAACCAGCTCTCTGCCCATTTCTGGGAGGTGAGGCCAGCAGGGGAGGTTTCAAGAGAAATCTCCCTCTGGTGAGGAAGGCTCCCATTTCTGGGGCTGGGAGGTGGCAGAGGGGAGGGAAGGTCTCTGCCCTGCTGCCCTCCTGGGCGCCTTCACATTCAGCCCCGGTGTGTTGGTCCAGGAATGTCCTTGGTGTCTTCAGACTTTAGACCTAGACCGCCACCTCAAGGCTTCTGCATGCACACTGATGGAATTTCAAGCTGATCCTGGAATAGAATTGTAGCTCCACTTGGTGGGAAGGTTTGCGTACTAGCCCCGGCCCCTTGTCAGGCCGAATCGTCACACTTCACTTGCACAAAACAGTGTCCTTGACTTGGATACCTAATGTGTGCCTCGTCCGGAACGGGAAGCACACCTAATCCTCACCCCACGTTCCAGAAAAGGACATGGAAGCTCAGAAGAATTAAATAACTTGCCTACCTGCCACAGGTAAGTGGTAACGCAGGGCTGCAACCTGTCCCTACTAAACCTGTGCATGGTCACACTCCAAGCATACTCAACATACCCAACCCCTCCCTTTGCAACTAAGGAAAGTCACTTGAAAGGCCAAAGACTTGAAGGGCTTTTGAGAAAACAGCAAATCTCTAGATATCTTTGTTTGTCTGTCACTTGGGTCCTTCCTCCCCCAGCCCTCCTTCCTGCCTACTGTTGCCTCAGTATCCCCACCCACCCACCAGGTGGGAGAAAGAGGAGACTTCGTTTCTATTTACTCTCTCGGGGGGTGGGGGGTCACTTTAGGGATCAAGCCCACTCTCCAAAAGCTAGGATGGGAGTGAAAGAGATGGACGGGGGAGGATTCCCGCCGTCTGGAAAGAGTGAAAGGGCCGCCTGCCCGGCTCCACAGCCGGCACCTGCTGCGAAGAAGCCTTGGTCTAAGATACCGCCCCCGGCCCCCGGCCCCCGCCCCCTGGCCCCCGCCCCCCGGCCCCCGCCCGCGGCCGCGCGCGGAGAGAGTACTGGCCCTTTAAGAGCGGCGGCGACCACGGCGCTGGGAGGAGGGCTGGGAGCGCCCGGAGCTGCGCCGAAGTCGCCGGGGACGTCGGGCGCCGGCTCCCTGGCTCGCTCGCTCGCTCCTACCGGCTCCCTGCGCCTCCTCCCGGGACTGCGCAGGAGCCCGGGCCCAGTTGGGCGCGGGGCGAGCCGAGTCCCCCGGCGGGAGGCGCGCGCTCTGGGCTGCGCCCGGCCCCGGGCATGGACAGAGGGAACTGGGCGCGCAGGGGGCGCCGCGGGACCGGGCGGCCGGAGCGCTGAGCCAGACAAAGGCTCAGGAGTTGCTATTGCTCTCGGGAGCCGGGCCCCGGGCGCCCAGGCTGCGGGACCCGGCGGCAGGCGGCTCTGGCCGGCCCTTTCTCCCGTGGGCCGGCTCCGCGTGCCCGGACCTGCCCAGCCCGCTTCTCCTCGGGCGTGGGAATTTGCCGAGGGGACCTAAGCGGCTCCGGCGGGGACCGGGACCGGGAGGTCTGCCGCGCGCCCGCCGGGCGGGGAGCCAGGGAGCGTCGCAAGTTTCCGAGCCGCGTGAGGGGACACGGCGCCGGCGAGCGGGCGAGCCCCGCGTGCTGCTCTCCGGGCCGGGCTGGGCGCCGAGAGCATGGGCAGCGAACGGAGCGCGGCAGGACGGCCGTCCTGGGCAGGCAGCCTTGGCGGCCGGGAGGCGGCGGAGCGGCCGCGACTGCTGCCGCTGGTGCTGGTGCTTCTGAGCTGCCTGGGCCGCGGCGCAGCGGCGGAGGACGCAGAAGTCAATGCCGAGGTAAGGACCCTGGCCCGTACCTTTGCCGCGGGCTGGGAGACTGGAGAGGGTAGGGAAGGAGCCACGCCCATAGCCTGAGGCCAGGAGGTAGAGGATGAGGAGACGAGCTCTGGGTCCCAGGGAAGGGGGCAGAAGAAAGGGGCCCGGCAAGCTGCCCCTCCCCGACTTTCCCGCTGCTGCTCACCTCTTCCCAAATCCTGGAGGCCATAGGGTTCGCGCCCACTCTCTACCACTACCTGCCGTGGGCACTGATCCGCCCCAGCCCCTGTCCGGGAGCTGCTTCTGATGCCCCCAGCCCTGGCTGCCTTCCTTTCCTCCCTCCTGGCGGCTGATTCCTCGAGAGCCCCGCAAGCGCGGTGACGTTCTTTGCGAGTGGGGTGGGGGCTACCCTGGGGCGGCCGCGGGCTGAATAGGCAGCGCTCCCGCCTAGGAAGCGCCTGGGCTGGGTGACACTGAGCCTTGCGCGGCGGACCGGGATGAGGGAAGGGATGCGAACCTCTGAGACAGCAGACTCAGGTCGCAGGGGCGCTTTGGCGACTTTCTTGGGCTCTTGGACGGAAGCTGTGCCATAGCCAGGTTGGGTACAAGACAAAGACCCAGTCTCCCCGGTGCTTCCTACCCACCAGAGTTTCTGCGCCGAGGCCCGTTGCGCAGAGGACGGACTCCGCACATCTTTTCATCCGGAGCCCGCCTGACGTCCCGATGGGGCCCCCTCTCTGGATCGGTCTCGTTGGGTGATCAGGCGCAGCCTCTTGGCGAAGGGCTGGGTCTAGCCTGTGCCCACCGTTCCATAGAGTCACCCAGTGCCGTCCTTCCGAGCAGGGATAGTGAGGACACCAGCTCCGTTGCCCCAAAGCAAAAGCGTGTCCAACTCTTTCCCGACTTATAAGATCCCGTTTCCTGCCGCGTCTAGAAAGGAGAATGAATGGGTGGTGGTGGGAGAGTGCTTCTGTGCTGTCCCGGTTAGGCTCTGGCCCCGGTACCCTTGGATCGGCCCGGAGCCTCCAGCTGCCGCTGCTGGCGCTGGGCTGCGGGCCTGAGTGCGGGTTCTATTTGCAGTTGGACCAGCGCTCCCTCCCAGCCCCCAGCGGCTTCCCCACTTCTCCCTGCTGCCTGGGAGATTTTTCCGATGGAAGCCTGCCCTTCCCCGCCCTACTTTAATAAAGCTTGGAGGAAGGGCAGGGAATTCCTCCCGGCTCAAGTTACACCTCTCAGCCGTTCCCCACCTGCTCTTCCCTCCCTCCTTGGCCAAGCCAGGGAAAGCTGCAGGGAGCCAGGTCCTGGCAGGAGGTGGAGTGGGGGCCCAGCCCTTGCCCAGTCCAGCTGTTTCCCCCTCATTTATACAGACAGGCAAGCAAAGGGCTTCTGCTGGTGGGGATTGTCCTTCAGCCTGTGAGCCAGGTACCCAGTGAAGAGTGTTTGGACCCACCTGCCACTCTCTTGAGTGGAATGTCAAAGAATTGTAAGCCACAGACCCACCCTTGAGCTGTTTTTAATCTATTTAGGAATGGCATCTCCGCATAGGAAGCAATTATGGAGCAAGCTGGAATTTGGTGGCCATGCATTATGAATTGTCATCTTAGATGTCCAGAAGCTGAGGCGCTGAGACCTGTGGTCTGCAGGACTTCAGTCTGTCTTTCCTTTGATTCAGCTCCTCCATTAGCCCCTCCTCTCCCAGGGCCTGATTCGAGTCACAGACCATGGCCCTAACCCTTTGGTGGCACTAGCTAGAGATTCTCAGAGTGACCTGTAGACTCTCTCCTGAGGGAGCATTTGGGTTGGGCTGTTGCTGGAAGAGACTGTGGAAGGGTTAGGGGACCCTTAAATGTTGGAAACCAAGGTAGATGGAGGGCTAGAGACAGGTGAGTTGTCCCCGCTGCTAGAATTGGCTTTGGGGTACAGACTGTTCCTTGGAGTTTCACCAAGTCTGGCCAGATCTAGGCTCAAAGAGTAGAATGGCTTCCACAGCCAGCACAATTTCCAGGAGGCTATGGGACAGTGGTCCCCAGGTCCACACTCTCCAAGGACCAGCCTCAGAGGCTCCTGGGCCTTGCCTGTACCCTGTGTCCAGAGCCCCCCTGCCTTGGGAAAGGGCTCTGGTCCTTACCCAGAATCCCCACAGCTCCAGACTTCAGGTCAGGTCACAGCTGGGACCTTTTCTGAGCATCCTGGTAACTGAGCCAAGGCCAGCCCCTCTCCCTCCCAGGGCAGAAACCACAGGAGTGTCACTAAATTAAGGAGTCAGAGAGTCTGGCATGTGCTTGGCAGACACCTGTAACCTGCCAAGCCCCCTTCCTCATCCTTCCCCGGTGGAGAAGGCTGTCTTTCTTGAAGAGGGCACCGCTGTGTTACTCTGCCCTGTCTCACTCTCTCCCCTAGATGTCAGTCCCAGTCTCCAGCTGTCCTGGGTGGAGCCCACTCCCCTGTGTACACGCAAGCCTCACCGGGCTGAGGTCTGGTCTCCCTGGTCTGAGAGTCCACGCCCCTTCAGATCTGCCCTGCTCTTGCTGCCTACAGCACCCAGCCTGCTAAAGTGCCTTTGGTTTTCACCAGAGAAGCTGTGGTCTCTTCCCACCGCCCCCCTTCCCCCCAGGCATGACTTCAGGCCCTCAGCTGGCCCTATATAGGTGACTCAGGCTGCCAGAGTTCACAGGTATGGTTCAGCTGCCATTAAAGTATGGACACACTGTCCGGCCAGTGTGGCTCAGTGGTTTAGCGTCGACCCATAAACCAAGAGGTCGCCAGTTCAATTCCCGGTCAGGACACATGCCCAGGTTGTGGGCCCGATCCCCAGTGGGGGGCATGCAGGAGGCGGCCAGTCGATGTTCTCTCTCATCGATATTTCTCTATCCCTCTCCCTTCCTCTCTGTCTGAAAAATCAATAAAGGAAAAAAAAATTTTTTAAGTATGGACACACTTACCTTCTCTGAACAGACTCCTACATACCTTCCTTGCCCCTACCTGGCGGCTGAGTGGGATGAGCAAACGGAGGGGTGGGCATCAGCTTGAATTCTGATTCTGACCTTCAGATCTGACTGGTGAGCCATAGCCCCAGGCTTCCAGTGCTCCGGTCTCTGCTGGCACTTCCATGCTGACCACCCCCTCCCCAGGGCCCCCACATCTGTGCTCTTATTTAATTTTTTTTTTTTTATCCTCACCCGAGGACATTTTTTTTCCTTTTTTTTTTTTTTGTTCAAATAGACTGGGAGGGAGAGAGAGGGAGAGAGAAACATTGATGTGAAAGGGACACATCGAGTGGCTGCCACCTGCACGACCTAACCAGGGCCGGGGACATACTGCAACCAAGGTACATGCCCTTAGCGGGAATTGAACCTAGGTCTCTCTGGACCGCAGGCCGACGCTCTAACCGCTGAGCCACACCGGCCAGGGCTATGCTCTTATTAATACCCTTTCTTAACTATGGAGCAGAAACTCCAGAGGCCCCATGCCTACCCTTGAGGAAAGTATGAGAGCATTGTCTTTGGCAACCTACAGAAGCTAACCTTCTCTTCTCCTACACATCCCTGGTTTTTAGTCTATTTTCCTCTTTCTGTTAACAAACCATCCCTCCACAGTCTATATGAAAACCCCAGAGAACTGGGCTAATTGATGCAGCCAGAGACCCAGGATCTGACTGGGCCATGCCCCTCATGCCCAGCCCTTTGGCCAGGTCTCTGCATTTGGGCTGCCCTGGGGTCCCATCAGTCAGCCGCCTCCTGCAGTGTGTACTCCTTGTTTGAACGGTGCGTCAGTCTGACCTGCCCTTTTCAACCTTTGGACGGAAACACCTCACTTTGCCCCAGTCAAGGAGGGTGGAGAAGAAACATCATAAAAACACACCCAGACAACCCTCCCACAGAAGCCTTGCTCTGAACCCCAGCACCCACTGCCCATGTTCTCTGATGCCAACTCAGAAAGGCAATGCTGCCAGGAATGGAAAAGCCCCTCCCTGCTAAGTGCTGGCCTCCCCTCTGTCCCCCTTTTGTTGCTGATCCAGATGTTCCCTCTCATCACGTCACCTCTGCCCTGTTGGGAGCTTGACTTCGGTGTGAGGCCAGCTGTGGTAGTCACTGTGGGGAGCCTCCCTGGGGCCGATGAAGTTGGTGCGATAGACTGAATATTTGTGTCCTCCCCTCTCCCAGATTCATATGTTGAAACCTAACTCCCAAGGTGGTGGTATTCGGGCCTTTGGGAGTTGTTGGGTGATGAGCACAGAACCTTCCTGAATGAGATCAGTGCCCTTAGAAACCTGTCGGGACAGTCCTTGTCCCTCCCACCATGTGAGGACAACAGTGCGGCCAGAAACAGGGCCTTCGCCCAACCTGACCACACCAGCGCCTGCTCTTGGACTTCCAGCCTCCGGAACTGTGAGAAATAAAAGTTTGTTGTTACAAGCTACCCAGCTTATGGTATTTTTGCTATAGCAGCCCAAATGGACTAAGATAGGTGGCATCTTCAATGTCGTCCCGAGATGTACGTGGCTCGCTCAGGCGGGAGCCAGGCCCCATGGCCAGCTCTGCCTTGGGCATGGAGATGTGTTCCCTGAGTCAGCAGAAGCATAGGGGTCAGGGTCCTCCATCACTGAAAGGGTCCTGGGAGGACTCCACAGATGAATGTGAGGACCAGGGACCCTGAAGGTAGCCGAGTACTTCAGGCCTGCAGCACACCCCCTTCTGATGAGACAAGTCCCCTTGGTTAGGGCTCGTATGAGGCCACTCCCCAGAAAAACACTGGTTCCAGGAATTCCTGAACCCTTTAGGGGAGGGAGCACAGAATTTGCAGCCCTGGGCAAGAACAGCAGAGGTGTTCAAGCCGGGCATCGATCAGAGAGATGAGCGGGCTGCCTCATGGCAGATCCCATGCCCTGTAGGGGGGATAGCAGGAAACAAGCAAGAAGACTCAACTCAACCTCCAGTGTCTGGACAGACAGATGAGAGCCTGGGGCCCAGCCATCAGCCAGCCTTGGGAGATGCCCCACGTCCCATTGCCATCCAATGGTCAAGCTACCGGAGCCATGGCACCTGGAGGGTGAGAGCCCAGCTTCATGTCCAGCACTGTGGGCATGGGACCTGGTACATAGGAAGTCCTTGCAAAATGGTGGCAAACCAGTGACAGTGGCATTTGCTATTGGGCAAGTCATTGAACCCATCTGAGCAATGAGAATTTCCCTATGGACACAATGAGAATAGTAATAGCGTGTACTAGATGGAGTTATTGGGGAGATTCGGCACATTTATGTGTAAAATGTTGACTGCCATGTTTGATGGTATCACCTGGGCCCAGAAGGATCCGATGCTTTTTTGAGCACCTTCAACACATTTGGTTCTCTCTGTGTTTTGTAAGCATTTTCACGATTTTATCCTGGAATTGACTCTGAGCATTGCTAGCTTACCCCGTTGCACAGAAGAGGAAAAGGAGACGGAGATGAGAGGGATTCCCCGTCCAGGGTGGCAGAGCTGGGATCTGAACCCAGTCAGCCTGGCCTGGAGCCTGAGCTTCCAGCCCCCATGCTGGGGTAAAGGCTGCAGGTCAGAGCCCAGGGTGTCATCCTGTGGAAGTGGCCAGGCGGGAGCCTGCTGGGCCGGTGGGTAGGCAGGGCGGGGTGAAGGAGCCCTGTTTGTGACTCCCCCGGGCTGATCATCCCATTCAGCACCCGCACTGTGCCCGGCATAGCCTTGGCTTGCTCCCAAGGGCACTCAGACTGCAACACCGGGTGGGGAGATGGGCACAGTGAGGACCTCACAGTGCCTTAAAATGTCTGTTCATCACCAGCAGGCCTGACAAGAGGCCCTTTGTGCCTGTCTGGGCAGCCCTGCCAGGGTCTGCTTGGACTGCACGGAGAGCCGTGGGTGACAGAAGCAAAGCAGAGCCCTGCAGAGATTGTCCTTATCACACAGGGTCTGATAAGGCTTGGGGGAGGAGCTGGCTGTGGTGACAGCAGCAGCCCAAGCCCCCTGCCCCCACGGCTGTGCTTAATGCACAGTATTGATCCAGCTGAAGCTCCTTCCCAGACACACCCTCCCGGCGGGCTCGCTTTGCCATTGTCTCAGCAGCCCTGGGGGGCAGCCCTACTGACATGGCCCAGTGCCCAGACCCAGCCAGAGATGTGGAACATGGGGAGGATTAGATGCCCTCCCCCAGTGCTGTGCTGGGCACTGTTCCTGAGAAGGTTCAGAGTCCAGTGCCCGAGCCTCAGGCCGAGGAATTGGTGTTACTTCACAAAAAACCTGGTCTAATAGTACTGCTTGTGGGCTCTAGTTCTGGCCAGATCAGCTGTGTGACCCTGGGTGGGCCACTCGCCCTCTCTGGAACTCACTGTTTGTATAACAGGAGTGGGGTTCTTGTGAACACTGAATGGGATGATTCTCCATTCTCAGCTGCTACATTTATGACCTCTCCTAGGGGTAGGGGGCCAGGGATCCCCCCTCAGACTCCTGATGGCCCCACATCTTGCCTGGGGCCAGCCACTCACCTGAAGTATCTATGCATACTTATGGAGCTCAAGAAAGAAATGGCTGATGCCTGGCCTGTGTGGTTCAGTGGATTGAGCATTGCCCTGTGGACTGAGAGGCCCCAGTTCGATTCCTGGTCAGGGCACATGCCTGAGGTTGCAGGCTTGATCCCCAGTATGGGGCGTGCAGGAGGCAGCCAGTCGATATTTCTCTCACATCAATGTTTCTATCCCTTCCTCTCTAAAAATCAATAAAAAGAAAGAAAGAAATGGCTGGAAGAACCAGGGAGGGTGGAGAACCACGGTGGGCGGGGTCTCCAGGGTAGACTGCTGGAAGGAGGGCCCCTCCTGGCTTCTGCGTGCACTTCAGTGACCCTCTTGGAGGAGGTCCCCCTATTCTGACCTCCCCAAGCCTCAGTTTCCCCACCTGAAATACAAGTTTCACCTGCTTGGCACTCGACCTGTGAGATTAGTTGGGGAAGGAGGAAAAGGAGGCATTTTGTATAAGGGACAGTCTTACAGTCAGTCACCAACAGGAGTAGCAGGAGCATGAACCCAGCCCCTCCCCTACTTTGACACTAAGAGGTCAGTCATGACCTTGGAAATCATTCCCCACTTTTGTCCCATGGTAACACCTCAGGAAGCTGGGGCTTAGGGTGCAGGCAGCCACCCCTGTCCCATACTGTCTTTTCCCTCCTCACCCTCACCTTCTGGGCTTGTCACACTTAGCACAGCAGTAGGGTGCGAGCCACTGGGGAGGAAGCACCCACAGCCCTGTACAGGCGGCACAGATGGACTGGCCAGTCCTGAGCGCCTGTTGGTCAGTTAGGCAGTCTGTCTGTCAGCTTCTTGTCATTCGGAGGTTTGGCTGTTCTGGGCCAAAACTGTGTTTCTGCTTATGCCACCCATGCCACCTGTCCACAGCTTCTGCTTCTCCCCCTGGCAGTGGCCAGGAGGCATTTGCCACCAGGAGGCTGAGGGTTCAAGGCTCGGCTGATACTGAGATGGAAGCTCCTGACACTCAAAGGGCACTCATCGGTGTGAAGGAGGGTCCATAGGCACCCTTGGGACCTTCCCATCAGCCCCTGAACAGCCCCCCAAATTAAAGGGCCCCGGCTTCATGCCCTCTGCTGGGCTCTGGAGCTCCTCCCTGCAGACAGGCCCAGCTCCTTCCCCTTTCCTCCCAAGGGCCCCAGCCTGAGCCCCTCCCCTCCTCCTGTCACTCTGCAGACCTGCTAATCAGCCCCTTGGTGGCCTGTGATTGAGCTCCCCGAGATATTTTTACCTCATGCAAATAAGTGATGTCAGGTGCCCTCATCTGTCAGCAGGCAGCACCCCCTCCAGCTGGGTCCCTTTCCCTGCTGGCACTGGCCGAGCATCATGGCCTCACCTTCTACATCTCTCCAGGCTTCTTCAGGAAAACTGTTCATTAAGGGGGGTGGGCGTCCCCCCTCACACACACGGGAACTTCAGGAAAGGTTTCTCCTGCTTGGAAGGAGCAGGTGCTATGGGAAGATGCCCGTGACGCTGCCCGTGTCTGGTGGGGCAAAGGGAAGGTGCCCTGGGCCACACCTCTGCCTCCCCCAGCTGCTCTGCCCTCACCTGGGTCTGCACGGCCCCCCAGCCCTGTCGGAGCCTGGAACCTTCAGTCCTGTTGGCAGAGGCAAAAGCCTGCCTCCCCAGGGACAGCCAGACAGCCCCCGGCCTGTCACGAACGACACGTCCAGTGAGCACTTTCCCGCCCAGCACAATGCAGGCACTGGAGTGGACGTCCCCACTGAGTCCCCACAGATGAGGCGGGCCCTCGTATAACAGCCACTTCAGAAGTGGCTCAGCTGGATAGGTCCCCAGCTTGGTATCCCCAGAGCCACAGTTGTTTCTCATCCCACGGCTCTGCCTCCTTGTCCTGTGGCTCTCCTGGCCCGAGAGCCCTCGCCGCTCTGGCCACGCCTCTGCACTGCCCGCTTGGGCTCGGCAGTGCTCTCTTCGGGGGCAGTCTGGGTGCTGCTGAGCGGGGGGTGTGGCCGGGCGCCAGGTGGGGCTGACGGGTGGCACTGAGGAAGCAATGCCAGAGGACTTGGCTGTGACACTGGTGGCAGACAGAAGTAGGTGTGGCCCTGGCCAGCTGACACATGGCTGTCAGCCCAGAGCAGCCACCATGTTTGGTCACCATCCTGCCTGTGGGCCCTTGATGCGGAGCCCTCACCTTCCAGGGCCTCTCAGAGAGCAGGCCTCCAGGTCCCCTCACTCTGGGGGCAGCCAGAAACCCAGGGTGGGCCAGGAAAGGTGCAAAGGACACATTTCCATGTGGCCAGGGCCCACAGAAGTCCCTGGCCTCTGTGCCACAGCCTCCCATGGTGGTCATCATGCTCTCATGGCCTTGGGGGCGTGAGGTGGGCAGGTCAGAGCCCCTTTCTTACCACAACTCAGTGTGCCTCATTGGGGACCCCTCCTCATGTCATCCTAGTGGGGGAGACAAGTGATAAGCACTAAGTGTAATGTACGGTGTGTCAGATGGTGACAAGTACAAGGAAGGAGGGGAGGGGATGCAGGGTGCAGCAGGTGGGGGGCTTTTCTTAGTAGTATCAGAGAACATCCTCCAGTAAGGGGAGGCTGAAGCAGAGTCCTGAAGAAAATGGGGGTGTGAGCTGTGCAGATATCTGGGAGAGAGCAGCACATGTAAAGGGCCTGAGGCACGAGAGTGCCTGGCTGGGTAGGTGGGAGGAGTGAGGTCTGAGAGCTGAGGTGAGGTCAGGTAGCCAGGGCCTGGTAGCTTCTGTTAAAATGGGCTTTTCTTCTGAGATGAGAAGTCTTTGGAGACCAAACCTAACTTGTACAGGCCTTCTGCTCTGCTCCTGTGTGAAAACAGGGAGGTGGTGGCGGCTCTAGGGCTATGGTGGTAGGCTGTGTTCTGAAGCAGGCTGTTTGTACTGGGAGCCAGCCCTGCCAGGACCTGCTGACTGTCATGATCTTTCCTTTGCAGAATTGGCTGCGACTCTATGGCTACCTGCCTCAGCCCAGCCGCCACATGTCCACCCTGCGCTCAGCCCAGATCCTGGCCTCAGCCCTGGCTGAAATGCAGCGCTTCTATGGGATCCCTGTCACCGGTGTGCTTGATGAAGAGACCAAGGCGTGAGTCCCTCTGCCGGGCCCTTCCCAGACCCACTGCATCTGCTGCCCTCTGGCCTGCTCTCTTGAGGTCTCGGCCTATGGCGTTACCAGAAAGAGTGGTCTAGATAAGAGGTGGCAAATGGTCTGACCCTCCACGCTAGCTCTGATTGGTTGGGAGTGGCTGCCTAAAGCCCTGTGTTGAGAAAGCTCCTGAGGCCAGATTCATGCTTGGCCACCAGGAGCGTAGGATTGTCTGCCCCAGAAATGAGAATGGGGGGACACCACACACATGCCCCAGATGGGACAGCCCAGTGAGCCCTTGCTCTGAATCAGACAGGGGATATGACCCAAAGCCACGTCCTTGATGAGCATGCACAGAGCATAGTGTCGAGGACAGGAGGCCTCGGGGGTAACTGTCCCATTCCTGGGTGGTTCTGGTGAGAAGGGGCTCACCTTTGCGGAGCCACTGCAGGGCATCCGGTCTTCAAGATCATTGCACCCGTTTCCCTGGTAAAGGAACTGAAGCTTAGCCAGTCTCCCACCACACCCGAAGAGGCAGCTGAAGGCCAGAGGGAGGAGGGGGGAAGGAGTGGACTGCCTAGCGGAGGCTCCGTGCTCACCCCCACGCCCCTGAGCCAGGTGGATGAAGCGGCCCCGCTGCGGAGTGCCAGATCAGTTCGGCGTGCACGTGAAAGCCAATCTGCGGAGACGGAAGCGCTATGCCCTCACCGGCAGGAAGTGGAACAACCCCCACCTGACCTTCAGGTAGGGACCCAGCTCCCCAGGGTGGCCTTCCTCCCGAAACATCTTCCCCATCATCTGGTCTGAGGCTTCAGGCTTCCCGGTGGACTCGTCTGGAAGGTTTCCTTTCCCAGCAGCACCCCCCAAGGATGCCCGGTACAGACAGTCCAAACCCGCTTAGCTCCCACGCTGCCTGCGGCTGCACGCCCGAGGCTGTCTTCCTCCTGAGAAGGTCAGGACCCTTGGAGCTGCTTCCGCTCCCTCCTCCACCCCGCCACCGCCAGCTGCCTGGGTTGGTCTCACTGGCCCAGATGGGTTCCTTCACTGATACAGACTGAGGGGCCCCCACAGTGCAAGACATGGGGCTTCAGGCGCCTGAGGGTGGGGGAGGTCAGGGAGGCCGGAATCCAGGCATCTGTCAGGTGGGCTGGTAGCAAGTCCCTTGCAAAAACCCTCAGGCGCCCTCCTGTGTGCTGAGTCCTTGGGCAAGAAACACCAGCCCCGAGCATGTGGTGGTCCCCAAGGGCTCCTCTTCCTGTGTCTGTCCAGCCACAGTCCCACCAGAGCTCCATCTCCCCAGGAAGAGTAGCTCCCACGGCCTCTTGGTTAGACCCCAGGCCCCCGAGTGCATTCATGGTCCAACCAGCTTTACTGGGATCTGTCCAGCACACAGACGCTTACTCTGATTGACATGGGTAACAACAGGCTCCCTCACGCTCTATCACGTGCAGGTCAGGGGCGTGTGTTCCACACGAGTTCATTCATTTCATTCTCACAGGGATGCCATGATGAAAGCACTAACCTGTCAGAGACAGAACTCATTTGCTCCAAGTCACTCAGATAATGTTAGAGCCCGGCCTTGAACTCAAGTCAGCCTGACCCCGGAACCCAGCTTCAGAACCGAGAGCCCTGTGTTCCCCAAACCTCAGCCATTTGCATCGCTCTTCTGGGTCTTTCAGCTACATGTCCCCTGTACTTTTATTTACTTAACATTTTCTTCGGGAAAATAGGCATATTTGGCACAATGCAACCTTATTTGGTGATATCCTAATGAACTCCTGGGCTTGCCATGTTAATTCTCGTTTTCAAATTCACATCCAAGTAAACTAATGGTTGATATTGTCAGGCACTGTCGGTGAACCAGCTCAGATCTTCTACATGTTCCTTGACACCATGTGTCCTGGCCTCCAACCCAGTGGGTGCCAGCACCGGACAGTAGCCCTGACCCTGGTTCACTTGCATGTCTCCCCACCTACCTGCAGCATCCAGAACTACACAGAGAAGCTGGGCTGGTACCACTCGCTGGAGGCAGTGCGCAGGGCCTTTCGTGTGTGGGAGCAGGCAACGCCCCTGGTCTTCCAGGAGGTGCCCTACCAGGACATCCGGCTGCGGAGGCAGAAGGAGGCTGACATCATGGTCCTCTTTGCCTCCGGCTTCCATGGCGACAGCTCACCCTTTGACGGCACAGGCGGCTTTCTGGCCCATGCCTATTTCCCCGGCCCTGGTCTGGGCGGGGACACCCATTTCGATGCAGATGAGCCCTGGACCTTCTCCAGCACGGACATGCATGGTGAGAACAGCTGGCCAGGGTGAGGGCAGGGGAGACAGAGCTGGAAGGGTAGGGTTGGGAGGGGAGAGCTTCCCCTGTGCAGTTCTCTGGAGCACTGACACTTGGTCTCAAGCTGTTGTCCTACCATCTTCGAGGGGTGGTGGGAAAGAGAAGGGATCATTATACTCATTTCTCAGATGGGGAAATGGAGGCCCTGGAAGTCAGAGCAGTGCAGCCTCTTCTCCCTGGCAGCCTCAGCCCACAGTCTGGGTGGCCGAGTCTGGGCCAGACCAGAGCTGACCGTGCTGCTGGCCCCACCGCAGGGAACAGCCTCTTCCTGGTAGCAGTGCATGAGCTGGGCCACGCGCTGGGGCTGGAGCACTCGAGCAACCCCAGTGCCATCATGGCGCCGTTCTACCAGTGGATGGACATCGACAACTTCCAGCTGCCTGAGGACGACCTCCGGGGCATCCAGCAGCTCTACGGTGAGCAGGCGGCACGGACATGGCCGGTGGGCTCTGCACGCCTGCCCTCAACTCCCGGCCCCGCAAGGCATAGGTGCTACTGCTGTCCCATCTTGTAGATGAGAAACAGGCCCAGAGAGGACTAGTGACTTGTCCACATCACTCAGATGGTGCTAGAAATCAAACCCAGGACTGGCAGGCTGACCCAGGGCCTACACCCTGAGCCCTCACAGTGGCTCCAGGTCCCCTCTCTGACCCCCTCTCCTTCTCAGCCTCAGTGATGTTATTAGACGAAAAGTCCCAGGACCCCAATCCTCCTGCCGTCGCTCCCAGCCCAGGCCTGTCCTGGACTCTGTGAAGTACTGCTGGTCTATCGCTTCCCCGGGTTCTCGGGCAGGGGCATCCCCACCCAGGCCTGACCAAGAAAGTCTCCAGTGGTGAGGTCTCCTGAGGGTCAGTTTGGGGGGTTAAGGCCTGCACCCACTGCCCACTCCAAGCCCCTCACAGGCTGGCAGCACCCACCTTGCTGGGCACATGACAGACACGGCCTCACTGTATCCCTAGCAAGCTGGTAATAAGAGGGGAACTTGGCAGCGTTTACAGAATCATGTTCTCTCCTCTGTGTGTCTACTGTGTGTCCCAGGAGCCCCCAGTGGAACAGGCTGCCATCCTGAGAGGGGTGTCCCCAAGGGGAAGTGGAGACGGGCCATCTCGGGGGCACAGTGACCTAAGCCCAGTGTGGGGAAGTCAAGGAGGGGGCTCTATGGAGAAGGGTGGAGGTCCTCCTGAGGTCAGTGGTGGGGTGGGGGAGGGAGGGGTCACTGAGGACAGACAGGGCCTTTCACCAGGCTGGGCCCTTCTCCTGGGGCACATATTTCTCCAAGCTGGGGCCTTGGGGTCCCAGGGCTCTGAGGGGGACAAGGCTGGGTTCTAGGGCTTCTCCCTCACTTCTCGTTCCCCCTCCCTGGTTCCACAGGCTCCCCAGATGGTCAGCCACAACCCACTCGGCCTCTCCCCACTGTGACACCTCGGTGGCCAGGCCGGCCAGACCATCGGCCCCCCAGGCCTCCCCAACCTCCACCCCCAGGCGGGAAGCCAGAGCGGCCCCCAAAGCCAGGGCCCCCAGTCCAGCCCCGAGCCACGGAACGGCCTGACCAATATGGCCCCAACATCTGTGACGGGGACTTTGACACAGTGGCCATGCTGCGTGGGGAGATGTTCGTGTTCAAGGTCTGGCCCTGCCCGTGACTCCTGCGGCCCCTTGGCCCAGACCCAGAGCAGGAGAGCACCCCCACCCCGCCCCCAGAGGCTGGCCCCCTACCCCCCCTCACTGAGCAGCCCAGACTGAGGAACATTCAGTCTGAGGGCTGAGGGTTTCCCTGGAGTAATACAGCAAGCCCAGGCATCTCCTGCCCACCCCAAGGGGTCCGCCCCCCTCCACCCAGGGCTCTCTCCCGGGTGCTGCCCTCAGGATCTCAGTGGCCCCCCCTGAGGCAGGGAGGGATGGTCCCAGGTGGTCCCTCTCCCAGGGCAGCATGCACACTCTGCCCACTCACACCCATGCCCTCCCCAGGGCCGCTGGTTCTGGCGGGTCCGGCACAATCGCGTCCTGGACAACTATCCTATGCCCATTGGGCACTTCTGGCGTGGTCTGCCCAGTGACATCAGTGCTGCCTACGAGCGCCAAGATGGGCGCTTTGTCTTTTTCAAAGGTGAGCTGGGGTAGGAGGGAGGGACTGGGCAGCCTTCCTACCCCTGCCTCTGACCCAGCTGGGCCTGAGGAGGAGGAGAGCAAAGGGGACGTTGTATCCATCGGGGCAGCGTCCCGACCAGCTGTGTCCCCAGTCCCCCTGGCCTGAGCTTCAATGAGGCAGGAGCTCCCAAGGACAGGGCTGGGTCCAAACCAAAAGTGGGAAACCCTGGGCCATACGCTGGGGTGCCCCAGGAAACAGCCCCCAGACTCAGAGGCCAGGCAAGGCTCCCTGTCTTTCTCCCTACAAGAACTGTAGGGGGTGAATGTCCACATGGGAATGCAGACCCATGTATAGCGTGACTGTATGTGGTGTGTGCACAGGTGTAAGCAGGTGACATGCATGTGTGTGACACAACGGTCAGTTGCATTGTGTGTTGTGGGTGTGGTGTCAGTGCCTGTCCTGTGTACAAGGGTGAATATGATTGTGTGTATGTAATGAGTATAGCAGTAAATGTGAATAGATTTGTGGGCCCAGAATAACATTCCTGTGCCCTCTCCCTGCCCAGCCCCCTCAGCCCCCAGCCCTGTTCTCACCCACTTCCCACTCCTCCCACAGGTGACCGCTACTGGCTCTTCCGAGAAGCGAACCTGGAGCCTGGCTACCCACAGCCGCTGACCAGCTATGGCCTGGGCATCCCCTACGACCGCATCGACACAGCCATCTGGTGGGAGCCCACAGGGCACACCTTCTTCTTCCAAGAGGACAGGTGAATGTCCCTCCCCTAAAGGGTAAAGGCCCAATTGGGCCCCCTACTCCCAGGCCTACCCAGAGAGAACCCACTACCAGGGGGAACAGACTCCAGGCCTATACAGGCCCACAGCATGGTGCTTTTGGTCACAGGTACTGGCGCTTCAATGAGGAGACACAACGTGGAGACCCCGGCTACCCCAAACCCATCAGTGTCTGGCAAGGGATCCCCGTCTCCCCCAGGGGGGCCTTCCTGAGCAATGATGCAGGTACCAAGGCCAGCACCCTCCAGTCTGCCCAGCCCTCACCACCCCTCTCTTCCACAAATGGGACAGAGCTTGCCTGAGGCCATCAGATATTGGGACAACATGTATGGGGGACACAGCTGTGTCAGGCCCTGGGCTGCTGGGAGCTCCTAGAGCATGACTTTCCTGGTCCTCCCTGCATCGTCACCATCCGCATTTCACAGATGGCCAAAGTAAACCACGGAGCTTAAATAAAGGACCCCAATCCCACAGTGAGGAAGTTGTGGAGTCGGGAGTCCCACCCAGGACTTGTGTCCAGAGCTGGCGCTCAGAACTGCCCTGCTCCCGGGCAGCCTGCAGGGAGCCTGGGGCTGAGCGATGGGATGAGAGCCCTCCTGGGGCGCCCACTCACCCACCTGCAAGGGAAGCCTGATCTCTGATGATAACCGAACGACAGGGAGCTGGGCTCTCGCTTCTTCAGCAAGGTCTCTGGCGAGCTTAAGAAAGCCACAGGCCTGATTCTTAGGCCCCAGGCTCTCAGCAGAGAGAGGCCTGCCGGTTTGGCCATTGCTCGGGTGGGTCACTCTTGTGTGTGATGGATCGCTCTGCGGCCGCTCTGATCTCACTGTGCTCAGCAGAGCATAGACTCACCCCATGATTCAAACCTGGCCCTTCCTGGGGCTGATGGACGTGGCAAGATGCCCAAGGCCAGAGAGCTGGGCCAAGGCAATGCTGGGCCCTGCTCCAGGTCCACTGCAGGCTGGCTGTGTGGCCTTAAGCGAGACACTGGCCTGTCTCATGTGAGGTGAAGCCAGTCCTGGGACAGGATAGCAGGGTCCCTGACTGCAGCCTCCAACCCAGCAGGCGGAGGACCCTTCCCCTGTGCACTGCCCTAGTCAGCGTCAGCCAGCCAGGAAGCACAGTATTCTAGTGGTCCCTTGACCAAGCCTGCCCCTCTCTGAGACTGGTCTGGCTTCCTGTAAGTTGGGAAGTGGCAGTTTGAAAATGCTCAGGGAAGCAAGTAAAAAGAAGGGTGTTTTTCAGCCAGGGCTCCTGGTCCTCTGTGAGGCGCTCTGGTGGTGAGTGGCCTCACCCTGACACCACCCCGGCCTGCTTGCCCCCGCAGCCTACACCTACTTCTACAAGGGCACCAAGTACTGGAAGTTCGACAACGAGCGCCTGCGAATGGAGCCCGGCTACCCCAAGTCCATCCTGCGGGACTTCATGGGCTGCGAAGAGTCAGGACCCCGATGGCCCGATGTGGTCCGTCCGCCCTTCAACCCCGACGGGGGTGCAGAGCCCAGGGCTGGCGGTGACAGCCAGGAGGGTGGCGAGGGCCATGAGGCTGGCCCAGGTGCTGGGGAGGGGGACTCTGGGGCGGGGACGGATGAGGACGGGGGCAGCCGTGTGGTGGTGCAGATGGAGGAGGTGACTCGGACAGTAAACATGGCGATGGTGCTGGTGCCGCCGCTGCTGCTGCTCCTGTGCATCCTGGGCCTCACCTACGCCCTGGTGCAGATGCAGCGCAAGGGCGCGCCCCGCATGCTCCTGTACTGCAAGCGCTCTCTGCAGGAGTGGGTCTGACGCCCTCCTGTCCTCACGGTGCTAGGGCCGGCTGGGGCGCCTGTGCTTCTGAGACTGCGTGGGCTCCCTCAGGCCCTCCAACATCCCTGCCAGCCCTGCCCCCATTGTTTTTATTTATGCCCAGGTTTCTTTGTGTGTTTTTTATTTTTATTTTTTGTGTTTGGGGGGAGGTTTTGCACACTAACTGAGCGTTGGTTTCTACTTTCCTGACCAGGGGCTGTCCCTCAGGGCAGGGGGTTGGAGCTTTCTAAACTCCAGACAGGGAATTAAGCCCCCACCCACCCCTGGCTTGGCCGCAGCCAGCAGAGGGAGGGTCAGAGGCCCCTGGTGGGAGAGTGGCTGCCCAGGGCCAGACCAGGAGCTCCGCTGGTTTTAGAGACCGGCGGGCCTACCTGCCCACCCACCTACCTACCTGTCTTTCTCTGCCTCAGGAACAGCTTTCACCTGGGGCCACCCTGGGGCCGAAGGGACAGAAGGGGGAGGTGACCCCTGACTGTGAGTCCATGTTGAGTTTCGGTTCCGTCCCAACCAACCCCTAAAACCCATGCAGCCCGGGCTCCTTGTGCCTAAAAACCCTGCCCCGCCCCTGGCCAGCCAAGGGCCAGCAGCCCCCAGTTCCCATGTACCCCTTGAGCCCACACCTCCTTTTCTGTCTGGAGAATGGGCTCTGGGCCCACCTTACGAAGGACCAAAGGGGGTCTACCAAGGCCCCTCCACCCCAGGAGCCTCGCCTGCCTGGCTGGCCCTCCAGCCCCCTGTCTACCTTCTCTGAGCTGTATGACCTATGTGACCCGCCTGGGCCCCTCCCCTAACCCTGCTCCCTCCCTCTCACTCACACCACTATCCTCAGGGTCTCAGAACCCTGCCAGTCTCAGGCTCCAGCTGCCAGTGTCCTGGCTCTCCTAGGGAGAGAGGGGTTGATGTGTGCCCAGCTGGGGTGCTGAATGCCACAGAGTGTGCCCACCTGTGAGGGTGCCCACAGCCCACCACACACCAGGCTTGGAGGGGGTTCCTCCACTCCAGCTCCCTGCCCCCCAGGGTCTGGTGGGAGAGGCCAGCAGGAGCCTATGTGACCTGGAGACTCCCAGCTCCGGGGCTCAGCCCTGAGGGTGGAGCTGCTTCCTTCTTCCCAAAGTGAGCAGAGGCGAGTCTGCCTTGGGAAATGGTACTGTACAGGCGGCTCTGTCCCCTCCACTTGCCACCAGAGTCCCGAGGCCCCCAGAGGGAGGGGCTTCCCCTGGGCTGGCCCGGAGTGTGGGTCCAGCAGCTTCCTCTTCCTCCGTCCTCGTCCTCGGGGAACCGGAGAGCCAGGCAAGGGGTGGAGGGGGGCCCGTGTCCACCCCATGTTTCTTTCTGTAAATAATCTGCACTGATTAAATTGTACGGCCAGCGAGTGTGGCCTCCTTTGTAAGAGGCCTGGGGCTGGAGCTTCTAGCTGGAGGGTGTACAGGTGACTGGGCAGAGGATTAGGGGACTTGTTCCCACACCTAAAAGACCTCATTCCCAGTTCTGTGGGCCTCCTCTGCAGGGGCCCTCGGAAGGGGGGAGCTGGGGTACGAGTGAGAGGCAGCTGCCCTCACTAGACTGGAGGAGGGCAGGGCAGGGGACTGGGGTGGCCCCACTGGGGTGGGACCGTGAAGGAGGAGGAAGATGCTTTTCATTCATGGTGAGAAAGGACAGCCCAGCTTCCCACAGGCCCTGCACATGCAGGAGGGGTGGGAGAACCAGGCCAGGCCACTTGGCCCTCCACCCGTTCAAACTGGTTCTCAGCAGCCTGAAGACCCAGCCTGGTCAGGAAGGAATGGGAAATGATGCCACTGGGGACTCAAAAGTTTCCTCACCATACCCTCTGCTCAGAGGGTGAGGGGCACCCAAGATCTGCCCTGTCATCTCTGAAGCAGCAGAGAGTTTACTCTGGGCAGGGTGCAGATGATGCCCAGGAGCAGGAGACAAGCATTGCTGCCCCTCGGGTCCGGGCCAGCCTTGGACCCCTCTTCCTCTGGGCCATCCTATTGGGCACAGGCCTGTACCCCCAGCAATGCGGTGATCATCTGTAGTGGGGTACCACCCCAACCATGAAGTAGGCCAGGCCTCCACAACTCAGGGTCCTCCAACCTGCTGTGCCCCCCCCCCCCCAGCTGCATGCCTCCTCCCCAGACCCCCCTGATCCACCCTTTCCTCTCTTTGTATTGACAACTGGCTGAGGAGAATAGGACGTGCTGGCCCTGGGGAGCCCCACAGGCCTCTCAGGCTGAGCTAGGAAACAGCTAGGGACCTGGGTGGGGGCCGCGGCCGTCCAGGGTGGACACTGTCTTGTCAGCTTTCCTGTGGCAGAAGCCACAGAGCCCCTGCCCAGGTCTGCCTTCTGCTGAAACCGGAGAATCACCCAGAAGTCCAGAGGCCACCGGGCAGGTGGAGGGCAGTGTGGGGGCAGAGGGAGGAGGGCGGGTGAAAGGCCTGTCTCACTGAGACTTGGCAGAGGCATCAGCCCCTCAGAAGACTGCCTGAGGTGCCTTCTACCCCAGGCCCGCTGGTAAAATCTCAAAGAAACCTAGGGACTGAAGGAACAGCCAGCCCATCTCAGGAGGCTGCTTTTCATCCCTCTGGGGCCCAGACATGTGAAGGAGGTCCCTGGGGAGGGATGGGTGGAGCACCTTAGCCCTGCACCCCATCCCCAGAGAGACTGGCAGCCCCAGCTTGATGCCCCCTCTGCCCCAGCTTGATGCCCCCTCTGCCCCAGCATTAAATGGGAACCTGCATCTTTAAATTGTTTTTTGATTGATGTGGCTGTAACCTAAACTCACCTTGGGCCCCTCCCAGCCCCCATTCCCTCAGCATCTTTTGTTCCTTTATAGTTTGCTAATTCCCAAGTAAGGCAATTAAGACATTACAGATAAAGAAAAAGGAGAGAATATAAGTCACCTAAATTCCCTCAGCCAGGGCTGAGAGCCTGGCGGGTTTCCTTCCGGCCTGTTTTCCTCTGCATTTGCACAGCTTGGAGTCGTGGAGCCTGGGCTTCCACCCTGATGCTGCAGAATTTAAACCTTGGGGAAGGGATAATACGACCTGCCTCCCAGGCTGCTGCTGGGAAGATGAACACGGGGTGGATAACTGTAACGCGCTGGTGACAGTGCATGGCATTTGGCGACCTCAGTCAACTCACGTGCTCCCCCAGTCACATTTCACTCATGAGAAAAGTGAGGCTCTGAGAGGTGAAGTGACTTGGCCAAGGTCACACAGCTAGGAAATGGCTGTGCTGGATGAGAACCTAGAGGGACCGACTTCACAGCAGCCCAATGTCACCCCGCCCTGGTGCTGCTGGAGAATTGGGACAGAGATGAGGGGGCCCCTGCCCACCCTGGCCTTCCCCCCCACACGCATTCTAGGCATCAAAGACCCCAGGGCCACCAACAGAGCCTCCTTTCAGGCTGGGGCAGGGGCCCGAGCTGGCCGCTTCCTCCCCTCCGACTTGGCAGAAAAGCCTTCTTGTTGCGGCTCACACAGAAGCCATTCTCCAGCTCACGGCGAAGAATGGCTGGCTTCCTGTCCGTCCATAGCCGTCCAGACCGAGTGGACCCCCCCATGTGGGTTGGAGAGCGGCAGGGCTCCTGCCCCTCCACGACCTCCAGTCCTGCCTCTGGGGCCCAAGGCTGCCAGGCTTTGCCTCTCAACCCATGAAGTCACACAAAAAATAGGGGTCAGCCCCCTTCGGCTATCCCAGCAAATGCTGGGGATTCCAGGCCTCAAGGCACTTCCAGGGCACAGCAGTCCCCCCCTCAGAACACTGCTCAAGTGACCTCAGGACCCACAAAGCACTGCCAGAGGCCCCTGCCAGGCTGCTTGCCCTGTCCCAAATGTCCCCTGCACTTGCTTGCCTCTATGACTGCTTATGCTGTTCCTTCCTGCTTGAAAACCCATCCCTGCACATTTCATCTTGTCCAAATTGCACAGATCCTTCGAAGGCCCAGCTTACGGCTTGCTTTTCCAGATTCCCACCTTCCTCCTCGAGGTGATTGCGTTTCCGCGCACCTCTGGCTCACCCCGCACTGGTGTCCAGGCCATTCCTTGCCTCGGAGCCCAGCCTGCCCAGCCTTACAGATACCCAGACGCTGACTGTGGCTCCGTTGCGCACAGGCTGTGTGTCCTTGGGCAAGTCACCTCACCTCTCTGGGAGTCTCCCAGATTCTCCATTGGTAGAACGAGACCACTGAGCCACACCTGCTTCATACAGCTGGGACGCTTGACTGAGCTGATGCTTGTAAACACTTAGAGCAGCACCTGGCCCACGCAGGCTCGCGTGGTTGTTATTAACGTCTCTGTTAGGTGCAGGTACCCGGTGGGCCCCGAGCAGGGAACGTCCCTCCTCGCCTTTCTCCCCAGGACTGTTTGAGGGATGGGGTCAGTGGTCACAGCCTAGGGATGGTGCTGGGAGGAGAGAGTCACGTCCCACCAGTTCCTCTCCCAGCTGCTGAGGACTCACCCTGCTGATCCTGAGGGCAGGGCTGTCCTGGCCCAGCGCCTCCTCACCCACAGCACCAGCCCTTCTTCCCAGACCCTGGGCATAGGCCCCGCTCAGGTTTCCTCCCCAAGTGTGCCTGACACCTCCCACCCCCACATTTTCACCCACCTCAGTCTTGGCCAGAAATAGCCTCCAAACTCCACTTACAGCAGAGCCAGCAGGCCCCTCCGGGAAAACGATATCATTACCCTGCCAGCATGGATCACAGCAGTCAACTGGATTCCATTAAGAGATCATTCCAAGTCAGTGGAAAGGGAGGGGCAGCTGTACCCCAAGAATCTCATAAAAAATACACAGCACTATCCTAAAACCTGTCAGCTTCAACCAGATCAACCTTCCTTTACAGATGGGGATACTGAGGCCCGGACACTGAACTATGTTTTCCAATCCCCAGTCAGGACTCTCCACGCTCCCCATTGCACGGCCCCCAACCCCCTTCTCCCGCAGGGGCCTTCCTCTTCTGCTCTTCAGAAGAGCTGAGGACAGGGTGTTCTGATTAATCCAGCTTTCCTGATAAAAGGCGTTTTTGTGCTTCAACACACTGGTGGAGAGGAGCTC